ACTTCTACCATAACTACCATATCCTACTTCTACAACTACCTATTACTATAAAATTATAACAACTTCTACTACTACAAGAAAAATATTACTACCACTAGTACTGCTAATACTACTACTATGACTACTGCATGTCACTAGTTGTTTGTTTTGATTTTGCTTATTCCAGAAAAAGAAGACCTCACGTATGCTCCACGCCCTGTTAAAATGATCTCCTTTAACACAAAATGGAACATCACATGTTCAGATGTGTCTGCCCTGGGAGCTCAGGCTCAACCCTGTCCAGGAGCTCCACAGACCTGCTGCATCAAAGTCACCAATAACAACCTCTGCTCGGACCTCAGCATAACATTCAACAACACCAACTGTCTTTTCACAGACACCATTTCTCTCACTGCTGGTATGATCACACCCTCACGTCGTAGATGCAAACAGAAGTACTTTTGTCACTGTGGATTTTTAAACAATTATACAGAATTAAAGATGTAGTAGGGAACTTTTCTAATATTTAGCTACCACTTGCTCTGGAGGCTTTAATGCCTTGCCCAAAATCTACAGGTTTTATTGCAAAAAATTAATAAAATTATGAATACATTACATAAATAAAAAATAAATGCAGTATTGTGAGCATGCTTGATCTGAACTGTAACTTGGCCTGCTTATCTCCATGGAGAAAGACACCAAAATTTAATGCCATATTGTGGAACAGGAAATGCAATAACATGGAGACAAGCAAAAGTTACATAATTTACCTTTAACTTGGCATTGCATTTTTTTGCTGCTTATACTTTATGAAAATCTGTGATTTTCTCCACTTTGAGATCAACATAGTTTGATCATTTCTGATCTTTAAGGTGCACTGAGGAACTAGTGTAGAGTCCAGAGCCTTCTTGTCTCCATGGAGATGTTATTACTTTATCCAGAATGTTCCACAGTATGACAGTAAACACATCGATCAAAATGGAGACAAGCAGGTGATGACACCAAATCACAGATCAGACTTAACTCAGAAGGATCTGTGTTTTCGAGGTATTTTCTTAGCAAACAAACAAACAAACAAACAAACAAAATTACATGTGGACAAATAAGTGGTGGACCTCCCCTGTCAGAAAAGTTACACAGTGTGCCTTTATGTTACAGTTTTTAGATATATGACACAGCATATGTTATGATTAAATGTTTTTTTAATGACTGTTCCAGAAAAGTTTCTAAGTGCGGCAGACCTGACCCAAAAAGTGATCTACAATAACCCAAAAAAAACCAATGGACATCCGGCAAAAATTGAGTTTGAAACCCCATTGCCTAAAATATGTAAACTAACTACTGAATATAACTGTGAGGGTGAGTTATACGCACACACGCACGCACACACACACACACACACACACACACACACACACACACACACACACACACACACACACACACACACAAAGATTTAATTGTTGTTAAGAAACTGTTTTAGTTAAATGAGTATTCTAACCTGCCACATGTATTTTAAATCTGTCATCTGTAAATTATTTTTTTTCACCAGTAGATGGCATATGTGAGACCCTCACTTAGCCCCTCCCTTCACCTGGCCCCCTCCTTTCACCCGGCCCCTCCCCTCACTGGGCCCCTCACCTGACTCCTCCCCTCAACTGGACCCTCACCTGACTCCTCCCCTCATCTGGCCCCTCCCCTCACTTGGCATTCTCCTCACCTGACCCCTCCCCTCACCTGACCCCTCCCCTCAGCTGGCCCCTCCCCTCACCTGACCTTTGTTCAGACTCACCTGTGCTCTCAGGTCTTCTTCTGTCAGACCAAATTATGCACACTATCAGACAGCAGTAACACAGACAGCATCTAGTGGTGATGTAAACAAAACAACACTCTGAGTCTGTTTTTGAGGAGGGAACAACATTCTAACATGGCTTAAAGCTCACAAGACTCCATTTTGTATAATACAGGACCTTTAACTCTTTCTTATTTTCTCCAGATACAAAAAAAAATACCATGTTGTTATCTAAGCTGGAGCCGTTTAAAACATACACATGCATTGGGAATATAAAAAATGAAACAGCTGTGATTAATAAAACTGACCCAGTCAAAGTGAACACCTTCTGTGGTAAGGACTGCATTATATTCATCTTCCTGAATCTTGGAAAAGTGTGAATTAAGGTGATTGAAATATATATGACTTATTTTTCAACAGATATTACTTCATCAGTTAAACCCCAAACTTCAACTAACACCTCCATTACCCTCGAATGGGAAACAAAAACTGAGAACTGCAATCTAACTGTTCTCAAGCCTAAACTCGAATACACGTGCACATGTACTTCTCGTAAGTATGATTTTGATATGAATCATTTCACATTCTGGTGCTTAATTCTGTCTATGTTATTTTTTTTTTTTATTTTATTTTTTTAATTTATTTATTTATTATTACCACTGTCAACTGGATTGGTGCATAGTTTCAGTCATTGCTGATTATTTATTTTTATTTTTTTATAAAACTGATGACTAAATATGGCAAACTATTTTTTTGACAAACTGAATCCTGGACAGTGTGGAAAAGCAGTGTTGTTATTATGACACCTTTATATAATGAATAAAATAAAATCATATATAATAGAGTCATCAGTGAGTCATTTCTATCTGGCCGTTGGTGCAACATCACACTGACATAAGACATTTGATTGGCACATATTCTAGTTGTCCATAGATAAAACCAGGAATACAGAAAAGCCTTTTTAATTGTCCAACAGGTGCCTTTAGAATAAAGCTGTTTTTGTTTTTTATCAGCATTTGATCTGACTCCTGTGAATGTACACGCCTTTACAGAGCCTGAAGCTGCTTTGTGCTTTGTATAAATGTGCCATGTCTTCACAGGTTTCACAGACCGGTGGCCCAGAAAGTCTTTTAAAGAAACGTCTTCTGTAGAAACGTGCATTGTGAATGGACTGGAAGCATTTATCACTTATGACTGTAAGATCCAGACCCTCTATGAGGGCAATGAACTCAAGGAACATAAACAAACTGTCGAAACCAAACCTGGAAGTAAGTGTAACAACTGCAAACATGCAAACATATGTTCATTATTTTAAATTGGGTGTAGTTAGAATTTACTATTTAAAGTGTATGTAGCCTGCTGGTTTAAAAAAGGAAGAAAAGTCTCTACCCCACCAGGGCCTTGACCTGCAGATAGAGGAAACATACAGTTCAGTCCCTGAGCTGCAGAGGCTGCACTAGCACTGATCAATCATGGACGATAGTGTCCAAATAATTTCCCTTGTGGATCAATAAAGTTTGCTTAAGTCTAATGGTATTGGAGTCAGTGTATTATTATCAGTTACTTTGTATTTTTACAACTTTTTTCGGGGGTAGTACCAGTGGTAAATATTTCTAATAGTTTTATGTCAGTCAAGTGACAGTTTGTAAGTTAAAGAAATCAGAAAGTAGCAGTGATTTATTAAAAACAAGAAATCAGAGATAGCAACCTGGTCCCCCATGAGGCGTTATGTGAGTGCCAACTTGTGTGATGATTGGGTGAATATTTTAGGCCGCAGATGGTTCAGAAATTGAAGAAATTGCTGATCCTTTATAATGGCGTGACCTTTCAATTGACCCATGTGACCTCAAATGACCTCAGATCGTCACAAAACTTATTTTTTTGCAACACTGGGCACGGGGGCATGACACCACGTACCAAATTTGATGACAGTCGGTCCATAAATGGTGGAATTATCGAGGGTGGACAGACACACACAAACACACATATACACACACAGACACACACAGACACACACACACACAGACACACACACACACACACACACACACACAGACACACACACAAACACACAGACACACACACACACAGAAACACACAGACACACAGACACACACAAACACACAGGGTGAATACAAAACCTGGACAGCCCTTCAGGGACCAGGTAATAAAATTCAATACAACATGCAGGATGTGCAAGGAACACACACTCCGACTTTTGAAACATTTATTTAAGAAAGATTAAGATTTTTCATATATTTTTATTTGTCAGTAGTAGTTTAATCATGTTTAGTGTTGTTGCTTGGTAACGGTTATGAAATTACCTCTGTGTAAGTGACATCTGCTTCCTGCATCCAAGCAGGAAGTAAAATCAACTAAAATGTTCAAATAATGGAAAGTGAAATCTTGAATTCTGTTACGTGTGTTTTAGTAAAGTGTGTGTTCTGATCTGTGCACTGTAAATGTAAATGTAAATGTAAATGGTTTGGTCTTTTGTTGCAGTTCCCGGCTACCTCGGGAAGTTGATGGTGTATTTGACAGAGAACAATGGCTTCCATGTGAACTGCTCTGGGATAGATCATTTTAGGGGTCCAGAGGGAAAATATGAAGCCATTCTGAAACTTAAAGAAAAAATTATTAATAGATTAGAAAACAAAAAAAAGTGCCATTTTGAATTCAAAAATCTGGACTACTCCACCACCTACCTCGTGGAGGTAAGTACATCTGAGACTACAATTTCACTGTTCATGTTTGTATTCATATTATTACAACTACTACTGCTATTACTACTACTGCTATTACTATTACTACTGCTATTCCTACTACTACTGCTATTACTACTACTACTACTACTACTACTGCTATTACTACTACTACTGCTATTACTACTACTACTACTACTACTACTACTACTACTACTGCTATTACTACTACTACTGCTATTACTACTACTGCTATTACTATTACTACTGCTATTCCTACTACTACTGCTATTACTACTACTACTACTACTACTACTGCTATTACTACTACTACTGCTATTACTACTACTACTACTACTACTACTACTACTACTACTGCTATTACTACTACTACTGCTATTACTACTACTACTACTACTACTACTACTACTACTACTACTACTACTGCTATTACTACTACTACTGCTACTAATACTACTGCTATTACTACTACTACTACTGCTATTACTACTACTGCTACTGCTATTGCCGCTATTGCCACTATTGCTACTACTACTACTACTACTACTACTACTGCTACTAATACTGCAACTACTACTACAACCTCAACTACGTAATACTACTACTACTCCTACTACTCTTACTCCTACTACTGCTACTGTTGCTTCTACTACTACTACTTCTACTACTACTACAACTATTGCTACCTCTGCTAAAGCTATTACTACTACTACTACTTCTGCTACTGCTGCTACTACTACTCCTGCTGCTGCTACTACTGCTGCTGCTACTACTACTACTACTACTACTGCTACTAATACTGCTGCTGCTGCTACTACTTCTACTACTGCTACTACTAGTGCTGCTACTACTACTACTATTACTGCTACTGCTACTGCTAATACTACGGCTACTACTAATACTACGGCTACTACTACTGCTACAACTATTGCTACTTCTATTGCTACTACTAGTGCTGCTACTACTACTACTGCAACTACTGCTACTACTTCTGCTACTTCTGCTACTACTACTACTACTACTACTACTGCAACTACTGCTACTACTTCTGCTACTTCTGCTACTACTACTACTACTACTACTACTGCTACTATTACTGCTACTACTGCTACTACTGCTACTATTACTGCTACTATTACTGCTACTACTGCTATTGCTACTATTACTGCTACTACTGCTATTGCTACTATTATTGCTACTACTACTACTACTACTATTGCTGCTACTACTACTACTACTACTACTACTTCTGCTACTTCTGTCACTGCTGCTACTACTGCTACTACTTCCACTATTTCTTCTACTGCTATTAATACTACTACTGCTACTACTACTACTACTACTGCTACTACTACTTCTGCTATTGCTGCTGCTGCTACTCCTACTACTACCTACTACTACTTACTACTACTACTACTTCTGCTACTACTAGTGCTACTGCTACTATTACTACTACTACTACTACTACTACTACTACTACTACTGCTACTGCTGCTATTACTACTACTACTACTACCTACTACTACTACTACTACTAATAGTGCTGCTACTACTACTGCTACTCTTACTTCAGCTGCATATGCTGTGTATTCCTTAACTAGTTTTCTTTCTCTGAAAAAAAACAAACAAACACATAAAAATTGTAGCACTGTCACAAAAAAAATGACCATGAAATACCACTATGATACTGCACCACCAAATTTAGCATCACCATATAGCGATATTTAGATATTTTAGCAAATCCCTACTGACTTCTACTGTCTATGCTAGTACTACAACTACTAATATTATTGTTTTTGTCTTCAGGTCAAAGCTGTCAATATCAAACATGCCGGCCGCTCAAGTTCCAAAACAGTGCAGACCAGCTGTACGTATGATTCTTGTTTGGTTTGTGATTGGTGCTGGTCTATGAGACGTCTGACTGTTGTCTTTTCTGTCTTCAGTCAATGACAAGGCTCTGATTGGTTTCCTCGTCTTCCTCATTCTCCTCACATCTGTGGCTCTGATGGTGGTTCTGTACAAGATCTATATCCTGAAACAAAGGAACTCAAGGTGAGTACAACCACTGATGCACGTACTTCTACTTTAAAGGTCCTATATTACACTCTCCCCTTTAGTCCTCCAGACCCCTCTTCCCCCTCACTCTCCCCTTTAGTCCCCCAGACAACTCCTTCTCCCCTTACTCTCCCTTTAGTCCAACAGACCCCTCCTCCTCCTTCCCCCTCACTCCCTTTAGTCCTCCAGACCCCTCCTTCCCCTCACTCTGCCCTTTAGTCCCCCAGACCACTCCTCCTCCCCCCTCCCCTTTAGTCCTCCAGACCTCTCCTCTCCCCCCCACTCTCCCCTTTAGTCCAAAAGACCCCTCCTCCTTCTTCCCCCTCACTCTCCCCTTTAGTCCTCCAGACCCCACCCCTCCTCCCCCTCACTCTCCCCTTTAGTCCTTCAGACCCTTCCTTCTGCCTCACTCACCCCTTTAATCCTCCAGACTCCTCCTCTCCTGCCCTCCTCACTCTCCCCTTTAGTCTTTCAGACCTCCCCCCTCCTCCCCCCTCCCTCTTCCCTTTAGTCCTCCAGACCTCGCCCATCATTGTAGGTGTTTAATCCCACCTTAATCTGTTATTTTTATTTAGTTTTTAGTCCTGGTGGAACCAAACAACCAAATATCTTGTGGGAGCATTTGTACCTTTTAGACTGTCACTGGTGTAACCCTTTTTCTCCTTGTCTACACAGAAACAGAACAGATGATTACCCGCTCCTCATCAGTGAGTTCTCCACCTTCTGTCTTTTCAGTACTTTTGTCACGAACATTTCAAACTCGATTATCATACTAACAACACAAATGTAATTTATTGTCATATTCAAGACAATTCTAGTATTTATTTATTTTTATTAAACCATGTTGTCTTACACTAGTTCCGATAAAACTCAAGATGAAATTGCACCGATCCAATACTGGTATCAGATCTCAGTGCCACTACCGAAGAATTTGTTGGATCAGATCGGCCTTCAAATATCGGTTCAGACGATATCTTGTACCTGGGCGTTTAAAGGGCCCATCTCATGCAAAATCAACTTTTCAGAGCTTTCTACCTTCTAAAGGGCCGTTCACACCAAAGCGTCAAAAAACGCCTTGACGCCTCTATTTGGACGCCTTTGCATTTGAGTTTAGACGCCCCCGACGCGCGTATTTGACGCCGTGGACGAACAGGACAAAAATACTTGACGCGCGTCCGTTGCCCTGGAAACAAGAGCCAGGTCCCGGTCTTTTCCCGAAACAATGTCAGACCAGACTGATAGAGTGTTTTTATGACATAAAACATCAGCGGAGATCAGGTCGACAACTGGGGCGTATATATATTTATACTCCGCTAATGACACTGGATCAGTCCCGGTCTAGTCCTGGTCTAATACCGGTCTAGTCCTGGTCTAATCACGGTCTAGTCCCGGTCTAGTCGTGGTTTAATCTCTGTCTATTCAGGGTCTAGTCATTGTTTAGTCTCGGTCTAGTCTCGGTCTAGTCCTTGTTTCGTCCCGGTGTAGTCCTTGTTTAGTCCTGGTCTAGTCCTGGTTTAGTCCTGGTCCGGTCCTGGTTTAGTCCTGGTCCGGTCCTGGTTTAGTCCTGGTCCGGTCCTGGTTTAGTCCTGGTCCGGTCCTGGTTTAGTCCTGGTCCGGTCCTGGTTTAGTCCTGGTCCGGTCATGGTGTAGTTCTCGCGATCGGCTCGGTGATTGTGGTGTATATATTTAATCTCCGCTCATGTTTGTGGTTCTCGTTCTGGTTCTCAGGTCTTGCTTCCTGATAATAACGTCGCTGCGTCATTGGATACTCGTCCCTGATTGGTTGACGCGGCGCGTGTGACGCGAAAAGTTCAGCATTTTCAACTTCTTGACGCTGACGCCTTGGACGCGCGTCTAGACCGCTGACGCCAAAACGCTCAAGACGCGCCGCGTCGACGCCAGATTCGCGCTGCGCTGACGCCAAAAACGCACCGCAAAAACGCAGGACGCTCCAGTCGCGCGTCCACATAGACTTTACATTGAAACTGGACGCTTTGACGCCTTGGTGTGAACGGCCCTTAAGAGTGATGTGTGGGCCTTGTATATGTCACTCAAGTGGTTTTTTGATTGATTCAGCATTTTTTTGTTTTTTTGTAACAAATTGCACAGTATTTCTGCCACCCTCCCACGTGACAACAAACTAAAGCTACTACAACGATGATGCAGAAGCTACACCTATGACGCATTTGACATAGCAGAAGGCGATTTGCACCCGCCCCCTCCCCCGCTCCACCGTCTTCACCTCCACCCCACATCGACTGACAATTTCCACATGAACACCTAAACAAAAGTGACAGTATAAGCTCACTGTTCTGCACTGCATTGAACATGATATAATAAGTTTATCGACTAGTGTTTATTAATACTTTATCAATCAGTAATGTTCATCTGATGCGGTGCTTGAGCTTCGTGCTCCTCAAAGTCCTCGTCCGACTCTGGGTCCAACACATGTGGCTGAACGCGCTGTATCTCCATGATGAATAAAAGTTTATTCCTACCACTATCAGGGTGCACGTCTGTCTCCCCCTCCCTCCCTGAGATGGGCGGAGGAAGGGCGGCTCACTCGTCGCTTACATCACGTTTGGAGGGCGGAGTCTGTGCTTTCTCAGGACGGGCGGGGGGAGGAGCAATAGTCGGACTTTCATAGTTCCTGGTCTGTGACTGTCTCCAAGAAATCAGTAAGATTTCATAACTATTGTGTAATGGATGTTCCAAAAGCCAAATTGTGCTTGTTTATATCCAGAAGATACAATGTGAAAAGAGTGATTTTACATGAGATGGGCCCTTTAAAATGATGTTTAAAGACTATTTACTGGTTGAAGATGCCAACAAACTCTCATAATGTTTGAACTTTTATTTCTTCAAAGTTGTTCTGTGGTCACTTCAGAGATAAACGACATTACACTGTTGGATCAGTTTTGTCTTGTTTAGTTTTTTTTAAAGGTGCACTATGTCATTTTTTGGTTGGGGCTCCAACACCTGCTTGTTTCTATAGAGATGTCATTGTTCTGCCTGGAATGTTCCACAGTATAACATTAAACAACTCTACTTTACATTTACTCAATTACAGTTGGTTTTGTAGCTCAGAAATACCTAGCTTGGTCTGGTTTGGTCTCCATGGAGATAGAAAGGTTTAATTCCATACCGTGCAACATTCCAGACAAAGCAATAACATGGAGAAAAACATTTGACGGAGCTTCCACCAGGAAAGTTACACAATGCACCTTTAAACTGAAGAAGCTGTTTAGGAAAGGGCCATACTTTATCTGGTTATGTAATTTTGTTCAGGACTGATACTTGCTTAAATGAATATCAAGTTTCAATACTAGTTTTAGTTTCGATTAGTATCTTCAATATTTAAAAAAAAACAACTTTTCAAGTTGTTAGCGGGTGAATTTTTCTATTTCTTTCTGTGTTTTTATGTTTTATTTCTTTGTGTTTTCCTTGATTTGGTGCCCATGCAGATGAGGAGGAGCGACTGCAGAATGTGGAGCCCATCCAGGCGGAGGTGCTGTTGGACACGTACAAGAGGAAATTGGCTGATGAGGGACGGCTCTTCCTGGCCGAGTTTCAGGTACAACAAACGATTCTCAAACTGGGGTACAGGAAAAAGTGTGTACTGTAGATCAGGGGTGTTTGATGTTTTTCAGGCCAGGAACCCCCAAACTGATGGAGAGCTGCATACAAGTGTGTTTTATATTAAACTGGGCTTAGTGTCCTGTATAAAGGGCCCATGTCATGTAAAATCAACTTTTCAGAGCTCTCTACCTTCTAAGAGTGATGTGTGGGCCTTGTATTTGTCGCCAAAGTGTTTTTTAGATTGATTCTGCAGGTTTTTTTTTACAAATTGCAACGTATTTCTACCACCCTCCCACGTAACAATGAACAAAAGCTGCTACAACGATGATGCAGCAGCTACACCTATGACACGTTTGACGCAGCAGGAAGTGCTTCGCACCTGCCTCCCTCCCCCGCTCTGTTTCTGTGGGCATCGGCTGACAATTACCACATGAAAACCTAAACAAAAGCGACAGCATAAGCTCATTGTTCTGCAGTGTACACAATTTAATAAGTTGATCTACTAGTGTTTATTAATACTTTACCAATCAGTAATGTTCAGCTGATGTGGACGCGGTGCTTGAGCTTCGTGCTCCTCCAAGTCATCGTCCGATTCCGGGTCCAACACATGGGGCTGAACGTGCTGTATCTCCATGATGAATAAAAGTTTATTCCTGCCACTATCAGGGTCACGCCTGTCTCCCCCTCCCTCCCTGAGATGGGCGGAGGAAGGGCGGCTCACTCAGAGTCTATGTCACGTTTGGAGGGCGGAGCCTGTGCTTTCTCAGGACGGGCGGGGGGATGAGCAATAATCAGCCTTTCATAGTTCCTGGTCTGTGACTGTCTCCAAGAAATCAATAACATTTCAGAACTACTGTGTAATGGATGTTCCAAAAGCCAAATTGTGCTAAGTGTAAGTCATTTAACAAGTGCAGGTTTAGCCTGAAGTTCTGAGCTGAATCTAGCCAGAGCTCCCGTGAGCCCCTCCCCATGCCGGGGCTGGCCACGCCTCGGGTCCCCGCAAGGCGAGACCCGCTCCGTTCAACTACGACCTCAGATCAGACGAGACTACCCGCTGAATTTAAGCATATTACCAAGCGGAGAAAAAGAAACTAACCAGGATTCCCTCAGTTGTTCCATGACAGAAATAAGCCTGCGTCTGACCAAAGCTAATTCAGGCCTGAAGTTTAAACTGTGCTTTATGCGTTTGTGGTGACTCTGAGAAGACCAGAGCAATGGAGCAACGACCCATACAGTACCTCCATGACCCCCCTAGGAGTCGTGAGCCCCCTGCTGAAGACTTCTGCTGTAGATTTGTATGGTGCAGAAAATAATTTAGATAATTTTATTTCATACAATATGTGGAGTTTATATTACTTATTGCCTTTAATCTTTAAGTTTATTTACTTAATTTAGACTTTATTTGTAACTTTTTCTGGTGGAGGGTCTGCCAAATGCTTTTGTTCATGCAGATGTTATTGCTTTGTCTGGAATGTTTCACAGTATGGCATTAAACTTTTCTATCTTCACGGACACCAGACCAAGCGACCCTGCTCACAGTCAGAATGTTTGTTTTTCTAGGTATTTTTGGGCAGTAAAACCATCTGTAATTGAATAAATGTAAAGTAAATCTGTGAAGTGTCACACTGTGGAACATTCCAGGCAGAGCAATGACGTATCCACAGAAATAAGCAGGTGACGGACCCTTTATTTTTGTAATCATAAACTAAAGCAGTGGTGCTCAATTCTTCGATCCCGATCTACCAGTCGATCGCCAAGGTCGTGTGGGTAGATCGCCGTGTCTCGTCTCGGACTCGATCACGTTTGGACTCGGTCTTGTCTCTCACTCAAGGTCCGACACTCAGCAAGTGCGATCATATTTCATTACGGCCGCTGCTGTTGGCAATAAACTTGTACCAGAGTGCAGGAGCGTGTGCAGCCTGTGTGTGCAGCCTGTCTGCTCATTTGAAACCCGCAGAGACTCTACGGCGCATCACAAACACACACGCTCCCTATGCACGGCTCGTCTGCAACAGCGTGTGCCCTCGTGTACCAGCGTGCATCACAGGGCAGGTTCAACTTCCTCAACATCCTACCTGTCCATCTGCCTCACGTCAGCACGCCGCCCCTCGCCTTTTCACGCTCTCGCTCCTTCCTGCGTACAGCGAACACAAGCCCCTCCCACAGTGCGCTGATTAGAAGAGCAAGACCAAACGTGAAGCAAAAACCAGTCTAAATTTGTGTTACAGTTTTGTGTGCGTTTGGTTTGGTAAATGTGCAGAGGCTGGTAAATATCACTGCAAAACCAGAAAAGAATGCAACTCCAGTTTGGAACTTTAAAAAACGGGTTTAAAAATCTTACCTATTTTCATAGTTTTGTGTAAAGTGCCAGAGGAAGTTCTCTTAAAGAAGGGGTTCTCAAACTGTGGGTGAGGGTCCAAAAAAGGGGTACAGAGTGTTTCAGTGCAGTTTGCTTGGCTTTGTATTAGGTAGATCATTTTGATTTGGCCATTTTGTAAGCAGATCACATGCTGAAAAATTGTGAGCAACCCTGAACTAAAGGAACTGTATGCAGCCGGCGTTCTTGCTCTTGTAAAAAACTTAGATAGATAGATGCAGATAGAGCAGATAGACACACGTCCTGTATTTGTCTCATTCTCAAGTTATGTTCAGGTCTCATGTGAAGCTCAGAACCCCCAGAATTCCCTCCCTGAGCTGCAGAGGCTGCACTAGCACTGACTCAGAACTGGTGCAGGTGCTGGGGTTTAGGGAGTGACCATTCAGATCAGAGAGAGACATTTTAGGTTTAAACGCAACGCAAATGAGAGACTCATTTGAGGCTCATTCTGCTTTCTGATTGGAGAATTGTCTTGAACCCAAACACCAAATTATGACATAAAAAACTTTGGTTATCATGTTCAAAATCAGCATTGTGTTGTGTGTGCATTATCTGTGGCCACCCTTAGGTCATTATGGAGTTTAAAATCTAAATCTTAAATACAGTTTCTTTAAAATGTGCCTGTAAAATAACACACTCTCCTTTTTAGAGCGTCCCAAGAATCTTCTCAAAGTTCACGATAAAGGAAGCCAAGAAAAACTGCAACGCCATCAAGAACCGCTACGTGGACATCCTGCCCTGTGAGTCCAACTTTTATTTTTAGATAAAGAATCAAACATGTGTATTTAAGTGTTATAATTCATCTTACTTATAAATATCTTCGAGCGCAGACGACTATAACCGGGTGCAGCTGACCACAGGAAATGGAGAACAGGGCTGTGACTACATCAACGCCAGCTTCATCGATGTGAGTGATTCTGAATTAAATAATTAAAGATGCACTATGGAACTTTTCTGGTCTGCTTGTCTCTATGGCAATGCACGTAATGTTCCACTGTATGGCATTAAACCTGACGATCCTGCATTTATTGAATTGTAGGTTATTTATTATACCTTGAAAAACTTGCACTCTTACTGTGAGCGGGCTTGCCTCTCCACAGATCTGACCTTTAGTTTAGTTTGGCACTGCTTCCTGTTTGTCTCCATAGAGATATGTTTAATGTAGATGTGTTAAATGCCATATTGTGGAACATTCTACTGCAAGTAATAACATTTTCATGAGGCCGGCAGGCAAAGAATCATCCACCAGAAAGGTTCTGTAGTGCCTCTTTAAAACAATTACAATATACATTTTAATATATGTATTTATTTATTTTATCTAACATGTCAAACTTATGTCCTCACCACAGGGATACAAGGAAGCCAAGAAGTACATTGCAGCTCAAGGTGAGGCCATGATAAGAAACTATAACACAAAGAAATGAATCAAAAACATGTTATTTGTCTATTTAGATTAGAAATACTTTATTATCCCGAAAGAAAATTCATTCATTCATTAAGCAGTTTGAGCAATAAAATACAAAAATAATAGCAGTGAATTACAATATCAATCAATCAATCAAACTTTATTTATAGAGTGCTTTTCATACAAAAATGTAACACTTTACAAAGATTAAAAACAATTTCACATTTGAGCCAGCTGCACTCTTTTCACAACAGCTCTGATTTTCTCTTGGTTTTCAAGGTCTACACACCACCCTTTGTAAAGCTTTGTAAGTCTCAGAGATGTTCTCCATACTGCGCTCCAAGGCCAGTAATGACAGAAAAGCTCACACAAAAGTCTCAATGGTAGAGGCATCAGGTCCAGTGTGCAGGAAAAGTAACAGCCCGCAGGACAAAAGTGCTCCCCTTCTGTGTCCTGCAGTATCACAGCAGCCTCCAGGGGGAGTCACTACACTTGTTTCGTTCAGTGATGAGACGGGCCATTCCCTCTGCAACATTTTCTACCCTTTACTGTTGAAAGTCTGTTGCATTGTTTTTAAAAAGTCTGTAGCATTTCAGAGCTCGCTGGTTAGCATAGCTGGCTCCAAGCAGGGTTGCCATAGACACAGGAAAAACAAACTGCTCTGCGCTTCTAAGTTGGTCAAAATCCCCAATTATCAAGTTAAAAATGTAAGAACTGTAAGAAAATGTAAAAATTGCTCAGTGTGCCAGCCAGTCAGCCACAAAAGCAGCTAATCACAGCCCTGGCAACCACAGAAAAGTATTGTATAACTATATATCTAGTTTTTACCATAAAGTTCAAATAAAGTTGTATATAAGCCACATAATTTCACATTAGATAAACTCTTGTGTCGTAGGACCAAAGGAGGAGACCATCACTGATTTCTGGAGAATGGTTTGGGAGCAGAAGTCGTCCGTCATCGTCATGGTAACGCGCTGTGAGGAGGGAAACCGGGTAAGTAAAATTTTTTACTTTTAAAAATAGTATACTTCAATGTGTATGTAAATTATTTCATCTAATGTATTTGTTTTAAAATACTGGTAGAAAACATTTTCAGACAGTTCAGGATTCCTTAAACAGGAATTAATCAAGATAGAAGTTTGAGTAAGATAATAATGAAAGAACACAGTTTTAAGAAGTTATAAAAGTTGATTTTACATAATATGTCCCCTTAAATAAAAATGTTAAAATTCAAATTTGGTTGAATGTACTAAAAATGTTTTCTCAGTTGAAAAGTATATTTTGATAGAAACCTAATAACTGACATTTTGAAAGGAGATTGCACCACTTCATCTGTTCAATTCACTCTCAGTTATTTTAGTTTTAAAATATTTGAGGTTAAAGTACTTGATGAAAACTTGGTCTGAAAACATTATTAAACAAACTTAATTATTGTTATTATCTTTACTTCAATGTGTGCTGTTGTTTCTAGCCCAAGTGTGCGCAGTACTGGCCCAGTCTGGAGCGAGAAGCTGAGATCTTTGAGGAGTTTGTGGTGAAAGTGAACGCTGAAGACCAGTGCCCAGACTACACCATCCGCCACCTCAGCCTGACCAATGTGAGTCCTGCCGCTGACAGACCTGCAGCTTAAAACAGATGAGCCCTCAGCATAGTGCTTCTAATAGTGCTTCTGAGAGTTCTTCTTATAGTGCATAGTTATAACTGGACCTTTGACCCACCTGCGATCAGGTTTACCACAGCCAACCAGAGCAGCCAGCACCTGTTGCCTAGTGACACCTCTTAAACTGTAGAAGTAGCAGAAGAGTCTGACTTGTCATCACTTACCATCATGTCTACAGTGATGACAGGCCATAGTGTCTTGTCAAAGCCTGATCTCAGAAGCTAAACAGAACTGGGCCTGGTTAGAACTTGGATGGGACACCATTGAGACCAGGTGCTACAGGGGTCCACCGGTGGCAAAATCTGTTGTTGTGTCTTTAGGCAACATTCATATTCACATTGCCTGGTATGAAAGTGGTGTGTGCTTGAGTGATGGTGGTGATTGGAACAGATGGACAGCCTCGCGTCCGTCAGTCTGGCCCAGGGCAGCTGTGGCAATAGTACCTTATCACGTCTGAGTGTGGAGTGAATGAACAGTGCACTGTAAAGCACTCTGAGTGTCTTGAGAGGCACTACATAAATTAAATACTTAATGGATGAATTAACAGGCTCCATACCTCTAGATCAGACTGCAGAGTGAGTACAAGGCCCCTGTGGTCTTTACAAGCACGTTTAACCCACACGTGTTTGTTCTTTTTGTTCTTTTTGTGAATAAGAGTGCACGGAAAGAGCAGCTCTTTGACTCATGAGATCAACATATCAGAGACAGACTCTTTAACGTGGTCTTTTGTCTCTGTATTATGTGCAGAAGAGAGAGAAGAACAGTGAGCGGGAGGTGACTCATATCCAGTTCCTGAGTTGGCCTGACCACGGTGTTCCAGGAGAGCCCCACCTGCTGCTCAAACTGAGGCGGCGCGTCAACGCCTTTAAGAACCTGTTCAGTGGACCCATCGTTGTTCACTGCAGGTCTGTCCCTGTGTCCTGTCAACATACGGCTTTATAACACCCACCTGTGTTATACCCCCTGTGTTATACCCCCTGTGTTATACCCCTGTGTTATACTCCTGTGTTATACCCCCTGTGTTATACCCCCTGTGTTATACCCCTCTGTATACCCCCCTATGTTATACCCCCTGTGTTATACCCCTCTGTTATACCCCTATGTTATACCCCCTGTGTTATACCCCTGTGTTATACCCCCTCTGTTATACCCCTATGTTATACCCCCTATGTTATACCCCCTGTGTTATACCCCCTGTGTTATACTCCTGTGTTATACCCCTGTGTTATACCCCCTGTGTTATACCCCTGTGTTATACCCCTGTGTTTATACCCCTGTGTTATACCCCTGTGTTATACCCCTGTGTTTATACCCCTGTGTTATACCCCCTGTGTTATACCCCTGTGTATATACCCCTGTGTATACCCCCTGTGTTATACCCCTGTGTTTATACCCCCTGTGTTATACCCCCTGTGTTATACCCCCTGTGTTATACCCCTGTGTTATACCCCCTGTGTTATACCCCTGTGTTATACCCCTGTGTTATACCCCTGTGTTATACCCCCTGTGTTATACCCCTGTGTTATACCCCCTGTGTTATACCCCCTGTGTTATACCCCTGTGTTATACCCCCTGTGTTATACCCCTGTGTTATACCCCCTGTGTGTATACCCCCTGTGTTATACCCCCTGTGTTATACCCCCTGTGTCCCCTGTTATACCCCTGTTATACCCCTGTGTTATACCCCCTGTGTTATACCCCCTGTGTTATACCCCCTGTGTTATTTATACCCCTCCCCTGTGTTATACCCCTGTGTTATACCCCCTGTGTTATACCCCTATACCCCTGTGTTATACCCCCTCTGTTATACCCCCTATGTTATACCCCCTGTTATACCCCCTGTGTTATACCCCTGTGTTATACCCCTGTGTTATACCCCTGTTATACCCCCTGTGTTATACCCCCTGTGTTATACCCCCTGTGTTATACCCCTGTGTTATACCCCTATGTTATACCCCTGTGTTATACCCCCTGTGTTATACCCCTGTGTTATACCCCTGTGTTATACCCCTGTGTTATACCCCCTGTGTTATACCCCTGTGTTATACCCCCTGTGTTATACCCCTGTGTTATACCCCCTGTGTTATACCCCCTGTGCCACTGTGTATTTGACATGTTATTTAAAGGGCCAGTACTCTATTTGTCGTGAGTATTTACCCAAAATGTATTTCGTGTTGGAGTACAGATAATTGTATGAGCAGCTCTTGAGGTGAAACTATGTCCACTGTGTCCTGTCTGCTGGCTGTTGGCACTTGTACCTCTATTTGAGAAACTGCAAGAATTGGATCATAAACTTTCCATTTAACGGTGCATTGTGTAACTTTTCTGGTGGAGGATCCATCAGATGCTTTTCTTCATGGAGATGTTATTGCTTTGTCTGGAATGTTTCACAATATGGCATTAAACCTTTCTATGTTCATGGAAACCAAACCAGACCAAGTTACAGGTCAGATCTGTGGAGAGGCGACCCGCTCACAGTGAGAATGTCTGTTTTTCGAGCTATTTTTGAGTTATAAAACCACCTGTAACTGAATATAAACTAGTAAAGTTTAATGCTATATTGTGGAACATTGCAGGCGGAGCAATGACATTTCCATACACTGCAAAAAACTTGACCAAAATGTAAGATATAAACACTTAAATCAGAAAATGACTTAAAAGTAATGAAATGATCGCAGCAAAATCACTTCACTTGACAAGTTCTCTTAAAATAAACAACCTCTAGACTAGAATGAAGCATCTCAGAATGAGTAAGTAGATGACAAATCTGAAAACAAGATGAATAACCTGATATAACTTTTAAAACCTCAACCAAATCAGAGAAATTTGCAGTGTAGAAACAAGCGGGTGACGGACACCCAAAAAGTTACATACAGTTACATAAAGTTAAATTAGCACCTTTAACAAAACTATTCAGTACAGCTCCCTGTAGAAATCTGATCACATTTGGATAGTCTGGAGAGTCTGAGGTCTCCAGGGCAGACATTGTTAGTGTGCACTTGTGTCTAAAGCTGCCTCTGTTTTTGTTTCTCTGGCGTTCAGTGCTGGCGTGGGCAGGACGGGCACCTACATTGGCATAGATGCCATGATGGAGGGTCTGGAGGCCGAGGGCAGAGTGGATATCTATGGATACGTGGTCCAGCTGCGCAGACAGAGGTGCCTCATGGTGCAAGTGGAGGTAAGAAACTGAAATAATTTGGTTCTTTGGATTTCAGAATGATGAGAATTGAGCACATATTGAAGTAAAATTGAGTTTGAGCTTTTGACCAGGTTATAATTTATTTATTTATTGTTTATTTGCATCCAGACAGATACACAAACATAATAGGGATGTAAAAATATCCAAATATGTACAATAAATATTGTGAAATTTTCTGGGGGCTAACAAAACTACTTTTTCCTCTTAAAATGCCTTGATAAGTACTTTCCTCATGTCGTCTGCGCTGAAAAAGAGCAAAGGATCATGGTCTATGTAGTTCCCTCTGATGCTTCTGCACCAGACCAACATGTTTCTCAGTTGTAGGGAGTATTATCTTTTCCATAAGAGTGAGCTGTTGTACAGTTGTAGGGAGTATTATCTGCTGCATAAAAGAGAGTTGTTGTACAGTTGTAGGGAGTATTATCTGTTACATAAGGGCGAGTTGTTGTACAGTTGTAGGGAATATTATCTGCTACATAACGGTGAGTTGTACAGTTGTAGGGAGTATTATCTGGTACATAAGGGTGAGTTGTACAGTTGTAGGGAGTATTATCTGCTACATAAGTGTAAAAGTAAAGTAAAAATATGCTTTCAGGACACATGCTTCTTCTCTTTTCTGTGAAGTTCGCTGTTACTGGAAGGAAGCGCCACATCAACACGTTTGTTTCTCTATGTGTGATCGTCACCTTTAGTTTAACAGCTTTACAATACATAATTAGACAGGAATTGTTCATTTTCAATCAATAGCTGTTCCCATTTCCAGTAAAGCACATTATGATGTCGTCGCAAACCCAGCTCCTTTTAACCATGCCATAATGATTTCTTTTTACATTTAACATTTTAACTACATTTTAGTAATACTCTATCTTTAGGTTCTACTCTTGTAAAACTTTAATGATATTTTTGTTTGTTATAACAATGTCACATGTCAAACACCAACATGTGTATTATCTGTTCCATTTGGGTGAGTTGTGGACAGTTGTAGGGAGTATTATCTGTTACATAAGGGTGAATTGTTGTACAGTTGTAGGGAGTATTATCTGTTCCATAAGGATGAGTTGTTGTACAGTTGTAGGGAGTATTATCTGTTCGATAAGGATGAGTTGTTGTACAGTTGTAGGGAGTATTATCTGTTCCATAAGGATGAGTTGTTGTACAGTTGTAGGGAGTATTATCTGTTCCATAAGGATGAGTTGTTGTACAGTTGTAGGGAGTATTATCTGTTCCATAAGGATGAGTTGTTGTACAGTTGTAGGGAGTATTATCTGTTCCATAAGGGTGAGTTGTTGTACAGTTGTAGGGAGTATTATATTATCTGTTCCATAAGGTGTGAGTTGTTGTACAGTTGTAGGGAGTATTATCTGCTGCAAAAAGAGTTGTTTGTGCAGTTGTAGGGAGTATTATCTATTCCATAAGGGTGAGTTGTTGTACAGTTGTAGGGAGTATTATCTGTTCCATAAGGATGAGTTGTTGTACAGTTGTAGGGAGTATTATCTGTTCCATAAGGGTGAGTTATTGTACAGTTGTAGGGAGTATTATCTGCTGCAAAAGAATGAGTTGTTGTGCAGTTGTAGGGAGTATTATCTATTCCATAAGGGTGAGTTGTTGTACAGTTGTAGGGAGTATTATCTGTTCCATAAGGGTGAGTTGTTGTACAGTTGTAGGGAGTATTATCTGTTACATAAGGATGAGTTGTTGTACAGTTGTAGGGAGTATTATCTGTTACATAAGGATGAGTTGTTGTACAGTTGTAGGGAGTATTATTAACAATGCCCCCTTAACATTGGCCTCCTTAAAGGTGATTGTGGGTCCATCATCTGCTTGTTTCTATGGAGATGTTATTGCTCTGTCTGGAATGTTCCACAGTGTGACATTAAACATTTATTCAACAGGTGGTTGTAGAGCTCAAAAATACCTAGAAAAACAGACATTCTGACTGTGAGCAGGGTCACCTCTCCACAGATCTCACCTGTAACTTGGTCTGGTTGGGTCTACATGGAGATAGAAAGTAGATAGTTTAATGCCATACTGTGAAACATTCCAGATAAAGCAATAACATCTCCATGGAAAAAAAAACATTTAAAGGAGCCTCCACTAGAAATGTTACACAATGCACTTTTAATGTTGTATTTATTATTAATACTGTCCTGCATTTGAGTGCTCAAAAAATTCCCGTTTTTACCTACCCCCTATCCCTGCCCACTGGTCTGTACTTGTGATTATTTAAAAGATTCAGACTCTAACACATTGTTTGTTTGTTGTTTTTTTTGTCCAACAGTCAAACATGGAAATGAAAATGATCTATTAGATAATGGCACAGTGAGGGGGGCTTTCAGTTCTGCAGGAAGTGAGGAGACTCGTTTCTATTTTTATGTTGTTTTAGATCAGTATTGCAATTTACAGTGAACAAAATGACTATGACTGAAATTCTTATTCTTCTTATTATTATTATTTTTCATAACTTGATTTAATAACATTTTCCATATATCAGCATTGTCAGGATGAAATACTTCAATAAAAAGGAGTAAAACACACACATCAAACCAAAAACAACAACAGTAACAACAAAAAACACCTACTACCAACTACCAGGTCATCTAGTCACAAGAAACATGTTCCAGAGTTGAAAAGTGAAACTGAGTTAGAGATCAATCGATGACAAGAGTGAAAACATCATTGTGAAAGAGAGAGAAAATGAACTCAAAAAACTCAAGATTCAAGAGTCAAAAATAAAAAAAAAAGATCCTGTGTTTTCTTAAAAGTTTTCTTACTTTTTCCATGTGGAGCAGTGTGAATGGAGCAAGAGGCTTGCATTTAAGAAGAATAAGGCAAATTGAACAAATAATGATGAATGTAGGTGTTAGGTTTATCTAGACATTTAAAACAAGAAGAAAGACAAGAGATTAATTCAGTTTTACTCATGAGGAGAACGGGCAGAGAGTGGGCATCAAAACCAACAGTCTCCACACGTTCTGATGACTCAAGGCTGTTCTCCTCCTTTTATTTCATTAGGAGGCCCTAGTTACAGAATGATAATTCTCAAGGGGAAGGGGGAATCAGCAAAGACATAATAAGAAACTGATGCAGCTATGCATAGTACAAACACATAAAACATGATTAACAATCAGGAGGTGCCTTAGGTCAGACACCATCATAACTCTTGCATGTGTGACAGTGGGAGTTGGCTTCATGTGAGGAATCATCTCGAGGTTCACTACAGCGATAGGACACTGCACACAGTTGTCAAACACAAAGAGGTTATTCATATTCATACAAGTGATTGGTACATTATAAATCAAAGAATTGTAGTACATAAATGGTTAACTCATAGGCCTAGAATATCACACAAGCATTTAGCAAATATGGGATAATAGAATTATTCTGACAGTAGGTCGACTTACGTAATAGTTTTTTGTAAATAGTCCAAAAAAGCAAATGTCTGTACCTGTTTTTTACTGTCTTAAAAACTAGTTCATTTTAAACAGTTTGCAGTGGTCCAAAGTTCTTCTTCACTTTATGTGCATTCAGAGCATCCAAATTATTTACCGTAATAAGTTTATAAGAGACCAGTTCAAAGTTTTGCCATCACTATGAAGTCTACATCAGCTAGCATGCTCTCCGTGCACTTCCTGATTATGAAGAAATGAAATGCTTAAAATAAAATGTTTATATTAGACTTGTTTTGATCTCAAGAGAGGCTTATGCAGTGAAATTGGCTTCTAGTACCTTTAAAGTTGCACTGTGTAACTTTTCTGGTGTAGGGTCAGCTGTTTGCTTGTTTCTATGGAGATGTTCCACAATATCGCATTAAACAGCTCTACCTTGCATTTATTCATTCGTCATTTTATAGCTCAAAAATAGGTAGAAAAAAAGGCATTCTGACTGTGAGCGGGGTCGCCACTCCACAGATCTGACCTGTAACCAGTGTTGGGAAGGTGACTTTTAAAATGTATTCCCCTACAGATTACAGATTACATCCCCCAAAATGTAGTTTGTAACATAATCTATTAAATTACTTAAAGTGAGTAATGTAATCTAAATACTTTGGATTACTTGATATTGTCATGTTTTTTAAAACTACATGAATGTAACAACCACATCCTGAAAATTCATGTTTGCTCAGTCTTTACTTGACCAGATTAAAAAATATATATTGATTAGAAAAAGAGATTTTATAGATTTTATATGAAACAATATTTCCATCCTACTGTTAGTGTCATATTTTATTAGTTTAGGCCTAGTTTAGACCTGGTTTAGTCCTGGTTTAGTCCTGTTTTAGTCCTGGTTTTAGTCCTGGTTTCAGTCCTGGTTTAGTCCTTGTTTAGTCCTGGTTTAGTCCTGGTCTTAGTTCTGGTTTTATTTCTGGTTTTAGTCCTAGTTTAGCCCAAAATGTGAAAATACCACCATGTAATTCACTTATTTCAACTAAGTAACTGTAATCCAATTACCACTCACTGAAACAGTAACTGTAACTGAATACAGTTACTCATAATTTGTACTCTGATTACGTAACTCCGATACATGTAATCTGTTACTCCCCAACACTGCCTGCAACTCGGTTTGGTTTGGTCTCCATGAAGATAGAAAGTAGAGAGTTTAATGCCATACTATGAAACATTCCAGACAAAGTGATAACAACTCTATGGAGAAAAGCATTTGACCAGCCCTCCACCAAAAAAGTGACACAATGCACCTTTAAGTTTTAAAAAATACCAACTCTTTATGTTTGAAAAAGCAAAATTTAACACTGTGTACACCTCCAACGCAAACTCTCTTCACACTGCCTAATGTGTGAAATGTGAAAGTCGGTAAGATCTGGTGACACAAACAGGAACTCTTGAGTTTACTGGACTTACTCACATCTGTATTTGAAGTTCTCAGATGGCGTTTAGAGTGAAACTGGCCCTCCGTGTGGTTGCAGCGTTGCTCTGCGGTCTGTCAGGCACATCAGAGCACTTTTAGTCTCGACCCATCTATATATAAAAGCTGAACATGAATTATCTAGAACGTTTGAAATAGTTGTGTGGAATTACAGGAATAGCTTTAATCCTATGTAAAGAAATGACAACTGTGGTCACTGTAGGGTTTGTAGTTGCAATAAAATATTTAGTATGTAGTAGTAATTAAAGGTGCGTTGTGTAACTAAAGAGGCTGAAGAGCTTTTCTAAACTAGAACAGCAGACAAAAGACAGAAAATGTTCATTATTATGTGTGCGAAATGGTGCCACGAATGTTCTATATTAATCTAACGAGTTGCAGTCTTTTTCTATTATCTGTTACATAAGTTTGAGTTGTTGTACAGTTGTAGGGAGTATTATCTATTACATAAGTTTGAGTTGTTGTACAGTTGTAGGGAGTATTATCTGTTACATAAGGGTGAGTTGTTGTACAGTTGTAGGGAGTATTATCTGTTACATAAGGGTGAGTTGTTGTACAGTTGTAGGGAGTATTATCTGTTACATAAGGGTGAGTTGTTGTACAGTTGTAGGGAGTATTATCTATTACATAAGTTTGAGTTGTTGTACAGTTGTAGGGAGTATTATTTGTTACATAAGTTTGAGTTGTACAGTTGTAGGGAGTATTGTACTTTACATAAGGATGAGTTGTTGTACAGTTGTAGGGAGTATTATCTGTTACATAAAAGTGAGTTGTTGTACAGTTGTAGGGAGTATTATCTGTTACATAAAAGTGAGTTTTTGTACAGTTGTAGGGAGTATTATCTGTTACATAAAAGTGAGTTTTTGTACAGTTGTAGGGAGTATTATCTGTTACATAAAAGTGAGTTTTTGTACAGTTGTAGGGAGTATTATCTTTTTCACAAGGATGAGTTGTTGTGCAGTTGTAGGGAGTATTATCTGTTACATATTGTGAGTTGTTGCACAGTTGTAGGGAGTATTATATTTTACTTAAAGGTGAGTTGTTGTAAATGTTCTATTTTAATCTTACAGGTTACAGTTTTTTCTTCGGGTGAAACGAGATATAATTTCCACGATACAAATCAAGACACGAGATTCCCAATTTTAGCTTTACAGTTTTTCATGCACTTTATTGAATATTTCTGCTGTTGTTGTACTGTGTTTTCAGGGACCACAGATCTTCTCAATAAATGTAATTTGCCAGTATTTAACTCCATTTTTCTTCAATCCAAACATAAGAAAATCTCACAAGATCATTTTCAGAATATGCGCTCAATCTCGCGGCAGTTCTGTCTCGTGAGATCTTGTCCCATCCCTCGTCTTTTCACCTTGTAATGACACCTCTTTTTTTTCCTTCTTCTTTTTTTTTTTTTTTTTTTTTTGACCTTTTTTTTTCTTTCACAGTGGTGCTGTTGATGTCACTGCTTCCTGTCTTCTTGTATTTTTGCAGAGATAAATCAATAAATATTTAAAGCTCAGCCAGACTTTACAAATGAGGTGAACACTTTGACAAAGGAGACGTCTATGTTCAGAAAAGTAGATCTATTTTTTTCTTTTTTTTCCAAATGGCAATACTAATTTTGAGAGTATAAAAATTAAAGTAACACCACAAACAGAACTAATCTCCAAATAAAAACAACCAGATCGTCTGTACTTAAACTTAATTATTTTGTTTATTAGTTAGTACACAGAGCATATTACAGATATTACATATGAACCATAAATCAGGTCAATAAATCTGCAGTCTGACAGTTACATTATAACATTTTACACTCTAACATTATGACCTGTCTCCAGCTTTGTCTAAACTAAACTCTTCTACAAAGACCTCAACTCACCAGAGTGTGAAACTGAGAAAATGTCTTCAAAGTTTTGGTTTTGTCCAGACAAACGTATAATAGGCAGGGCTCTCAAAATCTGACAATTATTTGCTATAAACAAGAAATATTTGTGTGCGAAAAATATTGAGCGCAAAATTGTAAAGTATAAAATAAGATGTTGTACAAAGGCAAAAGGCAGTAACAGTGTCAGTTTCTGCTTTTTGTCTTTGCACGACTCCATATTTTTGGCTTATGATACAGTACAGGAACTGACAAATAGGGGTCAAAGGTCAAATCTGAGCTCAATATTTTTTATGATATTTATTCACATGGTAAAGGAGCTCTCAAATACAAACAAAATGACATGAACTCATTTTTGACCAAACATGATGTTACAATGTTCAGTATAGGGATTGTAGAAGTTGTGTTGCCATTTGCGCCCCGTCCACACTAGTTCGAGTCATTTTCATTGTGGGTGCAGTGTTCGTTCACACTAATCCAACTGAAAACGGCTCCAGAGACGGAACGTTCTGGTGCTGCGTGTGTGGCGTTGTGTGGATGCCTGAAAACGCTGATATGCTGATGTAGGTCTGTATGCCGCAAAGTAATTCAGTGCCAAAACACTAAGAGGCTAGAATATATGTCCATTCATATAAACGGTCTGTGTGTACGACCTGCAGACGTATAAGCTCTGAAAAGTTTCACATGAACCAATGAGGTAGAAGCACAGAACAGACTCACCATAAGCAGAATATCCCCTCTGTCACAGAAAGAACACTCATATTCCACTGAGTCGTGTCCTTTAGTCCGATAGAAGCTGAACCACATCAGCACACAATAGTGAACTTTTTTTTTTTTTTGAGCACTTAGTTTATGCAAATGAGCCATGCAGTTTTAAGTTTTGTTTCTGCAAAATGTAAACAAATCTGCTCAAAGCTGTGTGAATAGGGAAGGCTTGCAGACACAGAAAGGATGATACGCAGATTCATTTCAGTGTAAACATAGTCTTGAACACATCCTATGTTGTTTGTGTGGCCAGACCGGCTTGTCAAAGCCTGATCCCGTCAGATCTCAGAAGCTCAGCAAGGTCGGGCCTGGGTAGTACTTGGATGGGAGACCAGTGGGAAAATCAGGTGCCATTGCCTAGTATGAAAGTGATGTGTGCGTGAGTGATGGTGGTGGTCAGAGGGACCAATGGTGTCAATTGGCTTGGCAGCCGCGCTTCCATTGGTATGCCCCAGGGCAGCTGTGGCTACAATAGTAGCTTACCATCACCGGGTATGGAGAAAAAGAATAATAAATCTATAATTGCTCTGTAAAAGCGTCTTTGTGACATGTGTCTGTGAAAAGCGCATAAATAAAGACTTACTTACTATTTCAGTGATGAAAAATGTGCACTGTTGCCATAGCAATTAACAATTCAAAACAAACTATTATATATTGTTGAATGCTGAAAAGTCTTCACAATGTCTCTTAAATACAGGAGGTTGTAGTGTATAACTTCTCTGTATCTGAGTCTGCTCTGTCTGCTCCGTGTGCAGGCCCAGTACATCCTGATCCACCAGGCCCTGCTCGAGCATAACCAGTTTGGAGAGACAGAGGTCAGCCTGAGCGAGCTCCACAGCACCCTGAGCACCCTGAAGGAGCAGGGCCCCGGGGAGGAGGGCACCCTCCTGGCGGACGAGTTTGAGGTACCGACACTCACTGCCACTCACAACCACGGAAAACAAATATTCTTATAATATTTGGAGAATATATTTGCAAAATCAGGATTCAGTTTCCAGAGTAATTTTCAAATGTTATATTTACACCATAATAATATTTAGTTCTCTGCATTATTTTCCCTAAAACATCTGATTGATCTTTACAGCTGCAGTTGTGGTTTCACAATATACTATGGGGAAAAACTAATTGAATTTATTTACAAGAATAACCGTTGTAAAGTAGCAGAGGGGCTCACACTCACACCAGCAACAATATGTCTGAGTCTGGGCGACTTTCCTCCAGAGAGTCCAGACCAAACCAAGCTCTCTGCAGAAGAATGTGTCAAATGTAGAAACTTAAGTGAATAAATTATTATTATAAATAAAGCATACCTTGACTTGACCAGCTTTTATCCTTGTAGTTATAGTGAATTGAAGTCTATTTAGCTCTAAACTGAGGTCTGCTGTTTCAGAGAATGCCCGTGTATAAGAACTGGAGAACGTACAACGCAGGGATCACCGAGGAGAACAAGAAGAAGAACCGGGTGTCTGCTGTAGTCCCATGTGAGTGAAAGGACAAAAAACACACCAGGAGCAGTAAATAATGCTCTTTCAACTCCATGTACACAGGAACGCAAAAAGTAAATCCACTTTAAATCCAATCCACTTTATTTATGTGGCACATTTTATAAACGTATCCAAAGTGCTGCACAGACAAATTAAGAAGAGAGTAAATCATATATAAAAATGATAGAGATTAAAATATATGTATGAATTATATATAAAAAGTGTTAAACTACATAAAGCTAAAAACTATAAAAATGAATTATGCTTATACAGTAGCTTATCACATTTAAAATCACTGTCTAAATATTTTAGAGCATTGTTTCCCAAAGAGTTGTGATCCTCTGGTGGGTCACAAGAAATTTCTTTGGGTCGCCTTGTCACGATCTGCATGTAGATCTGTGACATATGGTTCTGACACATGTTGAAATGTTAAGACATGTTCTGTATAATTTCTAATAATTTTGTAATTATTTTATTGCCTATTTTGTTCCAGTGTTGCTGGTTTAATTGAATGTTGAAAAGAAAAAAAAAGTGCTACATTTAATGTCCAAACAGGCGACTTCTGGATCCTTTTATTTCTGCTTCACTGACTGTCATTGTTTAAAACTTGAGTAAATCTAATAGTTCAGAGACACGATCACTCAGTCAACAATAAAATATCTTTCATTAATGTTCAATAATGCAAATCCACCTTTATTTTGTGATTTATGAATAATGTTTAATGAATGTTATGTTTTATTATTGAAGGTTTGTGACTTTTAAAATATAGATCCCCAGAAAAATGGTTTGGGAAATACTGTTTTAGAGTGTTTGTCCACTGATCCGAAGGTTGGCGGTTTGAATCCCACTCTCGACATAAACATCAGTGTCTGTGTACTCTAGTGTGTGTGTGTGTGTGTGAGTGTGTGTGTGTGTGTGTGTGTGAGTGGGTGAGAGGTTCCTTGATGTAAAGAGTTTTGTGTTATGTGCCTTGAAGGTGGAAAACTAAAAAATGTGATATTTTGCCATGACCATCTTAAGCTCTAAAACTGTATGTATTAGCCTTGTCTGGCACTTCCTCCCAAACTACCTTCACTTGAGTCCTATTATTAGTTTTTGACAGAATGATCCAAACGGAAGACCACCTTCACACGTGTGCCCTGTTGTCTGTTTCTCATAGACGACTATAACCGTGTGCTGCTGCGTCTGGAGGAGGAGCTCAGTCGGGACAGTCAGCACGATGAAGACGAGGAGGACGAGTCTTCTGATGAGGAAGAGGAGTCATCCAAGTACATCAATGCCACCCATGTCGACGTGAGTGTCTCATTACCTTTTTTTAAATTTTTTTAAATTGTATTTTTGTAGTGATGAGCGAATGGAGCCTCGTGAATCATTGATACCTCAGTCTCATATGGTTGGACGTGTCTGAGGCTTTGGAGAAACACTGACCTCTAGTGGACAAATTTAACCATTGGCACGCAGGTGTCTCAGCATCGATGAAGTATTGTTAGTGTAAGACAATACTTGTGTGCAGAGCGACACCGTACCTAACAACAACAACAATAATAATGATGATTTAAAATAATATGTAAAGAGAAACATATATAGCAGCTGTAAATAAGAAAATAGGTGTTATCTTGTTAGGTGGAATTAGATCAAAGTGATCCCAAACCATGGATCGCTTTTTTCCACTTGTAGACGCCATCGAAAATGAAACAAATGCCAAAAGTCGCCAAAATCACCACCAACGTCACACAATACTCCTCACTACCCAACATGTTTAACAAATATTGGTGCATCTTTTATACTGTAGCAGTTTAGCTTTTGTCAAACCACGGAAGTGCACTGAACACTCTGAAGCACTCTGAACCAATCACAGAGCAGAACATTCGCTGAGCCAATGAAACGCTTCGATACACTGAAGCGATCGACACGCAGAGCGAAGCAGTCGGGGGAGGGGCCGACACTTCCACACTTTGGTCACGTGAGCAGCTGCTGAGAGACGAGCTCCGAGGCAGTGCTTCAGAGTGATTTGTTTCAGAAAGAACGAGACGTGCTCCAGAGCTCCAACTCATTTACTCATCACAATTTTTTTGTACAGCATCTTTGATTCTTCTTCTTATTATTATATGTCATGTTTTTGCCCTGTTTTACGCCTGGTTTAAAATATCATTGTGGTGACCTGGTTTGTGGTGAGCTCAGTCTGTCCCTCTGGCACTGGACCAATTATATAGACTTCTCTGCTGTATTTGACCACAGTCTGACCCTAATGAACTGATTTAGCTGTAAGTTCTGTCGGTAAACAAATCTCTCACACTTATGGTGACCAGATCTTCAAAATTCTAAACTGGGACATATCTGGGTTGGGATGGTTGATATAAATGAAACTGTGAAAAGAGCGTGTAAAGTTGTGCATGCTTGATTCACTGTATAATCTGAGAGAATTTTATTGCATTTTTTCAAGCACAGTTTTCTGTATTTTAGTTACACAAATGACAAGATTCTCTGATTTACATTTACTGGGTTTCAAATTGGTCAAAACAGGGACAACTGGGACATTTCATGCATAAAACCGAGACAAATAAATGTGGAGACAGAGCTCAAAACTGGGACTGTCCCGGGTAAATCTGTTCACCTCACACTTAAAATGATGGTCACAAACTACTTGCATTTGCTATTTAGTTGAAAATCAAAGTCGTAAACAGGACCACGAACGCTCGCACTGATCACAGGCTCCTGAAAATATGCTCTTTAAATTCATTTTTGTATTCAGTTTTCAGATAAACAAATATACGTTGACAGTGTTTACTAATGTGCACTCTGTGTCTCTGTGTTGGAAACTGCTGAACATTCCACCATAGAGATACATGTAGAACCCTCTCAGCGTGATATCAATGCACATTAATAGATGCAGAGAACCAATCAGACACATGCGCTACGTGACATTATTATTTTTATTTTTTTATTTATTTTGGTCACAGGTATATTTTGACATTAATTCATAAACAGTCATATTTAACATATTCAGACCGAAAAGGTGCAGGCTGAAGCTTAAGCTTATCATGCCTGCCCTTTATTCCTTTGTCAGAGCTTCATCTTGACATCAGTTCATCTTCAAAAATACAGCAGAAGGAAACAAACTAATCAGTAACAGAACAACAAAGTTCTACAGCACAAACTAAGTATCATATTGCATGTATCTGTCCAGAGTTAAACATTTAATCTTCTTTATGAAGTGAAAGAAAGTGACATCTTCATTTTCCTTAAAACAAGACAAAGTAGACAGTGTCCCTTTACTCTTGAAGTTGGCTTGTATTATTTTGTATGGGGCTGCCAATCAAAAAAGTTCTATACCAAAGGTGGGCAAACTAAGGCCCGGGGACCACCCTTTAATCTTTTTAGTCCGACGAACTTCAAGAATAATAATAATACAAATTTATAGTGTTGCTTTGTAATGTTTTGTAATGATTTTCAATTATGGGATATTTCAATAAGATGGGATGTGTTTTCTACATATCTCATTATTTTTTTTTCTCTTATGAGGTGGATTACCAAAAAAACTCCATCCATTTGCTCCTGGTCTGGCCCTTCGGTCAAATTTTAGAACCCCTTGCGGCTCACGAATCAAAACGTTTGCTCACTTCTGTACTATATGGAACACAAAGCCAGTGGTGGAGTTTGCGATTTGGGGGCCCTAGGTGAACTTAAGTTTGGGGCCTTTGTTATAATGCACCGTTTTTATGTTTTGTTTTTATTTTTTTATATATTTATTGTCTGTTTTCCCCATTCAATCCACCATAATTCTATTTATTTGAGTTATGGTGGATTGATTGATTGATTGTGTTATTAGTTCGGTAGCCTTCAAGATAACCAGAACTGAGTTTTGAACTAGTTTTATTTTTTTAAATAGTACAATTAAATTTTTGTTGATATTCTTTACATATGATTATTATTATTTTTGTGATGATTCTTGTTAAAAGTAAACCATTCTCATTTAATGTCATATTGAGAGAAAATCAAATTGCTCTGAGTCGGGGTGTAACGATATCCAAGTCTCACGATACGATATTGTCACGGTATGAACTTCACGGTACGATATTTATTGCGATATGGTGGAGAAGCTCACGATTAAGGATGTAACAATATTCAAATGTCTCAGTATGATATTTTCACAATCTACATTTCACAGTATGATATTTTGTGGAGGCTAAACAGCTAAAACTGTTAATATGTGACTTTTTCCTCTTAAAATGCCTTAAAATCCAAAGAATTAAGACTTAAAAGTGTTAGAACTGTTATTTCTTCATGTAGCCTGCACTGAAATGGAGCAAAGGATCATGGTCTATGTAGTTCTCTGTCGTTTTTTAGCTGTTACTGCACCATAACTCTTCATTTAAACAAAGACTCTTGTAATTTGATATATTGTGATGATCCACGATATTATTGTGAGAACTTTGACGATACGATATCATGATATTTCGGTTACTGTTACATCCCAAGCTCTGAGGCCTCAGCCATTAGTGACACTGAGGTTTGGGGGCCCTTGGCAGCTGCCTGCTTTGGCCTAATGATAGCACCGCCTCTGCACAAAGCTACAGTATTTTAAAGCTATTTAAAATATATATTTTTATTTTTATTTATTTATTTCATTCATAAAGTATAAAAAGACACTGACAGTGTCACAACATCAGACACAAAAGAAGCAGAAAGAAGAAAAAAATCTCATGTTCTCTGCCCCCCTTTGCTTTTTCAAGACAAAACATCAACACCAATGGTCAGTAAACATTCCAAATCAGTTCAGGCACAATTACTGATCAACTGCAAACAGAAATCCTCACTTTTATGCACAAGAACTTAGTTTTCTTTTTCATACATACACATTGTATTTGATTTTATGTGTTTTTAAATGTCATCATTGTACTTGATTCTTTGATTTCTTTGTCAAGTCTATTCCATAAGTGAACTTCTTTCACAGCGACGCTTTGCTCCATAATCTTGGTTCTGAATCTGTTCTTTTTAAACATGTAGGTTCCTTTTAAATTTTAGTGGCTTGTTCTAATCTCAAACACTCTTTGAATATTTGCAGGTATTGACTTGTTGGTCACATGAACAGTAACCATTTTACACAAATCAAGCTGCTTTCTGTCAGATTTTAGTGGCAAAACTTTCCTTAAAGAACTGAATAAGGTAAATAGAACATATAGGTAGTACATTTTCTCAGAAGTATGTCAAAAAAGAGAAGTCAGTCAGTGTGGTTCACCAAAACCATTACATTAGAAATGCACTTGCAAAATATGTTTCCTAAAATGGAGGAAGTTTCACCTCTGCTCATCAACACCACACTGAAATTCTTTATATGGAAAACACGAAAGTCTGACTAGGTTATTCAACACCAGGAACGCTCCAGTCTCCTCTCAATATTCTCGTATCATTACTTCAGATACAGTTTTAGTTTTTAGTGCTTCCAAGCTGTTTCTCACTTCTCTGCTTTATCTTTCCCAGTTTCCATAAGCCACCATCACGCCACGTCAGGCCTGTCAATCACTATCTGTGTGTGTTTCTGACTGGCCAGGAGGGTTAATTATTATAAAGCTGCTGTTTTCGACTAAAGCATTGCACTTTCTCCTCACAGGGTTACTGGGGCTCCCGCTGCTTCATCACCGCTCAGACTCCTGTGTCAGACACGACTGCCGACTTTTGGCTCATGGTTCATCAGAAGAAAGTGTCCTCCGTCATCATGCTGTCCGAGGAAGACAAGGTAACACAAACCAAACGCAAGATGAGAATTATACAGCGGCAGATATTTACATGTTTATGTTCATATTTAATTCATTTCACACCCTGAGCCACTGGAGAGAGTGGCAGCAGGGTACAACAGCTCCTGAGGTGTTCCCGAAGTCCATGTTTACTTAATTCATTATGTTTTTGTGTTGTTTAAGCCACATTTCATTTCGAACTCTTCAGAGATCTTGTCCGCAATAATCTTTTTTTTGTGTGTATCAAAGTGTATGACTTTTTGTTGTCTTGTTGTCAATGTAGAGTTCGTAGATTGTGCACTTACTGGTTTAAAAAAGTTTCTACAATCATAATTAAAAATGAGTTGCCAGAGCCTTCACCTGCAGATAGAGACACATGTGAAGCTCAGAACCTCCAGAATTCCCTCCCTGAGCTGCAGAGGCTGCACTACCACTGACTCATGACTGGTGCATGTGCTGGGGTTTAGGGAGAGACCGTTCCGATCAGAGAGAGACATTTTAGGTTTAAACACTCTGGATTTCAGCGGTGAAACTGGCAACGCAAATGAGAGACTCGTGTGAGCTGATTGTGCTTTGTGAATAGAAAATAGTCTCTTTAAATGTTTCTTTTCTTCTCAGGAGTGCGTATACTGGCCCAAAGAGAAAACCACGTACGTAGATGTGGAGGTGGAGGTGACGTCTACAGAAATTACTCCAGTTTTCGTGAGCCGCACCATCAACATCCGCCACGTGAAGGTGAGCGAAACAAACGCCCTCTTACTGTTGGACCCTCTGTCTGATCCAACACATGTTCTAACTCTGAAACATTTACCTGATTTTGACTTCATTTGATGGGTTATAACTGTTGTGAAAATAGTTTTACACCAATTAAGAAGCAATTTGTGAAGAAAAGTTTGACTTAGACTTAGACAAACTTTATTGATCCACAAGGGAAATGATTTGGACACAGTAGCTCACACATCACAATATAATATAATAATAAAGAGAAAAACATATAAATGGTAATAATACATTCTAAATAAGCAAAATAAAAATAAATAAATAAATAAAAAACAGCAAGAGGGACCTGCCTGTCAAATTAGTATTATAATCTATATGTACAATGCAAAATACAGTAGAAAAAAATAAGTAATAAAATATTAAATTCCAAGCTTAAGTTGAAAAATATGTTGAAAATTACAGGAAGTGGAGAGTCCACTGGGAAAATTCTGTCCAAAAGTTTGGCAGCACAGAAAACACAAGAAACATGTTTTTTCTGATACTTTAAACACAATTTAAACAAAATCAAGGTGTTTTCTTATGCTATGTGTCAGATAGTAACTTCTGTGTGCATTAAAGGAGTTTTTCTAGGTAACAGTACATTTGTGAAATTGCCTAGGGTGATGTCATGATTTCCAACCTTAAAGTACAATTTTAAACCTAAAAAATGCCAAATGGAAAAAAAGAATGTGAGTGTTTTTACAAAAATCTTTAATATAATGATTGTATCTGTGTTTTAGACAAATAAGTAGTGTTTTAGAAATAAGTAGAAGTTGTTTCATGTGGATAGACCGAGTAATTACAGAAATATTAAACATAAAGCAGATCAGCACATTTGCATTTTACAGCTTAAAGGCAAATTTTACTATACATTTTGAGTTAGTTTAGATGTTATGATGCCTTATGATGAACCAACCATCATAAATAGAAAGTTTCTGTTCAAAAAAATCACAATCCCTCTCAGCTGAAGTACCTGAAGTGACCACATGATGGCACTGTACACAACTGAAAATCAACAACAATACCAACACATTTACCTTTCAGTTTTCACTTTTCCTCATAATATGAATTATTTAAATGTATAGGGGGGTCCACCACCTGCTTGTCTCCACGGAGATGTTATTTCTTTGCCTGGAATGTTCCACAGTATGGCATTCTTGCATGTATTCCTCAGAGCAGATATTCTCAATGCATGTGAGCAAAGTTCTCCCACCAGATCTGCCTTGTAACTCTCACACTGGAGATATAACAACAACATCACAAACATCTCCATAGAGACAAGCAGCTGGCAGACCATAACCAGAAAAGTGACATAGTGTGCCTTTAACTGTGCCTTTAACTGTGCCTCCCTGGTCCACAGAGGAAAGAAGGCCGAGCGGTCAGACATTTCCAGTTCCTGAAGTGGGGAGAGGGAGAGTTACCGGAGAAGCCCCAGGACCTGATGGACATGCTGAAGGAGGTCAGGAGCAAATGTGGAGACAGCAAAACACTCCGAGTCTCTCCAGCTCTGGTTCACTGCAAGTAAGACATGATTCTGACCATTCTTAAAACGTACTTACTTTTTTTCATTTTGGTGGTGTTTATTGTGCAGAAAAACACAGAAAAACATCTCCATAAACCTGACTCTTATCTGACTCGCTTGGTTCAATGAAAATGTTGATCTTTTAAAGAAAATATTCCATAGTTTGGCATGAAACACATTTATCTCCATGTGAAAATGTTCCAAAGTATAGCTTTAACTTTTTATTTTCACATAATCAGAAATAAAAGTATTAGTAATTAGTAATTGGTAGATTAAACTAATTACTGTGAATTATTTTTTCAGTATAATATTTATTTGGTTTCCACAAACAAACAAACACTATGTGCCAGTGCACATATGTAAATAAATATATCTCGCTGGTCCAAGAGATTGTACCGAATTTTGATAATGATAATGATAAAAAGTTTATTTTGGATGTTTCCATAAATAATAAATTGCATAATCATACAGTAAATGATAAATTACATATGAAATAATCAACAGATACATAAAGACTATTATTTTACATTGCTCATCACAACTATAATATCCACAAATAGAAATAAAAAGAAAAAAAATCAATTGTTCCGAAAAAGGAGTGGGGAGAAGCAATGCTTATCTACCCCCACCCCCTTTTTCTTCAAAACACAAACAAGATATCCTGTCGTTTAACCATTCATGGAAACAGGCAGGTGTTGTGGTCTTCCATTCCCTCAGAACAGTGCTGTTTGTGATAATCATGTCAAACAGAATGGTTTGATCTGAATACAGAAGCACCACAATCAGAACATCAGGCAGGATCATTCTCTTGTATATGATACTGTATAAATGACTATTACTAGTATTTTTTTGAAACTACTCTTAGATAGGTACTAGGTTTTTATTTAAAGAGTATATAACTGAATAAAAGGGACTTATTTTGTGCTGTTTTGTTTTTCAGTGATGGCTCTAGCCGCTCTGGCCTGCTGGTGGCGCTGTGGAACCTGCTGGACAGCGCAAACACAGAGAAGCTGGTGGACGTTTTCCAAGTGGTGAAAACTCTGCGTAAAGAGAGAGGGAACATGATCTCCACTCTGGTGAGGACAGGCTCTGGGGCTGTGGAGGGAGAGGGGTTACTATGGCAAACTGTGGATAAAGGTGCACCGTGGAACTTTTTTTGTGAAGGGTTTGCCACCTGCTCGTTCTCAGAGATGTTACTGCTCTGGAATGTTCCACTGTATTGCTTTAAACTTATACATCTGGCATTTCTTCCTCTGATGGGTTCACCTGCTTGTTTAGTCCAAGCAGCTGGCAGAGCCCTCACCAGAAAAGTTACACAGTGCATCTTTATATGTCATCTATTATGTACATTTTTGTTGAACTTTAAGCCATTTTATAAAGGTTTTCTTCCCTTATAAAAATAAATGAATAAATATTGATTAGACTAGAGTGTAAATATTTAAATATGCTCTTATGTGGTAATAATGTGGCAATGTGGAAATACTGTAGTTTTTGAAATCCTTCACTGCAAAAACTATAAGATGACTTGAATTAAGAAAGTTTTTTTTTTAATTTTTTTAAATTTCACTTGGAACAAGAATTTTTGTACCTAAAATATGAAAATACATCTTTGCTTCACTTAAGATATGAAAAAAACAAAAACAAAAAACTCTTTGCACTTAATTCAAACAACAATAGTTCCTGTTTTTAAGAAAAATCCGTATTCCACTGTTAGATCTATTTTTCTTGAAGGTTAGTGGTTTGAATCCCACTAGGACCAGAGCATGTTGCCTGTCACTGTGTCCTTGAGCAAGACACTTCCCACACCCCTCCCACGTATACTGTATGTCAGGAGACTCCAACCTTTGTTCTGTGAGCTCCTTTACAAAACCAAAATGCCAGAGAGCTGCTAACTTCAGCAGTCGCAAAGAAACTGAGTAAATAAGAGCCACGTCAAAGCTGACACGAGGAACTGTTAGATGCTTATAAAAATATAAACCATTGTTCATTTATCTGTGTACAAAAATTTGACTTATTATCCACAACACATATGATACACAGAATACAGAAATCCTTTGGCGAGCCACTTGGAAGGAGGTGGAGAACTACTGGTAGCTACAGGTTGGAGACCCCTGCTGTACGTGGTGTGGATGTGATTAGTGGTGATTATTAAAAGGCTGATGATGCCGATTCCCAGATCTGGAAATGTCATTGCTCTGCCTGGAAAGTTCCACAGTGTGACATTAAACAGCTCTATGTTACATTTATTCAATTACATGTGGTTTTGTAGCTTGAAAAAACCTCAGAAAACAGACATTCTGACTGTGAGCGGGGTCGCCTCTCCACAGATCTGACCTGTAACTTGGTCTGGTTTGGTCTCCATGATGATAGAAAGGTTTAATACCACACCACACTTTATCATGATGCAACATAGGAAATGACACTTGATTTGTCAATAAATTACAGGAAATGATTCTCGATTTTTTTCAACAGAAAGAGTCAATGTCAATGTCAAAATAACCTTGACAGTAGTTTTACCATCTTTATTATCACAAGTTCATCAAAACAAAACAACTAATTAGGAAGCTTTTGCAGATAATGTTTCTCCACCAACCAGGCAGCATCTTCAGGGCTTTGTGATCTTCGTAAATTCAGTTGTTTTATGAACTTGGTGATAGTGTTTTAGCCCTGGACATCTCAAGATTTGCTTCAGTTAATTTACCATCTTTATTTTTCTGTTAACAGGAGCAGTATCAGTTCCTGTACGACATGCTGGAGGCCACTTTTCCTGTGCAGAACGGGGACCTGAAGGCACCACCGGCCTCTGCAGCCAACTCGGTGGAGATCATCGACGAAACTAAAACCGCGGAGCCCAAAGCCAGCGAGCAGGAGAGCGCCGCTACCGCCACCGACCAGGAGAAGGAGCCACTCACCGACAAACAGGAGCCCACAGAGGAGAAGCCCGGAGAGGACACTAGCACCTCCCCCTTAGTCACAGCAGAAGTGTGAAGGCCCAAAGAAGGAACCAAAAACGATGCTGTAACACTTAGATTAACTACTCTTTTTACAGTCTTAAACAAGTATGAACAAAGACTTAATTTGCAAAACTCAGTAACTACTTAATAACCTAACCCCTTAATTAAAGCTGTATTGTGTAACTTTCTGGTGGAGGGTCTGTCACCTGCCTGTTGTTCTACCTGGAATGTTCCACAGTGTGACATTAAACAGCTCTACTTTACGTTTATTCAATTCCAGGTGGGTAAAGCTCAAAAATACCTAGAAAAACAGACATTCTGACTGTGAGCGGGGTCGCCTTTCCACAGATCTGACCTGCAACTTGGTCTGGTTTGGTTTCCATGACGATAGATAATAGACCCCACCAGAAAAGTTACACAGTGCACCTTTAAGTAGTTAAGCCTGATTGATTGTGATGAGTCTTTGTTGGTGCTTTATTAAGGCTAGTGAAGATGTAATTATGATGAAGTGATACTTTTGCTTGCTTTTTTGATATTTTATTATTGTAAAGACAGTATGGATTATTTTGTTAAAGAGTTTTTCAAAGTGTCCTTAAAAGATATAGGTCATAATTTATACAAGTGTTGTGGTTGCTGTTGTCAAACTTTGTGGTTTGGGTCTCATCGCTTTTTTAAAATGCGCAATTTAACAATATGACAAGAATTCTGTATTTTTGAATCTAATTTCAGTAGTTTTGTACATTAGATTTGTCAAATAATTTAGGTATTAATGTCTAAATGTCAAAGCTGCTCAGATCTAGATAAAATGTAAAATAACATCTATATTCAACTTAAAGGGCATTCTGTAACTTTTCTTTCTGGTTTCCATGGAGACGTTAGGGCTTTGCCTAGAATGGATGACAGTATCTCAGTTGGTCGAGTGTTTGTCCAATGATCCAAACGTTGGCAGTTTGAATCCCTCTCCTCCCACAGATGAATAATGTTGTTGTGTCTTTGGGCAAGACACTTTACCCACCTCACACCTCACCGCTAGTGTGTGTGTGTGTGTGTGTGTGTGTGTGTGTGTGTGTGTGTGTGTGTGTGTGTGAGTGTTTCTTTGATAAGGGTTCCCACGGTCATAGAAATCCTGAAAAAGTCATGGAAATTGAAAATGTCATTTTCAAGGCCTGTAAAGTTATGGAATTTTATAAATTCAATGAAGTTTTGGAAAAGTCATGGAATTTTAGTATCTCTAAGTTTTCATTAGACTCTTCTGATTATTTCTGAACGTCTGCACCTTTTGTTTAAAAGAGGCGACATTAAATGCACTGACAGGATTTTGAATGTTCAAAAACTATAATCCCAAACCATAAAGTGAGTGGAAAGAGTAAATGTTTCATATTTAGATCTAAAAGTCTGATCAATTCTACACATGTAGGTGCTGTAAAGTCATGGAAAATTCACTTGAAAAAGTCATAGAAAAAATGAAATGTGTCAGTGAAAAAGAGTGGGAACCCTGTCTGATGTAAAAGACTTTGAGTGCTTGAAAGTGGAAAAGCGCTGCATAAAAATATGACCATTTACCAATGTTCCATAGTGTGGCATTAAACATATCCGTCTTGTATTTATTTCATTATTGCTAAACAAATACCCTGGACACATGCAGACGTGCTCGCCTCACCTAGAGCTGATCTGTCACCTGAGAAGGTCTCCATGGAGATGCCAGGTTAATGCCATGCTGTGAAACATTCTAGGCAAAGCAATATCATCTCCATGGAAATCAACAGGTGGCCAGTCCTTCACCAGAAAAATTACGCAGTGCATCTTTAATGTTGGTATTTCAGGCCACCTCTGAATTTACTTTTACATTTAAAATTTTGTATTTAAACATACTTTTAGCTATTTTTGAGTAGATTTATTCCTTTTATTTATTATTTTTTTAGCTCAGAATTGGAAATATTTCATTGTCACATGAGTTGGAAGATAAAAGTTGGAAGATATGTTGTTGTTTTTTTAGATGTTTGGAGGAACCTTTCATAAAACATGAACAGCAGGAGTATGATCTTATACCATTTCTCATATGCAGTTTCACTCAATTATTGCGTTGCCATAATTAAAGTTTGAAAAGATTCTATAGCCACTGGTGTAAATATTATTTTTCTGACCTGTCCAGAGCTGTACCATCTTCTTTTGAACCAGAAATAAATGTTTAAAGACGACGCTGGATGGAAATGTGTTTTTATTTGGTTTATTCCTGTTCTGCTCCTATGACACGTTTTAAAGGCAAAAACTGCTTAAGACACAGAACAAACAGACCAGGATGGAGAAGCTACACAGTACACACATCATTAAGTCAATTATGATAAATAAATAAGCAGTGTAATAAAAAAAATATATGTCAAATGTACTTATAGAAAAGTTCCAAATACATTTCAAATATTTATAATCTTTCATCGTGTTGAGACGCTACAGTTTGGGCTGGACAATATGATCATACTGTGACTTTGGATGAACTTAACTGTACACTGTGTAACTTTTTTGTTGAGGGTCCATCACCTGCTTGTTTCTATGGATACGTCAATGCTCTGTCTGGAATGTTCCACAGTGTGACATAAAACAGCTCTACTTTATTTCATTTATTCAGTTACAAATGGTTTTATATCTCAAAAATACCTCAAAAAACAGACATTCTGACTGTGAGCGGGGTCGCCTCTCCACAGATCTGACCTGTAACTTGGTCTGTACCTTGGTCTGGTGAAAATAGAAAGGTTAATGTCATACTGTGAACCATTCCAGACAAAGAAATAACATCTCCATGAAGTAAAGCTGTTGACAGACCCTCCAACAGAAAAGTTACATAATGCACCTTTATACCGGGCGTACACTGAGCAATTTTTGGTACTTTTTGAACCGATTTTTCACTTGTGTGACTGTTTTTGGGATCAGGCCGAGTTTTGTCTTAATAATATGTCGTGCTTCGTGTAGTAAACACAGTATAACGAGAACTGATGAATCCTGATCGAAAATGAGATGGCGAGACATCTCAAGAGGCTTATCCTCCAAATGAATACATTCAAAATGAATCCAGTCGCCTCTCGTGAGGGTTTCACTCCGTTGAATTAGTTTCATATTAGCCTGATTTATCAGCCGGTTTCACTTCGTAGAAACCGTCTGACCTTGCAGTGTTAGAATTTGTTTGCTCAACGGTAGGCGGGTACTTTTTATTTTAACCAGTCGCTGCTATTTTGGTCGTGACGTATGTAATGCGTCGCTAACAGAGCTAAATGACATATTAAGGTTTATCCAAATCCTGTAGGAAGAAGGACAATAACGTCTTTCCCCTTGATAAAATTCAGCAAACATTCTCTTTGTTCCGGTTTTAAATCCTCGATCTCGGGAACTTTTGACAACACAGAATATATGACTCTTCACTGATTGGCTGGTGCCCGAACTCACACTTCCTGTGTTTTTGCAAACCATCTAGTGTATTCTGATTCCTGACCTAGTCACTGGAGAGACATTAAATTGAGCGGAGGCACTAGGTGGCACCAGCCTGGCTAGTTTTGTACAGTGTGTGAACATGAATCCTGAGCTGTGAACTGGTTGTACAGTTTGAGTTGGGGCTCAGTGAAATAACTGATTTAAGTAGAGTCTAACCTGAGGTTAGACTACTCATTTGACTAAAACACACTTAAGATCATTATATTTAAGGTTTTACTAAAATAGAAAAAATATATTATGTCCAGCTTGGCCAGTTTTTAGGTTTTTAATTTTACTTCATGGTTGGAAATCACGTCATCACTCTTGAGTAACTACAGCCACACTGGCCGCGTCTCATTTCTCTTTCCTCGCTTCCTTCTCCAGGATTCCTCTCCTCGATCCTGCATTTCTCAGATGTCAGATGTCTCAAGCGTCATATTAACTGTGCTTTGAGCCTTGAAGGTGGAAAAGTGCTATATAAAAATGTGACCATTTACCATTTAAGTGTTTTCCCAAAGAAAACCACAGGATGAAGGAGTAAACCTGAGGGAAGCTTCAGGAGCACACATCAGAGAAAAGAATCAAACTTTATTGGTCTCAGTGAGGAGTTTAGATCCTCTCTCTCACTTCCTGCAGAATCAAGGAGAAGGAAGCGAGGAAAGAGAAATGAGACGCAGCCTTTGTGCACTGGGCCAAAACTCCTCTAATGTCCACCGAAAATAATATATCATTTATAAAAAAAATAATAAGAAAACACATTTATTTTGTTGAAATCATGTTTGAAGTATCAAAAAATATGTTTCTTGTGTAAATTGTGCTGAACTGCTTCTTGATTGATGTAAAACTATAATTTATATTTTACAATAATTATAATCTCACCAAATTAAGCAGAAATGAAAGAATCATCAAAACCAGATCAGACGCACTTAAAAACTCTGTTCAGATGAGACACATTTTGTAGTTTGAATTGATGTAATAAATTATATTTTGACTCCAGATTAGCTGTTATAGGACACACTGAATTATCTTTTTGGCCCCAAGAGAAATATGACACTCAAATATTTTACATAAGGAACAAGCTTCTATTTTCAACTATATAATCTAATTTCCCATAGAATTTACTGAGCAAATGAAACAATGTGTGTGTCAGTGTTTTATGATGGAATGAAAATACTGATATTTGATATAACAGATCAAATCATTCACTAAAGATGCACTGTCATGAGGTTGGAATTTTTTAAACAGCTCCTGCTGATCTGTTCAAAACCACAAACGTTTGGTTTGAAGCAGAAAATATTTGTTTACCAGAAAGAAAAACATAATAATAGTAATACAAAATAAATAAATAAATAAATAAATAAAAACAGCAGTTGCAAGAAACCAAGTGTTGTGTGTGTGTGATGCTACACATTCATTTAGTGCAAATCTGTAGATTGATTAATAAAGTTTCAGTTTCAGCTGTGATACTGAATGATTGATGAGTTCATATTTGTGGACATAAGACTTTTGGTTTCATATTTACTCACACATTAAACTTAACTTCCAGTATTGGTTTTGGTATCAATAAAAAATAGGTGTTTTATCACCACCAAAGTGTTGTGAGTGTTGAGTGTTTGTTTCTAACCTGAGGCGACACACCTGTGAAGGACTTTAAAATGCCTGAAACAGTTTGTATCTTTACTAATAAGTTTTGTGGAAAGTTGAGGCACTGATGGTTCATTCTTGGTGCAAACTTTCTTTAGTCTTCGCCAACAGGAAAAACAATGGCTGTTTCTCAATTCCCAGGATCCTTCCTCCAAAGACCACTCTGTAACACTCTGTAACACTCTGTAACACTCCTCCAGAGTCTTCTCCACTGAAGCAGAGCCAAGTGTCCTGCTCACAGCTCCTGGAGCGCACGTGGAACAAGCTCCAGAGGGAGCGACTGTGCCCTGTCACATGACCAGATCAAACACCATAAAACTTTGTTTTAATAAACGTCAATGCTTCTGCAAATATGAAATGTTTATAGAGGTGTTTGTATGTGTCACAGACATTAAAACATGTGAATAAAAGGCTGAGTGAATCATGTGTTATTGAGTTGTTTGGGCTGATTAGCCTAAAGAAATATATACACAGGTTGACATATTTTCAGGTGATAGTTTAACTGTGTTCTCAATCCTGTTCTTTAGAGATTTTGCTGCATTTATCCTGATTTGAATTCATTTGATCTGATAATACTGTGATATGCAGCAATTGTTTTTTTTTATTGCAGAATGAGCTTTGTTTTATTTTAAAATTTATATTAAAATGCATTTTACTGCTTAGATAAAGTTTGTACAAAATGAAGTTGCAGTGCATTGTGGGCAATTTCAAATGCTCTGATGTAGTCAAGGACATGAGGGCTTTGGGGAAATTGGAACAGCACTTGGCGTCTAATGACGAGGATCTGTCCGTGGTTCAGAAGCCGAGGATCCTGGCAACTGGGAAACACCCTATATCCATCCAACTTTTCCCCACAGTTTGGTTTGGCTCAAATCTCACCTGAGTCCTTATCAGTGTGTCTTTGGGCAAAACACTTCACCCACATGACCTCCTTCAGTCACAGTACAGGCTGGATGTCACCGGAAGGGCATCTGGCATAAAAATCTGCAGAATCACCATGCGGGCAGTGCGCTGTGGTAACTCCAGGAGCAGCAGATGAGAACCTGAAATGGAGTCTTTCCTTTCAGAAGTGCTATGAGTTGGTGTTGGAGGCGGGTCGTGCGGTGGAGGGACGGTCGTCTGGCACAGGTCTGGCAGAGTCGGGGGCCCTGGCGGTCTCGGGGCGGCCCTTGGTGGTGGATTTGGAGGGTTGAGGAGAGGCTGGCTCCCACAAGAGGAACTCATAGAGCAGAGTGTTCACTGTCTCCGGGCACTCCATCATCACCATGTGACTGCCGTCCTCCAGGACCTTCAGGAACGCCATGAGCAGGATCTGAACACAACAGCAGGACAGGCTCATGAGGACGCTTTGACTTCTGTGGGGTATTAATGTCTAACTCATGATATTTAGATCACCACGTCATTAACTTTTATTGTTGATGAAAACAAAATATGAACATGTTTTATAAGTTTCACTCCCTTTGCTCTCCAGGTCACTCCCCCTTCAGAGCACTATCACAACACAGTCAGCGTGCAACCCTCATGAAAATACTGCACTTTGCATCAGGTTTGTGAAGATGCTGTGTACATGTTTTTATATGTTTATAGAGAACTGTTATGTGGAAAGTGGGGCCCGGCCAATATGGATTTTTTGCAGCAGATAAAATGAGAGTTGGAGGTGCTGATATAAAAAACAATATATTTAGTGATGTAAAAATTCACTATAAATCTTCAACTGAATATAAAACTTAGGTCTGGCTCTACTGGACTGAAATTTAGTTTAGTTTGTTTAGGTGTCATTTATTGTTATTCTGTCTCTTTATGTCATATTTAAAGACAGCAGGTCGGTCTAATGGGATTTTTGCATCACATTCTAACCAGTAAAGAAAGTCAGTAAAAACGACCACTATCAGCCTTTAGTGTTAAATGTGTGTGGCACGGTAATTAATGACACATAAATGTGGATCATTCACACCTCTATTCACAGCTCATTTAAATATCAGTGCAGGTCCAGTCACATGTGCAGACACTATAGACACTTTACTCTAGGCCAGTGTAAGAAAACATGTTTATGTTATGTTTATGCTACAGCAGCTAAGAGCTAGACCAACAGTCGCTTCAAAACTGACACATTTGCGACACTCAGAGCTCACACAGGCTCCTCTCAGATCACAAGTCTGCGCTAATAAGTTTGATAAAAACAAAGAGTAGTTTTGTTTCTGTTCTAGACCACGTTGAAGTTCACTTTTACTTACGGTCAGTATTGTGGATCAGATACAAGAGCATTTAAAGCAGCGCCTCAGTAAATATTGATACGGCACCACATATAAGGACATTTATCTGTCTGTAAATTAGATTAAATAGACAGAATATAGAGAGTCTAAACTTTACTACGAGGTATAACATGCCCATGTGGACTATCGGCCCAGATCGGCAAAATTTAGGCCAATAGCCGATATGTCTCCAAGCGCACATAACGGTCGATAATATCGGTTAACTGATATATCGGTCAGGCCCTAGTGGAAAGCTCCACCTGGTGGAGGTAAATGCACTATAAAACACAAAGGACCTCTCTGGAGTATTTTTGCCCTTTGAGATTTCACCTTTTGGTTTTACATAAGTAAATGACACAAATACTACAGTATGTGTCTGATGGTTTTGTAAATATATGCTGTGTCCGAATGACCACCCTAGTCCCTAACCCTTCATTTACTACATAAACCTGCACTCTTTGACTGATCTCGTGACCACCGATGTCCGCTGCTTTTCAAGGTGCATTGTGGGAAATTTTGAATGCACAACTTTTTTACCAACTGGACATTTAGACACAACTAAAATGGTGTGACTCCTCTATAGTGGCATAAGTAGAGAATAGTGTGGACATCAGACACAGTCATAGTGTGTAATCATTGAGTGAAGTTGTCCATCAGTCTGCTGACCTCTGCCATGCGCTGGTCCTCCTCCACGGGCACAAACTTGTCGTGCATGCCGTGCACGAGCAGAGTGGGCGTGGTGATTTCTGCGTGGTACACCTCGTCTCCCTCAGGCCAGTACTGTCCGCTCATCATGGCCCTCAGCACCAGAGAGGAGATGTTAAAGGCGTTATTGTCACGCAACAGCTGCTTCTCCTTCGACCCCTGACGTGCAAACCCAGCCCTGAGAAGCACAAGTACAGGATTTTAGACAGAAAGAGTGGAACAATAGCTGTAAAAATATGATAGCTCAATAGTAAAACATGGAGCAATTTATTTTTTATTTTTTTCAAATAAAGATGCTAAACTGAGAAGCATCTGAGGATTAAAGAAAAGAGTGAGTGGGCGGGGTCTGGTGATAAGAAACCGTGCGATTGGTCTAACAGGTATCCACACTTTAAACTCCGCTCATGCAGCCAAGTGTTTGTATCAGAAATTCCTGGCTGTAATCAGGGCAGTTCTGTGTGACGTCACGGAGTACTTGGAATTGCAGTGGCCACTGGAGACAACACACTCAGTTTTTTTCTAACACAAAGTTGCAAAAGTTTACCTAATTTGTACAACAATTGCCAAAAAGAGACAAGAACCAGTGGAGAATGTGATTTAAACACTATATACAGATTTAAGAGGAGATTTGGTGATTAGTTCCAGAAGAGCCAGAACCTAGAACCAGAAGTGCCCACCAAAAGCTGAGCGTCAGTGTCACACTCTTATTAAAACCAGAGCGAGTGCTTTGTGGACCTTACTTGAGGAAGCTCCAGGAGAGCAGAGGAGACAGACAGTGCAGCACACAGGAGGGCAGGTTGAAGATGGAGCAGAGGCTGGGCTCCAGAGCTGTGGGACCTCCTCCATTTATCATCACCATTTTATGGATCTGGTCTGGATACTCATGGGCCAGGAACGTACAGAACGAGACTCTGGGGACCATAAATGTCAAATTATTCACAGATAAATACAATTTCTTTCTCTGTGTTTTATTGTTATGAGTCCCAACTGAGGTTATATTTTGAATATGATTGTAAATTATGAACATTTGTATGTGACTCTGAAGAAATGTATTATTTTTGGTCAGAATCTGCTCAAAAATAGCACCTGTAGTGTATTATATCTTCCTGACTTTGATTGATCTAGATTTTCTATTGCATTTTCCAAATGAAAATGGGCCAGAACTTGCCAAAAAATATAAAATGATTCACATTGTGTCATTGTTTGTTAAATCCCTGTGTTTCTGTGGTTTTACCCGTACGAGTGCCCTATGAGCACGTTCCTCTTCTTGGCGTATCTCTTGAAGATGATTCTGATGTCTTCGGCGAGGGCGTAGAACGTGTAGGCGGCGGGGACCTGGGGGGCGGAGCTGGCCCCGTGTCCCGCCAGGTCCGGGGCGATGACCTCGTAGCCCAGGCGTGAGAAGAAGTCCAGCTGAGACCCCCAAATATCCAGAGAGCCCCCCACCCCGTGCACGAAGAACAGAGCCACGTCAGGGTGAGTGCCTTTACACGCAGACACCCTCCGCTCACAGTCGATGATGATGGTGCGTTTAGGTTTCCTCCGGCGATGTTTGGGCTGCAGGCTCTGATCGTTTACCTGTGGAGGTGAAGGTTAAAAGGTTCATTGATAAATCCAGGTCACAGTGTTTAGTGTTTAATGTAATCATCAATACAATTCCTAATTTCCATCTGTATTCACTGGGAGGATGATGTTAAAAATAATAAAATAAAATATCCATTGAAAAGGGCAATGACCTCATTCACATCTAATATAATCATAAAAACTTAAAGATAATTGTTAGAATTTTAGAAGAAAAAAAGGTCATTTCAACTAGGGCTGTTTTTATTGAGTCCGATATTCAGTCATTTCTAATCATCAGTAAGAACTTTTATCACAAATACTGTATGTATGAGATACTGAACTAAAGCCAGTGCAGAGTAGATCATGAAAACACTTGATGTTTTGTCAGTTTATCACAAAGTACACAAAGTAGAGTTCATTCAAAATTAACTTCTAAAAACATTTTCTTTTTCATGTTTGTCTTTGTTAGTTTGCCCTTTTTACATCATTTTCTTGTCAAAACCTGTACAGTGAACTATCAGAGAGAAATCAGATCTCTCTGTTTACACAACACTTCAGTAATCTGATTACTCCAAAAATCAGATTACGATCTAATTTTTGGTAAGCACGTAAACACAGCCAGTGACCAAAAACCACACAGTTTGACAAAACGTCGCACAGACAAGTGGATCTGGTGCTGTGTCCTCAGCAGGGGTGACTTACAGGTGGATTAACCAGTCACAGAGACACTTGCTCCTTCAAAATTTAAAAATAATAATAATAAATAATAATAAAAATGAATAAATGAAAAACTAAACTGAGACTTTTTACAGAATCAACAATCGTAGCACCAAATTTTTATTTAACTGAGATAAAATAAGTTATATATTTAGTTCTGAATGTTACTAGACTTTTGAAGAGGAGATAACTTCTGCATTTGAGAGACACGTGATACAGATACAAGTCTGGACGGAGGATTTTCACGCTCTATGGTCCGGGTCGAACTGAATGTAGAAGAGACTGGCTGGTCAGGGAAGTTTAGTTTGTTCATCAATAATCATGTGTAGGTGTTAAATTGTGACGTTTCTTCTCACAACAGTGTAACATGTGACACCTCTGACAGTGTTACCTGTGCGTCTCCTCCCCCCTCTGCCCCCTCCTTGGCAGAGTCTGTGTGGGCATCGGGGAGGCTCAGAGTGGGGGCGGTTCTCTCGTCCGTCAGCTCCACCTCCACTGAGATGTTTGCTTCTGCGTCTCCGTTACGTTTGAGTTCGGCGCTCGCTCTTTCCCCTGAACACACACAGGACTGACAATGTGTACACGTTTTGAAGTAAAAATCAAGTGCAGCTCCTTTGTCAGTGCAGGAGATGAGGTGGAGTTTTGTGTGTTGGTGATGCCATTAAGATTTCCTCTGGATGTACGTTAACTAGAGGCTTGTCTGTGTTTGAGGCTGATGCATAAGTCTCTCTGTACATGCATAAAAGTACACGCATTAACAGTTTTGATTTAGTCACTTTCACCTTTTTGTTGAAAATCAAACTCCTGAAAAGGACAACAACATCAGTGGTGGAAGAAAAAAGTACAAAGTAAAAGTGCAATACTTGAGTGCAATTTTTAGGTATCTGTACATTTTACAGTGAATACTTTTATCTTTTACTTCACAACCATTTTCTTTATGGTTTGAGACCTGCTGAAATGGCTGAGACAATTTTTTAATTTGATTTATCGTCCCAATTTTGATCAAACCAAACACACAAAATCACACAAACAGCTACAAAAATTAACAAATCAATTGAATCCTTTTAAAATCTGTGAAAATCTTGATCAAAATCACTATATTTGATGCTTTAATTGTTGTAAAAATGTCTACAAAATACTTACTTTTTACTCTTATAGTACAGTTTTAAACAGGTACTTTAATACTTTTACTTATGTAGATGGTTTGATGTGATTCTTTTACTTTTACTTGAGTAATCTTTTGCCCGTGTATACTGTATGTACTTTCTTAAAATGTGCTGTTTAAATCCATTTTCTATTTTTTCTTAAGTTTTCAGACAATCTGTGTTTGCTAATGTGTGAATTGTGTCTCCATGGTAACTGCTGAACACACCACCATAGAGGTACATGTAGAACACCCCCAGTGTGATGTCACTGCAAAGTATCAATAGAAAGAAGCAGCAAGCCTATATAACAATTATGAAATGACCAGAAATGTTCTCTACTGCAACTAAGTATATGTAGAATCAAAAAAAGTGAATATTGAAATTGTTGTTTTGGTGATGTGTAAAAGTAAAATATTGAGTATATTGTCTATAATTAAAATAAGTAGCCAAAAAAATCTCCTCAGTTACAGTACTGTGAGTATTAGTATTTACTGTCCAGTCCTGCTCCCAGGTTCTCGATGAAGAGCTGTCCGTTGCGGTACACAGTGATTTTCCTCTTGCAGCTGACGAGGCCGCCCTGTGTACTCGGCTCCTCCACCAGGGGGCGCTCTGGAATGATATGGCGCACACGCAGCACTCGTCCCGGTTTCACCTCCACAAACTCATACCCGTCAGCAGAGGGCTCCAGCGACTCGACTGGAGCGACCACATTGGAGGAGCTCAGGCAGCAGAACAGGCTTTCTATAAAGCTGGTCAGCATCACTGGCACTCTGAGGAAGACGAGGAAAACACGTTTATAAAGACACTCATTCAAACCAGGGCGCGAGATATGACGGTAAAAACTTGAAAACTGTATTTTCTGTGTATAACAGCAGTATGTCGCCTCCTGGTGGCGGCACAGTGGCTGAGGGGTTGATGTTCTCGCCTCACAATATTATAATAATCATCATCTACTACTACTACTACTAATACTACTACTACTAATACTACTACTACTACTACTACTACTACTACTACTACTACTACTACTACTACTACTAATACTACTACTACTACTACTAATACTACTACTACTACTACTACTACTAATACTACTATACTACTACTACTACTACTACTACTACTACTACTACTACTACTACTAATACTACTACTACTACTACTACTACTACTACTACTGCTAATACTACTACTACTACTACTACTACTAATACTACTACTACTACTGCTAATACTAAATCAGTTTTATTTAGTGCTTTTCTTGCCGCTTCTTCACTATAAAACACTTTACAGTTCCTTCTTCATTCACTTCATACCCGGTGGTGGTAAACTACTATTGTAGCCACAGCTGCCCTGGGACAGACAGAAAGCAGAAGCGAGGCTGTCACTCTGTGCCATCAGCCCCTCCCACCACCACCAACACTCACACACACACCACTTTCATACTCAGTAATGTAGGTGAAGTGCCTTGCCTAAGGACACAATGACAGTTGTTGTGACTGGCGCCCCCCTGTGGCACCTGATTTTCCCAGTGGTCTCCTTTCCGAGTCCTGACCAGGCCCGACCCTGCTGAGCTTCTGAGATCTGACAGGATCAGGCTTTGACAAGCCGGTATGGCCACACATGAAGGTTGCAGGTTCGACTCCCAGGTCTTTCTGCGTGGAGTTTGCATGTTCTCTCTGTGTCTGAGTGGGTTTCCTCTTTGGACTTTTCTCCATCAACCCCAAACATGTCCAGCAGGTCAAATATTGTACCTGTAGTATAATGAACAGTCCTGACCAAGACTTGCTCAAGATCTGGAGATGGGTCCCACACATAGACGTGGACCAAGTGAGTGATGCCTTCACCCACAGCCTTCAGCTCCACTTAAATGAAGCTCACCGAGGCTAGCAGTTATAAGGGCGAATTAGGAGCAAAGTTCCCTATTTTGAATTCTGACTGTGAGTATCAGAGCAACCAAAGAAGCACTGTCCCTTACTGCACTCACCTCTAGTTTAGCAAGGAGTGGGCACTTAGCAAAGCTGTCAATCAACAGGCAGTAGGAGTGACTATGATGAAAGTGAGCAGCTCATCGTTATTAATGTTCATATTTTTTACACCAGAATCACAGAGTGGATTAACACGAACATTTTAAGACCAAAATGACGAGGCTCACAGCAGCAGTTACAGAGCGAGGAGCCACAGTTTTTCAATGTAAAGTCAACTGGAGCCAGAGTCGATGGAGCAGGAAGCACCCCCATGTTCATTTCCTGTTTAGAACGCGGGTGCAAGCAGGTTAGCCATGTCCATTTATATATACAGTGTCTATTAAATGCTCCTGACAGGTTGTCCCAGCGGCTTTGAAGGACGGGTCAAATGCAGAGGTTGAATTCCCTGCAGGGAGGATAAAGTGTACTTCAACTTTAAACCCAGCCACGCCTCCTGCTGGTCGCTCCCTGTAACGACTGAGTGACGGGTCGCCTTAATCACAGGACACGTGAACTCTCCGATACTATATATCCAAATAATACCTACAATCACGTTCATGTCATTGTGTTTTGGTGTCTCCAGTCTGTCGCGTAGTTTGCAGGTCTTAACACACAGGGGCCGCATTATCTCAGTGAGTTAAAGCTCTCAGTCATGTGACCAGTTGCAGGCTCAGCGCACACTTAAAACCTAAAGACTGATATTATTAAGATGCTTCTGAAACTTCTGAAAAATGAGCAGCCATTTCAACCGTTAAACATGATTTGAACTTGTCCTTAGATCACAAAACCTTTGGCACGACACTGCACTTCAACTGTAAGAATATTGTTTTTTGTAATAATATAATTTTGAACAAATCAATAGTAGTATCTTTAATATTAACTTGTGTTCAGTTAATAGTTCAAGACAACTGTAAAAACTATTCAGAAAAAGTTGAATTTTCTACTGTTTATGTAATTTTAAATATGAACACTTCTTGAAATAAGTATCTAATTTTAATCCTAATTTTAGTATTTAAAAGTTACCTGCTTGGGGATGTCACTGCTCTAGTTGGAATGTTCCATAGTATGACAATAAACAACTCTACCTTATATTTATTACATTACAGGTGGATTTATAGCTCAAAAATACCTACAAAAACCTACAAAACCTTCCTACAAAAACAGACACTGGCTGTGAGTCTGGTTTTGATTCCATGAAGACAGAAAGGTTTAATGGCATACCGTGAAATATTCCAGACAAAGCAATAACATCTCCATGGAGAAAATCATGAATTATTCCACCTGAAAAGTGACACAATGCACCTTTAATATTTGGTTATTATTATTATTATTTTATTATTATTATTATTATTTATTTACTTTTTTTACAACCCACCCTAAGTAAAAGTGAAGGTCCACTGTCAGTACGGGAGTGTGGTGTGGGTTATGTTGATCCATTGTTTTAATACATTCTATATGATTCCATTTCAGCTTGTTAGGCCTGAGGGATGCTGGGTAATCGGAGCCACAGCAGCCAATCAGGGCCAGGCGGGGTCACGGATGGGGTCATGTTCGGGGTTGTGGGCAGAGTCATGTACATGTTAGGGGCGGAGTTATGTTCTGGGTTGTGGGTGGAGTCATGGACATGTTAGGGGCGGAGTTATGTTCTGGGATGTGGGTGGAGTCATGGACCTGTTAGGGGCGGGGTCAGAGGTTGAGCTCTGAGCTGGAGGTATAATCTCCTTCAACAAAACGGGATTAAACTCTTAAATCCACAAGACAATCTGCTCCTCTCTCCTCACAGCTCTGACAGTGAGGCACGCTCTGAGACACACTCATTCATGGATATTAATTAATCAATTCATTAATTATCTAATTATTAATAAATTATTATCATTACATCCAGTCACATCTGGCCTAAATCATTTTAGTTCTGTAATAAAACCAGCTGACATCATTTTGAGAACTACAGTGTAATAAATATGAACTTATCTAGAAAATGCTCAGCAACACTTAACACCATATTCATGTCAATTATATTAATCATTGTACAATGTTTTATTGTAGTAGTAGTAGTAGTAGTAGTAGTAGTAGTAACAAACTTATTTGTAAAACTAAAACTTAAACGACTTCTAAAGCGCTTTTCATTCTAAAATGTAACACAAAGTGTAGTATTGTTCTTCTTTTGTTCTTCTACCATTGTAGGCTTTATCTTTTTTGTTTATTTTCTGTGAATAAATTCTGCACCATTCTAATAATCTCCAGTAAAGAAAAACATAGATGAGGAAAGGGGCTGTTGTGGGGCTCAAGGTTTTTCACTGTTAATTAATCCCAAAGCCCTTTACTCTTTTTAATCTCTTTCTTCCAATGATACAAATATGAGTGGAACACATGGCTGAAGTTATTCTCTAGTTTTGAAACTTTTTAAATTATGAAAAATTCTGACTGTTGCCACTGTGTATTCCATCATTTCACTGTTAAAATGTTGCCTATAGGAACCCTAAACTCTAAAGCCATGTGTTTAGACTGTCGCCTGACCTTATGGCTAACTGTTACATGTGGTTGGAGCAGAGTCCCTGTCGTCATGACACCAGACGAGGACGTGTTGTTTTGCGTTTGAATTTGGAACATGGCCCCATCCATTAACAACAGGCTCCTGACACCACAGAGGCCCAGAGAAAGAGCCAGAAAAGCACCGGGGGCATTACAGTGGACACGTGAAGTCCTGGTGTAACAGACTACAGTCTGCATGAATATGAGGACTAAAACAGGACTAAACTTGGACCAGAACTAAATTCAGAGCTGACCCTGGACTGAACCCAGACTTTACATTGTGTAACTTTCTGGAGGTGGCACTTTGCCTGCATCAGTCCATGTCTGGAACTTTCTCCATGGAGATAGACTTTTATAGATTCATATCTATAAACTCTATAGATACGTTTTATGTCATACTGTGAAATATTATAGTTAAAGGAACAGCATTTCCATGGAGACAAACAGGAGGGTCCCCTCCTCCAGGCTAAATAAGAGTCAGGTCTGTGGAGATGCAAGCCACAGTAAGGACGCAATTTCTCTACATTGGGATAAAAACTTTCTAATTTAAAACATGCATTTATTAGACTAGTACTTTATTTTTGGGCTAAAAAGTTACACAGTGGGGCTTTAAAGAGTAGGCCTGAAGACTGGGCCTAAACACCAGGACTTGAAGTGATTCTCCACATGGACTAAACAAAATCTTAACCAGGCCTTAGAGCAGGCTGATGTCAGGACCCTGGAATATAATCTACAAAATCTGATCTAAATCAGTCATCCACAAAGTCAGGACTAAACACTGTCCCCCAGCAATATAGGAATTTAATGGACCAGAGTACTTTTAATTTAAAGTCATTTAATGTAGACTATTATGTCATACAATAGGAAATTAACGGTAGAGAATGTCATATGGTCTCCAGGTCTAATAAAATGTTAGTTTTTTTGTTTAGTTTTTTTGGCCAAAGCCAAAGCACTTATATGTCTCCCTATTGCCACTATATAAAATAATGTACCTTTATAACGCCCAAACTCCGCGTGAAATTGCCCGTACTGAAGTGTGGCTCTTTCTTTCGTGGAAGTTAGAGGCTGCTGGGGTCAATCCAATAATCTGATTTAAAAAGTGAACATCGCGGTTTGGCGGTGCGGCCCTGTTTCCTCCACGGATCGATCATCTTTTATTATCCTGTGCGTAAATATTACGTCTGTATCCGCAAAGGTCCCGTGTCTTCATTTTTCTGACGGGAGTTAATCTGCAGCTCCGCGCGCACGTCCATCCTAATGCTGCTCTACGGAGGAGGGTGATGCTGCCCTCTAGTGGTTTGGCAAAGAAAACGAAACAACACTACAGCAAATAAATTTAATTATTATTATTATTATTATTATTATTATTATTATTATTATTATTATTATTATTATTATTACATAATACATCAAATAAATACATTCAGATTTGTTTTTAGTATGAGGCTATAGTCAATATACTGTAGGCGCAATATTAAATTAAAAGGTCCATTGTGTAACTTTTCTGCTGGAATGTCCGTCACCTACTTGTTTCTATGGACATGCCTGGAATGTTCCACAATGTGACATTAAAAGCTCTACCTTTCATTTATTCAATTACAGGTGGTTTTATAGCTCAAAAACACCTAGAAAAACAGAACATTCTGACTGTGAGCGGGGTCGCCTCTCCGCAGATCTGACCTGTCACTTGGTCTGTTTTGGTCTCCATGAGAGACAGAAAAGTTTAATGCCATACTGTGAAAATTTCCAAAAAAAAGTAGTAACATCTCCATAGAGAAAAGCAAAAAAGTTACAAAGTGCCACTGGTCGTGCAATTAGCAGTCCTTACGCACAGGTACTCAAGCTACATTTACTCAAGTACAGTTAGGCGTACGTTACGAGTAACTTTGAATACAGTTGTTCTTCAAAGTAGTTTTCAGACACCATATTTTTACTCCTACTTCAGTTATATATTTAACAGTGTAACAACAGTACTATTACTTCAGTGAAAGTTAGGTCACTCTCTCCATTGTGAGTAAGTCTATAGTCAGTGTTGGGGAGTAACAGATTAGATCAGAGTACAAATGATGAGTAACTGTATTCAGTTACAGTTACTGTTTCAATGAGTGATAATTGGGTTACAGTTATTTTGTTGAAATAAATGGATTACATGGTGGTATTACACGCCCCCCCAGGACTAAACCAGGACTAAAACCAGGTCTAAACTAGATCTAAACCAGGTCTAAACTAGATCTAAACCAGGTCTAAACCAGGTCTAAAAACAGATCTAAACCAGGACTAAACCAGTTCTAAACTAGATCTAAACCAGGTCTTAACCAGGTTTAAAACCAGGACAAAAACCAGGTCTAAACTAGATCTAAACCAGGTATAAAACCAGGTCTAAACCAGGACTAAATCAGGACTAAACCAATGCTAAAACAGGACTAAAACAGGTCTAAAAACAGATCTAAACCAGGACTAAATCATACTGCGTGGACGTGTCTCCTCGTCTTCTATCAATAATATTTTTTATATGGTTAAGTAAAGTCTGGGCTTTTGATTTTCTTTTAGCAGACAAAACATCTTTTGTTACAATATCCTCGTCTTTCAAGTCAATAATCAAGTAATCCAAAGTATTCAGATTACTCACTTTAAGTAATTTAATGGATTATGTTACAAACTACATTTTGGGGTATGTAATCTGTAATCTGTAGGGGAATACATTTTAAAAGTAACTTGCCCAACACCGTCTATAAGTGACAAAAGCTTTATGTTGACAATGTGAAATGATTTGTGTTATTCCCACCACGCTGCTCCTTCAAATATGGTTTATTTTTTTCTAATTAGTGTGTATATCTTTTGAAACTACGAGACGTTCTGTTGTTCTACATTTGCAGAAAAAAACTATTACACTCTTCATTTTTGGTTTGGTTTGCAGAACTTGAGTGCGGGGTGTAGCCTCGTTTGGACAAGAAATGCAGATAACTTTTTTTTTTTTTTTTTTTTTTTTTTTTTTTTAACAGTTAAATCAAAGTTATACTAATGTAACCTACTTTTACATCAGCAACATGTAATAATAAAAACCTTTTAATTCTGCTATTGTCAAGCGTCATAGCTCGATGCAGACTCCTCCTCCGTTGCCTTAGAAACCAGGTACAGTAGCCAATCAGAGTGCGCAGGGGCGGGTGCTTCCGTGTTATGATTGTCCACTTCCTACTTAGTGCGCGATCGATAAACTGCAAAGAGCGTGTTCATACCGGATTACAATGGGAAAAAGTAGGACATTTAACAGAAATACGACATGCTGTTTAGAATACTTGGGTTTTGTTGAGTTTTGGTGATTTAGAGAGAGTTTAAGCACAAATAAAAGTTAAGAAAAGGGAAAACTCCGAAGGTGAAAGCTGCTCACAAGACTCGGACATGTGATCTGGATTAGAGTTCACGGGACACACACACACACACACACACAGACACAGACACAGACACAGCCCTGATGCTACAGCTGCTCTGAAAGGTGAGGACAGACTTTTATTGACAATCACACCACGCCAAAGGGCAAGATCTCCTGTTATACTGCAGGTTTAGGTAGGAAAAATACTCAATAATACTCAAATACTCAATTTACCTGAGAGCTTTTTTGCAAACGCACGTCAAAGTCTAATTTTTGCACCGTATTTACTTTAAGGTTTGATTAAAATTTGAGTATTATCTTTTAACTGGACATTTAGTGCTATCTGAAGTGAATTGAAGTTGCAAATGTCAAAACCTTTGTTGAAAATGAGTTTCCCTGTACCATGACATTTATTGCACACTTTTTTGAAACAACCTGTTCTTTGTCAACAGATTTGCACAATATTTTATGTTTTTTCTGTTTTAATTATGCACATTCTATAATCATATCATGTATATTCATATCCAAGGTGACAGAGTTTATATTATAATTTGCATAATTTCTTACTATACCAACTATGACAACCTTTTTATGCAAATTCTGGGGATAGTCTGTTTACTATAGGCCTAAGTTAGTCAAAGATAGAGTTTGGTCAATTGACTAGATATTAAGGATTCAAATAGTATACCACATTATGGCAACAGTAGCTCAGTTGGTAGGGCATTTGTCCACTGATCTGAAGGTCGGTGGTTCTCAAAATAAAAAATAAAATAAAAAAAACATCATTGGTTGAACAGTTAGATCCACTGACCCACTGGTTGTGTGATACAAGTTCCCACAGATGATGCTGTCATTGTGTCATCAGGTAAGACAACCCACGTTACCCCCAGTGACACTGGTGTGGAGTGTGTGTGTGAATGGTGAGTGCTTCCTTGTTGTATAGAGCTTTGAGTGACTTGAAGATGGAGTGCTGTATAAAATGTGACCATTACCATTATAGTAAAAGCCTAGAAACACTTTTTTGGGAAAATATCTTATAATCCTTTTTTTGTGACCTCATCTACTTTCAGCTTACAAGAAAAAACAGATGAGCTCTTTAATATCCTAGCCTCTGAACAAATGACTAAGAACTGGACCACTTCAACTGTGTAAGCGACCCCCGTTAAGTGAAAGATGGTGCACGTCTACAACTGTCACCCCTTTTCCTCACAGCAGATTGTCCAGGTACGTGCACAATAACAAGAAGCATGAGATATAAGGCCTTCACTGTTATATTAACATATTTTCTTCATATTTTGTGGATTAGGTGGAGCAGGAGCCTGGACTGGTCTGCTGTGGAAGTGGGGCTCTGTTCGTTGTGGCGACTGGAGGATGCAAGGTGAAATATTTGTCATCTTTGTAACTTGACAACAGTTAATCTGGATTTAAGTAATGAAAATGCAAGACTTTAACCTGGTTGTAAAAATAATAACATTCTGAATTGAAATTGTCTGGTAAAAACACACATTACAAGAATTCTTCTAGTTATAACATGCATTTGGACAATATTTACTCACACTGTGCATGTTTGAAGTATATGTTTTAATATTACAGGTGGATGCGTATAATCTGGAGCTGGAGGGCTGTCCTCTCATCTGTCGTTTCGCTACAATGGGAACGGTGAAGAGCATCCGCCACAGCAGCACAGGTAACAGGGCGTCACTGCTTTTATATTTGTATGTACATGTATATATGCATGTACAATATGAACTTTACTTCTATCACAGGGGACTATCTGGTGACCATAGAAGAAAAGAACGCTGCCACCTACCTCAGAGCCTACACCAACTGGCGCTACCAGGTACTTTTAAAATGGATTAAATTTTTTTTTTTTTTTATATATAGTGAGGAAAATAAATATTTGAACTATTTATTTGTATGATACAGCTGCAAATAAGTATTTGAAGACCTGAGAAAATCAATGTTAATATTTGGTACAGTAGCCTTTGTTTGCAATTACAGAGGTCAAACGTTTCCTGTAGTTTTTTCACCAGGTTTGCACACACTGCTGGAGGGATTTTGGCCCACTCCACACAGATCTTCTCTAGATCAGTCAGGTTTCTAGGATGTCGCTGAGAAACACAGAGTTTGAGCTCCCTCCAAAGATTTTCTATTGGGTTTAGGTCTGGAGACCTGCTAGGCCACGCCAGAACCTTGATGTGCTTCTTACAGAGCCACTCCTTGGTTCTCCTGGCTGTGTCATGTTGGAAGACCCAGCCTCGACCCATCTTCAATGCTCTAACTGAGGGAAAGAGGTTGTTCCATCTCACAATACATGGCCCCGGTCATCCTCTCCTTAATCCAGTGCAGTTGACCTGTCCCATGTGCAGAAAAACACCCCAAAGCCTGATGATTACCACCCCCATGCTTCACAGTAGGGATGGTGTTCTTGGGATGGTCCTCATCATTCTTCTTCCTCCAAACACAGTTAGTGGAATTATGACCAAAAAGTTCTATTTTGGTCTCATATGACCACATGACTTTCTCCCATGACTCCTCTGGATCATCCAAATGGTCATTGGTAAACTTGAGTCGGGCCTTGACATGTGCTGGTTTAAGGAGAGGAACTTTCCATGCCGTGCATGATTTCAAACCATGACGTCTCAGTGTATTACCAACAGTAACCTTGGAAACTGTGGTCCCAGCTTTTTTCAGGTCATTAACCAGCTCCTCCCATGTAGTTCTGGGCTGATTCCTCACCTTTGTCAGTCACAATTCTATCTGTTCAAATACTTATTTGCAGCTGTATCATACAAATAAATAGTTAACAAATCATACATTGTGATTTCTGGATTGTTCTTTTTAGATTATGTCTCTCACAGTGGACATGCACCTACGATGGAAATTTCAGACCCCTCCATGATTTCTAAGTGGGAGAACTTGCAAAATAGCAGGGTGTTCAAATACTTATTTTCCTCACTGTATATATATGTGTTGTTTTTTTATAGTACACAGACAAAACAAAAAAATAATAAAAACTTTGGAGAGTACATTTAAAAAAGAATTAATATAGAAGCACTTACACATTTAGACATTTATGGTTAGGTTAGCATTAGGCTTGTCATGAAAACAACATTTGAAGTGCTTTATATCACTGAAGTAAATATAGACAATAAACAAGACTAAAACCAGGGGTTGGACTTGATTTTTTTAAAAATCTATTAACTAAACGCTTTGTAATTATTTAATCTAAATTAATTACATAACAATATGTGCCTCACTCATTTACTCATTTTCTTCCTGAAGCCCGTCATTTGTTCAAGTTTATACTCTCTTGTTTGTCATCTGACCTGAACTGCTCCCGTCCACAGCTGCAGCAGTTTGTCTTCTCTCTGTCACATGTTTTGCATTTAAATGGTCTCGTAGGGTTGAGGTGCTTCTGTGATTTGCAAACTCTATTCTGCACAATTTGCAATAAATGACACCTTTGTCAGTACTTGCATTGGGTTGGTTTTGAATTGAAATTGAGTCCAGCAGACTCAGAGGCTTTCCTGCTCCACTGTTGTAGTCAGAACTGTGTGTGTCAGTATAATATATAATTGGCGTACCACGACATGCATGACAAACGTCTCGTGTTATTTGGCATGTAAATTGTGATAAAATGCATTCATATTTTTCATGTCTTATTTTCTTTGTAATTAATTAATCATTATGTCCCACCCCATATTAAAATCAAACCAAAAAGCAGAATTATCCCCAAAAAGTATTGTAAATTTCCAATATTATTAAAAAAATATGAATCGATCAGTTAGAAAATGCAACACTTAAGTTAAGTTGTTTGTGTCTATAATGAGTCACAAGTTGATATTTAAACCCTCCACAGCTCAAATCTAATCGTAGTACAACAAAAATAAATTTTAAAAAATGTACAAGGAAAAAATCCCCATGATAAATATTGACTCCCCAAAATTATTGTCTCATCTAGCATGTGTTGAACGATAATTGGATATTGGATAGTTTTTATAATGAGAGGCCTAGTTATTAGCATTTATTGCTCCCAAACACAGAGAGAAACATGCAAACTCCACAGAAAGGCCCAGGCAGATTGGGAATCAAACACAAAATCTCCTTGCTAGACAGTTTGAGTTGGAGTCATGTACAAGCACGTGTCCCATTCATCCAAAAACTTTCATTTTGTCTTCTTATGTGCATTAACGCAGGAAGTACATGTCCCATTACTCAGTCACTGCTTTTACATTCACATTTGCCTTCCCCATCATTTTTTTCACACAACATATGTACACAATCTGTAAGCAAATTTCAGTGCCAATTGTGCCTTGTTCTGGATTCATATCTTTGTTGTTGTTGTTCTTCAGGCAGAGGAGAAGGCCAGAGTGGGCGTGCGTTTGCTTGGGCACCTGTTACGTGGCGCGTCCCAGAGGGGTGGAGTCCAGATGGAGATCATTGAGATCCCGATGTCCGAGCGGCCGGTGGGTGTGGCCTGTTGCTCGGTAACTGGGGACCTGCTCGTCGCCTGTGAGAACACCCTGGTCCTGTTTAATCTGAAAAGACAAAACCAACAAAATGTGGTAAGACTGGATTTATCTTTAATTATTAATTGTTTAGATTTGTCCAGAGTAGGGCTGATTCATTATTGTGATTTTTCTGCCACTGTTTAGATATGATTAGGATTAATAATATAACAGGTTAGGATTCTGTTCAGAGTTTACACAAGACAGAAATATGAACTTACAAACTAATAATAGAATCTCATATCAGAACATGTTTGTGCAGAGTTAGCAGTTTTTATGTGAAATAGAACAGGATTTTTAGTTGTTTGTGCTGGAATCTGCAGTTACCTAAAAAATTGCAGCCTTTGCATTTGCTAATTGTGTCCATTCAAATTGTGATTTTGATTTAATCACGATTAATCTCACACCCCCATACCAGAGGCTATAATGACTTTATAAATGTCGGGATTGTGTCGTCATATTTAACCAACCGCATCATATTTACATGCATGTAAACAGTAGGGCTGGGTATCATTAAGAAGTTGCCGATACGATACATACCTCGATACACAGGCCATGATACGATACACATCTCGATACAGTGAGCTTTTGATTCGATACGATATATTTCAAGTTGATTCGATACGGTTCAATAAAAAATAAAGGTTAAATCATGGCTGTGATACTAAAAGTTTTTGTTAAGCCACTTCTTGTGCAAAGTTCATACGAAACACAAACATTTTAATCATCAAAACAGTGAAAATATCAAATGTGTCACATAAATGAATTTCCTTTCTCTAAACAAGCAACAAAACTGTGGCACTGTAACAAAATAATTTGGTTAAATATACCAAAAAATACTCATGGTGATATATCGATACAGCAGCCCACGGGATCGATACTGTATCATCACATTAATCGATACAATATATCGATATTTCAATATTTTTGCACACCCCTAGTAAACAGCATGTAAAGGTAAATAGTAAAATAGTTTTACTCAAATCTATCTTGACACTACTTTCTGATGTATTTTTAATAAATTAATTAGATATATGACGTTAAATCACATCTCTATTGTTGTGTAGGGTCCAAATCCTCAGAACTCCCAGAGTACAGCTCCGAGCAACCAGCAAACCTCCAGCCAAGGCCAAGGTACGTCTGGGGAACTGTTTTTAATACTTAGTTGTTGAATAAGTTTTTAAAAAGTTTGCAATTTCAGGAAGTGTTGCTGCTCTGGACTTCGACCGCTCTGTGATCCTGCATCTTTCTGCAATCAAACCAAAAAAGGTGATTATGTGAGAATTCTGGAATTGTGACACATTAAATGTCCTATATTACACAAAATGGACTCTTGTGAGCTTTAAGCCATGCTAGAATGCTGTTACCTCCTCAAGAACATACCTGGAGATTAATTTAGTCTCATTCACACATGTCTGAGTAATCCTTTAGTCTGTCTGCATCTCCAAAGCTCAAAATGCTCTGTTCCTCCTTGATGTCATGACGCAGTTTTAGTTAGTTTCGAGTTAGTAGAGTACCTTTTGTTGAGTAAAGATTGGTAATTCCACAGCTGAAATTATCCATCTGATTCTAGTGAAGATGTATGGGGTTTAAAACACAGTGGTTTACTTCATTTATTACCACATGACATCACAAGGTGGAAGAGAGTGTTTTCAGTTTGAGGGAAGAACTAAATGACATGATTTGTGTGTTAAATGTGTGAATGAAACAAAACAGCACTCTGAGTATGTTTCTGGTGAGGAAATCAAATTATAACATAGATTATAAAATAGCGTAACATGGGCCCTTTAAATTGTTACACAAAAACAAAGTGTATGTAATTCATATGTAGTTCATAAATCTGCATATGATAGTCCACATAGCTCACTGTTAGTTTTTTCTTTGTCTTTTGTCCTGCAGGTGGCGCTGTGTGCTGGTTACATCGCTCTGCAGTCTGAGCTGGAGGTGCTGGTGCTTAAACTGGAAGCTTCTAATGAGCCCACACCATCAGAAGAAACTCCAGACCAACTCAGATATGGTACTGGGAAAATCCTCCTCAGAAAAAAACAAAAAACTGTCTTATGTCGATCCTCTGTATGGGATGTCACTGTGGGCACCCTAAGATTTGGTCTTATATTCTCCTAAATGATAAAACTTTTCAGTACAGTTTTGTTTGTGTTTTCCCAGATGACGCTGAGGAGCAGACGGATTTCTTTGTTTTGCCCAGACACCAGGAGCTACTGGGAGACCGAGCTCAGAACTGTGAGATCCCCGTCACTGTGGAGAAGACGGGGCTGGAGGACAGAGGACAGTACACTGTGTCTTATGTCCTCTTTAGGTTTGTACTTTTTATGTGTTTTCACTTATTAAGAGGGACGGGACCAGTCACAATTTCCACAACACGAGACGAGGTACGAGATTGGGTCTGCGAGAACGAGAAGATGGGATTTTAACATTATTCTTAATACAGAAATTTCCCAATTCAGTTTGCAATTTGGCCTCACAATTTTTTATTTACTTGATTTTTTATTTACTTGATATTTTTATTTCCATTCTGGTATTGCTTTTTGAAACTTTAAGAGATGCAACTCACTCGCATGTAACCCTTTTTTGTCCAATCCAAATGTAAATACTTGGGGAAAAAAAGTCATAAGATCATTTTTTCTCATGTGTGGATAATCTTGTGGCAGTTTTGTCCCCGAAATTTTGTTGCACAAGGCCTTACCATTCCTACTTATTAGTGTTTTTGTTGATATATTTTGCATATTGGCATTTGTTTCACTTCACTGACTTCCAGTTTCTTTTAGTAACTGTTTACAACACTTGTTTTTGTTTGTTAAGGCCATTAAAGCTGCACTATGTAACATTGGTTGTGGGGGTTCTGTGACCTACTTGTTTTTGTGGATATGTTATTTCTTTGTTTAGAATGTCCCAAAGTCTAGAATGTAGTAAAGTTACCGGTCATATCTGCGGAGAAGCAAATGCACTCATATTAAGAATGGAAGTTTTTATGTTATTTTTATACACATAATTTAAATCCTATAACATTTTATTTGAATGTTCTATTATTTCACTGTTGATTTGAATGTTTTGTCTTTTGTAAATTGTGTTGATTTTATTGGACAGCTCTTTGGTAACTCTGAGTGTTTGATAACTAAATATAGACTGATATATATTCTATATTTTCTTGTGCAGGCGTTTCACTCCAGAGTTCTTCCAGGGCTGTAATGTGGAGGAGACTCAGATCCACTCACTGCAGCTGCAGCCTCTGTTTATCAGTGAGTCCTGCGTCCTCAACAACAGCTGTCCACATGAAGAAATAACAGAATCATCCTGACAAATTCAACATACTATAGAACTATCATGACAGTTTTGTCTTTTTACTAATAATGGTGTGATTATTTTAGATCAGAATCAGAATTTGAATTGTTGATTGAGTTGATGTGTCAGTTACAGAAGAAAAAGTGGAATATACACACACAATACAACATGCACATTATATTAATTACATGTAGCTCAATTTATGAATTTAGAAAGTATGTTTTAATAAAGATAATGACAATAATAGCTATGACGTTATCCTAATAATAAATGACCCTAATGATATGAAGAGTTGACAAAAAGTATATATAATGTTTGTATTAAAATGTCTGCACTGGTGTTTGTTTAGGAAACCAGGCGTTCCCAGTGGAGAGCCGTCCTGTGTGTTCTGTTTCTTCTCTCTGCCTAATGCTGGATACCTGTACAGTCTGAAGGGAGGCGTGGAGCTGCTGTCGAACTATCAGTATCCAGAGAAGGTCCTGGAAGCCGTCCTCACCGACCACCTGCTACATGTGGTCACCAGGTCCTAAATGAAGTCATGGTTGTATTACATTTGAAATGCAACAACAAAATATTAAGTGTTTGTTTGTTTGTTTTATTGTATATTGTAGGAGCGCTTTGCAGTGTTTTACTGTCCGCTGTGCAGCCCTGGGAGCCCGGGTGGAGGACCCGTACATTGACACCACCATGAAGGTAAAACAGGCTTATGTTAAACACTCACAGCTCATGGTTCTAGACTGTAAAATGTCATGGTGTGATCACACTAGACTTATCGACCAGAGCATGAACCTGAGCTGTACTTTTGTTAATTAATGAATCATGCATTTATATAGCGCTTTTCAAGACACCTGAAAAGCTTTACAGAAAATTGTTCATTCACTTCAAACTCGCAGTTGGTAAACTACTATTGTAGCCACAGCTGCCCTGAGGCAGACTGGTGAAAGCAAGGCTGCCAATCTGTGCCATCAGTCCCTCCGCACACCACCATCACACAGGCACATCACTTTCATACCAGGCAATGTGGTAAACGTCTTGCCTAAGGACACAGTGAGAGGTTTTTGCACTGGCCCCTCACTGTGGTACCTGTTATTCCCCGTAGTCTCCCATTCAAGTCCTGACCAGGCCCGGCCCTGGTAAGCTTCTGAGATCAGGCTTTGACAGGCTGGTACAAGTGTTATAGCACCAGTAACACCAGTGATACTCAGGTGTGTCACATGTCACACTGTGGCACAGAGGAGGGAAGAGCTCGTGTAAACACATTAGTGTTACTCCATTGACCATGTCAGGAGTGTTGATATTCCTCAAGGAAAATGTTGAGTTTATTTGTTTATTTAAATTGGACAGTGTATGATACCAGATTTAACTCAAATCCACTGAATGAACTTGAAACACCACCCCTGATTTGCACTTCTCTTGACAAAGGACTGTGGACGATGACAGACGTTTTGCATTCTCTTCTCATGTTTCTCTCGCTGCTCACAGGCTGGTATTTAATCCTCACATGTACTTTCAACTAACTTCAGCTTTAGCACTTCAGTGTGACATGTAAACAAATGCTTCATGATGATGGCACCTAGTGTGACTGCATTATTAAACCTGTATTGGTTATATAATACCTACATACATAATAACAGTACAAATCACCCTTTTACTTCCTGGGTAATGCAGCTCAGTCTCGATGTAGTGTGTTTGTCCTGTTGTGTGTGCAGGCATGTCCCCCGTGCAGCCTGGAGGTGTGCTCTCAGGATGCAGTCTTTTATCGGCCTCAGATCTGTGTGTGCTTATGGCAGCCAGGTTGTCCTCCTCTCTAGAGCCGACCCGGAAACACAAGAGGAGCCTGAGCGCCCCCCACAGCGCAGAGGCCTGTAAGACTCTCTTTGTTCACTATTTTATAGTGTTTTTTTTTTGTTTTTGTTTTTTTTATAATCAGTTAGTTCAGTTAATCTAAAACTAATTCTTACCTTAACTTGAGAGGATCGTGACTGAAATGTAACTTTTTAAATATTTAACACATTTTCATTTTAAGCTCCATGAAGACAAAAAATATCAAGATTTGAAGACATTGCTGTACTGTAGATTTCTTATCTTGGGATATGGGTATTTCTTCTGACAAAATTCTGATATGTTGTGCAGCCTTTAAAGGGGTATAAGGGTACTGTGTAACTTTTCTGGAGGAGGGTACACCACTTGCTTGTCACCATGGAGATGTAACTGCTTTGACAATCTGGCATTTCGCTATATTTTTTGAGACAAGCAGGTGGCGCCACCAGACCAGTTTTATATATTTTTTATCTACAGAGATGCGTCCTACCCTGAGTAAGACTATCAGGAAATAAACACCATACTGTGATAAATGCTATACTGCCATACAGAACATTCTAGGCTAAGTAATCAGATCTCCATGGAGACAGGCAGGTGGACTAAAGGTTAAGCAGTGGAGCTTTAACATTCATTTGCATCCTTCACTTTGTTGTGGTTTTTAGCGAGTTGAAAGAGAACGCCACGCTGGCTGGTATTTTCATGGCAGTGGGAATTGACCCCACAACCTCCCCAGCTCTGGAGAGCCTCCTGTCACGCCCCCTTTTGTAAGACAGACCCTCGAAGCCCCTCACGCCCCCCACGTCCCCGGTGTCACCTACAAACCAAGCTGCAAACTCAAACCAACAGTTATCAATTCCTTTTACTGAATAAATCCTTTAAACCGCTAAAATTCTGTAATGGAGCCAACTGGAGGCAAAAAGAATTATATCACAAGACATATTCTGTTATATCAGATCTAAATGTTAATAATTTTAAGCTGTTAAAACAAAAAACTAACCAAAACCGCCTTGAATTTTCATACTTTATCATTTATCTGTGGCTCAACCAGTTTGCTCCATTGAAATCACATTATGTTCCACTTCACTTTTACCTCTATTCCAAAACTTTTAATGTTTTTGTTTACAAATTTTCAGAGTATATTCATTTTTGTGCAGCTCAGTTTTAACGGTGACAGCCTTTCCCCATTAGCTCCTAACCGTAGTTTCTCTAACTCATCTTACCGTGTGGTGTGCAGTGTTTTAACTCAGTAACTAACATTTAGACAAAAAACAAAATGGAACATAAACATTGGGCATAACTGTAATAAATTATAACATTTATGAATATTTAAAAACCCACAAAACTCCTGCCATAATATTTTACAGCATCTGTTGTAAGAAAAAAGCTGACAAAAATGTACATGTTTCTATTACAACATTTAATTATTTATTTATTTGAGCAGTGGAAGGGTAAGTCAGACCTGCTTTTACTCCGTTGTTGACAAAACCCAAGCTCCATGTTTGGGCGAAGCGTCATATACACTCTTTATGTTCTCGATATTGATATTTTTTCTCTTGTTCTTCTCTTATTGTTTGACCTTTGACCTCAGGAGCAGGAAGTGGACCTCATCCACACCCAAAGAGCCCAGTGCTGTCGGACATGGCTGGAACATCTATGTGGTCAAATCTGTGCCCCCGATCGCCCTGTACCAGGAGATGGTAACTCACTCACGAATACACACACAATGAAACTGTATTTGTTGCCACAGGTGTGTTTCTTTTCTCAAAACAAGTAATTTTCCATTGTTCTGTTTTCAACTTTTCTACTCATTGCTTCCAATTCAACCCAATCCAGTTTTATTTGTAGAGCACATTTGACCAACGCAAAGTCTCCAAAGAGCTGCACAGAGTAGGCACAATATAAATTAACATATTAAATCAAATAAAACATAAAATAAATAAATAAGCAAGTAAATAAAAAAACAGAAAAAACAGCAAATAAAATAATTAAAAGACAGTCAGAGGAGCACACATTTGTCACGCCGTGTTAAAAGCCGGTGAGTAAAAGTGTGTCTTTAAACGAGACATAAAAGAATCGACTGAAGATGCGCTCTTACTGTGAGGGGGAGAGCGTTCTAAAGTTTGCTGCCACAGAAAAGTCCCGGTCACCCTAGGGTCACCCCGAGTCTCGTTTTTGGCACGACAAGTTGACCCTCAGACCTCAGCGTGCAAAGGAGTGTAGGGAACAATGAGGTCTTGCTTGCCAAGTAAAGGTTAGGGATGGGCCAATCAACTATAATAACATTTATTGTGATAAAAAGAGTAGACAATAATAAACAAAATAGTTTGTGGGACAAAAAAGCTTAACCATACAATTCTCTGCTAGATCAGTGTTTTCAGTTATAACAAAGTACATTATTATACCAGTTGTTTAAATATGGAACTTATTTATTATGATATTAAAATCAGAATTATTCAAATCCATAAACATTTTGAACTTTCAGCAACTTGAATAATTGTTGTGATATTATTATTAATCGCAATTATTTAGATTAGATTAGATTATTTATTTATCGTCCCCTGTCTACTAGAGGTTGACCACATCAATTTAATACAAATCAGATCTTTCACTAAAGCAGTGGACTGCAAACTTTACAACAAAGTACCAGTACCAGAAATGTTTTGTCTTTTGTAGTCCAACTAAATCGAAACCCAGACTATATCAGGTTAAAAGTAAAGCTACCCTAAAATGAGACTAAACCAGGCCCCTGTTAAATAAAACAAAATGAGTAAAAAACCCAAAGGAGGACAAAAAACATGAATCTTTATATCAAATAAATACTCAAACTACTACATGTGCCACCAGTACCTCCACACTTTGAGAGACACTGCTCTGATGCATTCAGACTGAGGATAATGAGTCATGTCTCATGACTGCTCTCTACAAATGCTCTCAGGGTTTGCAACTGTGGAATGACACACAATGTGACACCTTTAATATGACACACCTTTAATATTTACTATCTACTACTACAGCCAAGTACTACTACAGGCTGTTTGACCTGCCAGAACAAAACAAAATGTATTTAAAGAATCAGAACATCAACAAAACATTAGTTCAGTATCATTGGTTTGTTTGAGGAACATGCAGGTTTCTCAGTAAGTTATAATGCAACAGTAACTTTGTGCTCTAAAGAGGAGGAAGCGTTACACTTATACACGCCTTCCCTCAATTCTAGTCTAGATGTAAACCGCTGTTATTAGATTTAGCTGCTTTTGTATGTTCAGCATCATCAAATACAGTAGAGTCTCAAATACTGAAATTAAAAAGAGTAATTTCTATTTCAGCTTGAACTAATTGATAATCATATGCAGGTAACATTAAACTTGTGAACTGAATTATTCAACAAACCATGATAGTGTTTTAGATGCTTTGTTATAAAGGGAGTATTATACAAAAAACACTTGTTGAAGCATTCTACCATGTTACAATGTTGTTCCTTCATTAAAACAGAGCTGAAGAGGTTTTAGATGCCATCCATGCATGTTATTATAATTTAGAGACATTTATAAGTACAGTCTTATCCAAGGCTCAGCCCACGATCCTACAACACGCTCATTCAAGCCAGTTTTCCATAAATATACAAAAACATGATACAAAACAACACACTACAACATCTCAAAGCTGATCATTTGGACAGTTTCACCCCTGGAATTGCCAGTCACTACTAAATAAAACTTTAAGCTTGTTTTGAGCTCTATAGATGTAGACAGACTAATAGATGCATCAAGAATTTTGGACTTCCGGTCATTGCGCAATGCATACTGGGAAGGATTGTCCGAAAAAGTGAGCATCATACCACCATGTTTGTTTTCCGAGTGGGATGCATCTATTGACAAAGCCAGTTTTTTCTAGTCCTTTGAACCATATCACTTTTGTTTCTGATTTTGATATTGTCATATTTTAGTTTTGGGATTCGGACGTTGTAATTGTGATGTTGGATACTAACAGCGGAAAACAGCTTGAGAAATTTGTTTGTGAACTCCATAAATGCAGAAGGGAATCAGATGTGTGTGACTCAAACCTCTGTTTCCCTTCCCAACGGAATTAAAAAATAGTGAACGGTGAAGGCGATGGGAAGGATTGATCCACGGGAAGGACGAAAAAGGAAACATTTGACTGCCTAAATCATCCCGAGTTTGCAGTGAACATTTTGTATGTGGAGCGCCATCAAAGCAAAATCCCATTTGTTAAGCGAGAAGTGCAGAAGACAGAGCTCGCTCTTTCTTGTTCCTGTGACTTTACAGCAACATCATGTCTTGGTCTCTTTGCAGTGGAAGGTGTTTCTTGGTGAACAGCTGGTGCCTTTCGCTTTGGCGTTGACTTTTTAAATTTGTAACCGAGGTTGAGCGAGGGATCAGGATTTTGCTTTGATGGAGCTCCACATACAAAAGAAGGGAAACAGTTTGAACAGAGGTTTGCAGTCACACAGATCTGATTTCCTTTTGCATTTATGGAGTTCGCAAACAAACTTCTCGAGCCGTTTTGCGCTGTTAGAACATCCAACAACCACACAATTACGATGTCCGAATCCCAAAACTAAAATGACAATATCAGAACCAGAAACAAAAGTGATATGGTTCAAAAGACTAGAAAAAACTGGTTATGTCAATAGATACATCCCACTGGGAAAACAAACATGGCGGTTTGAGGCTCACTTTTTTTGAAAATCCTTCCCAGTACGAATTGTGCAATGACCAGAAGTCCGAAATTCTTGATGCATCTATAATAAAGAGTTACTCAAACATGTGTGAATGAAACAAAACACAACTGCAGGTCTGTTTTTGATGTGATACCAACATTATAACAGGACTTAAAGCTCACAAGAGTCAATTTTGGTCAATATAGGAACTTTAAGGTATACTGTATTTATTCATGTTTTGTGAGGGAAATAAATGTGTATTTTCTGCGTGTACCAGGTTGAATACAGCCAAAGCTACTCCGCAGCCAACCCTCAGGCCCAGAGCCTCAGACACCTGCTGAGCGAGGCCCACCTGCTGCTGAGGGCGTCTCTGCTCACCTGCCCTCACCTAGACACGGAGGGGCCAGAGGGAGGGGAGAGGGCGGAGCTAGAGGCCGCACTCCGAGAGAACTGTGCTCATCTGGGAGACTGTTTTAGCAGGTAACAATTACACTCAACAACATGAAACTACATGAAAAACTAGCGAAGGGAAAACATCTCACATCACAAGATCTCTAAAGATGCATGAGAAAAATTATTGTGAGAATTTTTCCTCATATTTTTACATTTGCCTTGGATAAAGAAAGGTTAACTTTGCTCAGTAACTCCTCTTAAGAAGCTGTAATTCTAAAAAGCAGTGCTACAAAGACAACAAAACTATAAAATGAAAGAAAACACAAAATTGTGAAGCCAAATTATGAACTCAATGGTACAATTTATTTATTAAAAATGATATCGATGTTCTCATGGACTGAATCTCATGACCTGTCTTGTCTCTATGAAAAATAGAACTCATTGATTTTTAACAGTTTGCAGTGGCCCTGCGTTGTTATTTACTTTCCTAACACATTTGTAACATTCTATTTATTAACCACAATGAGTTTATAACTCACTTTTCACAAGTAACTTTCAGAGGCCAGTACCTTTTAATACATGCAAAATCGGTTACAGACACTTTAAACTAGCTACTGTGTAAACAAATATGAGCTGAGACTTGAGAAGCTGCATTTGATTGTATTAGTGTGTTTTTTTAATGTCTTAATGTGCAGTTAATGTTTTGTTTTTTACCCCTAAATTATTCAGTGTTGTGTCCAATGATTTTCTCATTTATTTTATTTTTTATTTTTATTTTATTATGTTTTTACAAGAGGGTAGATTTTCATGGAGGTAAACTTGTATTGCTGATACTGTGGGAGGGAGGCAGAGGAGAACAATCCAAAACAGGAAACAAGTGCCTGTTTGTAGAGTAAGCCCCTTTCGACGCCAATATAAATTCTTGCTTCTCAGACCAGTATTTTCAGAACTATAAATGATTTCTGGATGTTAACTAAAATGTCTAAAGCTGAAATAACATTGTCTAAAAACTACACGTGTGTATCCTTGTTTATTTGACTATTATTGAGGAGTAAATGTTTGATTTATTGACTTCATGTACAGAATGTGAAGTTGTTTAAAGTGATAGTATGTAACTCTCTGGAGGTGAGAAGTCAACTTTATGATTCTCATGGAAATAAAAAGTTCAAACCATTCTCTTTTGAAATAGATATGTTTTATGCCATACTGTGGAATATTACAATCAAAAGAACAACATTTCCATGGACACAAGTAGGAGAAGGGCGTCCTCCAGGCCAGAGCCGAATATAAAAGAGTCACGTTTTGATGCAAACACGTTGTATTTAGCTTCATTATTCAGTAATTTGCCTCACAGCCTCAGGTAATCCCAATTTGAATTTTCCAGGAATGTTGCGTCACTGGTCGAAACCCAGCAGTTTTAAATTATTATCATAACATCTAAATTAAAATGAAAACATGTACAATTCAAATGTTAACTGAATCCTGATATCACAAAGTACCAAATGTAAACTTCTGATTGTTTGTAACTTTCCTCTAATCTGTTTCTAATGATACTTCAGGTTGCCCACTATAATGTAATGATATGTTAACTTTTATCTATGTAAAAGAGCCTGATTTGACTGTGTTGTCCTTGGCTCATCCTTTATTCTCTTTATAGATAAACACAATGCAAATCAAATAGACCAGTTTGCATAGTTGACACAGATCTGCAGACAGTGTGGAGCCTGAAGAGGAGAGTCTGATTTTGACTTTGTTGATGATGTTCTCAAAAGAAATCCTCCTTCTTTTTACAGTGTGTGAGGACAAAATGGCTTCAGATCAAACAGTGCCATTATTGTATCTATATACAATAGATATAGATAAACAATAGATAATAGTTGTATCTATACTGAGGCATAGAATTGAGGGATTTGACCCTCAACAGCTCAAATCTTTTCATAGTACAGAACAATGACAACAATGTACCATGATAGATATTGACCCCCCAAATGATGTGTCATGTATTGAACGATAAGTTGACAGTGGTTATCGTGAGTGGATTACTCTTCTTGCTATCCTCTTTGCTCATTTTGTAAGGAGTACATACATTTTGTTTAAAAGGGCACGTGGCTGTGCCTAATGCAGATTTTATTTGTTTGTTTTCAGGGGTAATCAGAAGGACTGTCACCTGGCGCTGCCTTATTACAGAATGTCCGGTTTGTCCATCCCAGAGGTTATGGCCCGAAATCTGCCGCGTCCAGGCAGCTCCTACGGCCCCGGGTTCCTCTTCTACCTCAAGCATCACCTCCTGGAGGAGACACAGCAAACTCTCGAACAGGTGAAAATGATAAATGACAACTGTTTTAATCTTATTATAAATGTGCTCTATGTGACTTTTATAGTGGTGGGTTTGACACGGTGCCTGCAATGATATGTTATGGTTTTGCATTTGTGGTATTTTTTTTATTATTTTTTTTAACTACAAAACACCCATCATTGAATAAAGCCATACAGTGTAACATTTTAGACAAAGAAATAACATCTCCATGGAAACAAGCAGGTGTCTGACATCTGTCAAAAAGTTGTAGACTCAAATAGATCTAAATATTAATTAACCTAAAACTAAACTGGATATAATTCATATAATATTCAGTAAGTAAAATGTTCTTTAAAAAGTCACATAGACTGGATATTTAGTTCACTGGAGAGGACGAGTCCTATCGTCATTTTGACTTTCCAAAATATCATGAAATGTGCAAATAGATTTAAAATGTGTTTTTTTTTTTATTTAATAAAAAATATATATATGTAAATGCAGGATGCTGCAGATGAGGTCATCGACATTTTCAGCCAATCAGAGCCCTCGCAGCTGGTGGGTGTGTGCACCAGCCCCATCATGGTCCACATGAGCCCGGCCCGGACCCTGGCAATTCTCGGGCTTCTGGAGGAAAGCACGGGCGTTTCAGTCACTCTCACCATTGCCATGGCAACATTAGCCCTGAGACTAGGCGACAGGGGGCAGTACAGGACCCTGATGGACAGACACTCTGAGGTGAGGGGAAAAACATTTAATACTATGTCTATTTATTTTACACCATATAAGCATTAAAACATTGAAATCAGGATTCAGTGCTCAGAAAACTTCTATTTTTTACACCTACCCCATATCTCTGCCCCCTCCTCTGTACTGATTATTACACATTTCAGACTGCGGGTCATACATGTAGGGTTAAAAAAAATGAAAATCTTCATAATTTGAAATCTTCTGCTTGTTATTGTTTTTCACTATGAATAGACAGGGTGCTCAGAGCAAGGATGCACATTTTTATATGTTAGTACAATAAACACAACCAAAATGAATGAATAAATAAAAACATGATTTTAGTTTATCTAATTTTTGGTTGAAAAGTTACATACTGTTATGACGTGTTTCTTATTCAAATGGTGTCTGTATGTTATAGCTTAATACTAAATGCACTAAAAATAGCTTAATACAGTATGTCCTCTTAAACTATGTCCAGATATTGTTGCTTTTATATATTGATCGTTGTTTCTTCTAGATGTTGCTGGTGTATGGGTTCATAGAGGAGCCCCGGCTGCTCTTACATGGATCTGGAGGGGCCCATCATGCTCTGGTAGAACCCACAGCTCTGGCTTCGGAGCTGGGTCGCTCTCAGCCCGGGCTCCTGGTGGCAGCTCTGGTGGCTCTGCACGAAAACAACAAACTCAAACTGGAGCAGGCCGACCATGTGTTCAAGGTGTGGAAATATGGTTTAGAGTCACCAGCAGATAGTAAATGGTAGAGTAAATAGATATGGGATATTAAAGGTGCTGTACCAAACCCTTTTAAATTACCTTTTTAAAGGACTTCCATCAATCCATACATATTTCCCACTTTCCTAATGTATCACCAGCATACTAATTGTGATGAGTTTATAAGGCTTTTTTCACAACTCACAGTACAATATTTCTTGCAGTATTTTGAAGAATTGAATTATAGATCGACCTCTGCTGACAGCTGCGTGTGTGTGTGTGTGTGTATGTGTGTGTATGCGTGCTCGTGTCTATATGTTTGTGTGTGTGTGTGTCTGCGTGTGTGTCTGTGTGTAGGAGCTGGGCTGTGAGAGGTGTCTGCAGGTGGACTTCTGGGAGGGGATGCTGATGGCTTCTTCTCAGGAGGCTGTGATCCAGGAGCTTCTGTTCAGAGTGTCCTCCATTTACATCGAGAGACTCACTCACACCAACCCCGACCCCAAACTGCCCCACTCCGGCCTGGGCAAGAGGTCCCTGAAGAGCGCCGATGACCTGGTACTCTGCCTCTATCTCACGTGACAGCTCTTAAACTGATCCAAATGATTTTAAATGTCTAAATATTTATATTAACTTTAGATCGGCTCCTGTTCCCACTATGGGGCGCTGTATCCCTGGCTCACTGTCCTCTGCCCTATTCATATCACCAACTCTCAACACCAGGAGGCGCTGCAAAAACTTCAGGTAATTAGTTTGGAGTTTATTGTACACAATGTTGTATGCATCTCTGTTTTCATAAATCTTAATTATATCTCAAGTAATTAATTACTTAATTAATTAATATAAAATTATTGTAAAGACATTCTAAATTGTAAACACACAAATAATATCAACACTTTAAACCACGGGTGTATATTGAAGCATACTGGGAAGCATACGGGAAGTATATTGAAACCACGGAATACAGGAAATACAGGAAAGTTGAGTGAATCAGTCAAAATGTTGCATTTGACGTAGGTCTGACTGAGACATCACAAAATGAGACACTGTAAAATGTTTGGCATTTTAGTTATTGGCAGCAGAATTTTTCAAAATGGGCAGTTTGGTTCATTTTGTCAATTTTGCAGGAAGCCTGAGGGCTAACACAAATTGTTTTCAGGGCCACATTTGGCCCCTGCACTCTAGTGTTGACACCGCTGCTTTAAACTACTGACCTCCTCTTTTATAGCTTTAAGAAATATGGTATATGTCTCAATATTGATGTATCTATTTTTGTGTTTTTATTTCTTATTTCTTATTTTATTTATTTGTAAAGGGACAGTACATATTAATGAACATTAAAAATGTAAATATGCAAAGATTATAGCCAACGTGGCTAATTTCCATCTTCAGTCCCTCAGCAGGTTGATGCAAAATCTTCTATAGGATGAGGAAAAGTACAGCAACAATCACACAAAAGTACACAACACCAGCACACTCACTATACACACAATTAGTTTCAAACAGTTCATTTGAAGTTCAAAGTCAGAAGTTTAAGAATTAAGTCAAGAGTTAAACCAACAACCCCTCAAAGTAAAAGAAAATATAAATTGGTTAAACATGGTGATATATTTGACCATTGAGTAACCACTGTTTTAAAGCTTTAGAAATGCTGCCAATGTTGAAAGATCTCGTATATGAGCAGGCACTGTGTTCCATGTTTGAGCTGCTCGATAAGCAAAAGAGACTTGTATATATTGCATTATTATATTGCACTTATCCACTAACATCTGCTTTTTTGTATAAAAGTACAAGTACCACAGCATATCTAACTTTACATGATTACATTGCACCTCTTTAACCTTTTACATTATATTTTCTCTGTCCCTCAGTCTCTCCTGTGTGGCCCCTCTCTCTCCATCCCCTCGGTCGTGCCTCTTCTGGAGCAGATCTCAGAGGAGACACTGTGGGGCTTCAGCCTGCACCTGCTCTGTGCCACCAGGAGGGGGCACTACAACAGCAGCATTGAGAAACTGCTGGACCGCTGCCCTCAAGCCATCATCGCCTACGCCAACCACCACCTGCAGGACAGACACATGGTGAGGGGGCATTTTTGTTTCATTTCATCTTATTATTAACTTGGTAATAATAAAGCAAAGTTAAGTCTTCCAGACTGAATTTAAGATGATTCAATTTGTGTTTTAAGGAAATGAATGCTTTTTTCAGTCTCTGCTGGCATTCGTTGATACTGGTGTCAAATACTTTATTATAACTGAAAAAAACTGGATCTGTGCATCTGTACGGCTTTATAGGAAAAGAAATTCTGGGTTAGTTAAAGGTGCACTGTGTAACTTTTCTGAAGGGCCCTTCAAAAATTTTCTCCTTAGAGAAGTTATTGCTTTGTCTGGAATGTTTCACAGTATGGTATTAAACTTTTCTATCTTCATGGAGACCAAACCAGACCAAGTTACAGGTCAGATCTGTGGAGAGGCGACCCTCTCACAGCCAGAAAACAAACAGTATTTTTGAGCTATGAAAATCACCTTAAATATAAGGTAGAGCTGTTTAATGTCACACTGTGGAACATTCCAGACAGAGCAATGACATCTCCATGGAAACAAGCAGGTGACAGACCCCAACCTAAAAAGTTAGTCAGTGCACCTTTAAATATTCAACATGGGTAGCATCACAACATGTCATGTTTAAGACAGATAAGAGCAGCTACACTGAATTTGTTCAAATGAAGCTTTTCTTGTAATAGAAAAAGTGAATGGGTTTAGTCAATAATAGAAATGATCAGATTCAACATTTGTGAATTTACATTTGTCATATTTCATGGTAAAGCACGATGTAATCAATGGGAAGATCTGTCTCTTCCTTCCATCTGGGAGAATGACATCATCACATTCTAGAATTTGAAAACCATCAATTTGGAGCATATTTTTGTACAAAACAGTAATAGAAATAGTAATGCTTCTGTTTAGTGCTGTCATAATATGAACATTTCAAACTCAATTTCAATACTAAGGAATAGACTCAGTACTCAATACTGATTTCTGTACCATGATGATAATGAGAGCCTCTGTCACAAAAGTTGCACAATGCACCTTTAATCTTACACATTAATCTATAAATAGACATAATTTCTCACTTTTTCCATGGAGCATGGATTAGCTAACCATTGCTTTATTGTTTTTGGCGGAAAAAGAAAAGTTAAAGTTACACATTAACCAGTAAATAAAGTAAAACCTTTTTTCCTAGGTAAATTTGATGGAATGTTTTGGTCTTTGTTTATTGTTCATTTGGTATGTCTCACCCTTTTTTCTGTTGGCACACCTTTTACTGGCATCACAAAGATTAATCCAAGGTTTAACCCATATAGTAATGAGGATTATGCATTATGAACACACAGAACTCACACTCAGACACTGAGTCACTGACAATCAATCACTCACTAAAACATTAATTAGAACGTTACATTAATTAGAACATTAATTAGAACGGTATGTTCACACTTGCATTTGTTTGGTCCTACTTTGTTAGGTAGGTAGGTCCTAAGGTAGATTTGATTTAGTCCTGCTCTAGTCCTGTTCTTGTCCTGGTCTGGTCCAGGTTTAGTTCTGGGTTTAGTCCGTGTTTAGACACATTTTTGATAGTGCTAATGTGAATGATCTCTTAATCTTCCAGGACTAAATAAACACAATGGGAATTTTTTTTTTTTTTTTTTTAATTATTATTATTATTTAAAGGTAGACCATGTAACTTTCTGTAGGTGTCACCTGCATGATTCAGTGGGAATATAAAGTTTAAACTCCTTTGGAACAGTCTCCATGGAGATGGGGGAATACTGAGGAATATTATAGTCAAAGGAACATCACTTCCATTGAAGAGAGTCAGGTTTGTGGAGATGCGAGACCCCTCACATTAAGGACACATAATTTTTAATTTAATAAACACAACGGTCTGTGTCTGTAGTCTGTGTTTTGGCTAAAAAGTTACATACTGTAGCTTTTAAAGTGGTTGTTTTACTCAAATACAGTATGTCTATTAACCTCAGATTTGCTTTATGATTGTAACTAGAGCTATTTAAAGAATACACGCACGTCCATGTTGACACTGATACCAACTGGGCATGCTCAGACATGCCCTCTATTGTCTGCACTGAATTTTTCCATTTAAATGTCACATTGTTCTTGACTGTGAGCCACCTGTGACCAACGACGTCGTCTCTGAACCACACAAAGGCATTTCACCTCTGCACAAATATGAGGAAGTGAGTTTCCAGTAATACAACCCACACACGCCAGACAGGTATTAGGATTTAAAGGTGCTGTGCCTGATTTTTACTATCACTTCAACCACTAGCATGTTAACAATGCACTTCCTGATTCCTGGACAATAAAAACTCTTTATAATGAGATGCAGAAGTACACAGCAGACATATTTTGACCTCAAGAGCTGCGTATTGGTAGTTGTCAGATTCTAGAATGTGATGATGTCAGACTCCCAGATGGGGGCAAGAGCCACATTTTCCTGTTGATCACTTTGTACTTTGCCACGAAATATCCAAAAGTTAAATGCACAATTTTCGATCTGAGTGACTAGACCCAAGAACTCACTATGTTACAAAAAAAATCTGAATTAATACAATGAATATACTTCTGAGCTGCCCCATCTGCATTAGTATTATATTATTGGCCTATAGAATGTTGGGATGTCATCTGAAACCACCAATAAAATATATTATAATTATATAATTTTACTCAAATACATGGGGAAAAAAATCTGGTACAGAGTTTGTATGTATGGTCTGTTTATTTATTTCTTATTTGATTGGAATGCCCCTTGAGATGTGCATTTTGTTTTTGAGGGGTCCAAACAACACAAAACATTAGTAATACATAGAAGTGTAATGGTACAAAAGTCACGGTTCAGTATGTACTTCGGTTTTAAGGTCACGGTTTGGTTCATTTTCGGTACAGTATGGGAACAAAATGCAAAACCATTTGCTTGTTGTTTATTTGTGTGCTTATTAAACCAACAATTTGTTTTAACATTATACAAATGGAAAAATAAAATAAATGCAAAGTGCTGCTTGGAAATACTAATAAGTGAAGAAAAATATTCTCAATTAAGCAACAAATGTATGACATATTATACAAAATACATTCCTTATAAACAGTAAACAAAACGTTTCAAAAAGTCAAGTGCAGCACTAACAGTTCCAGCATGAACTTTTTCTCAATCTTCATATTTTTGACCAGAAAAAACAACTTGTCCACACTGTCTGCAGTAAGTGCAGATCTGCTGCTGTTACAACGTCCCCAGCGTTTGAAAATACACTTTCACTTGGGGCAGAAGTCGTGGGCTCAGAGATTCCGTGCCCACGAAAGGCAAAAGTGAGGATAGCAGCGCAACAACCATAGTTTCGAAGGGACGTAGTCAAGACAGGGGACAATTGTTGTCAAAACGGCCGGCCTAACTATAAAGCGCTGTGAGAAACACTGCCCCAGTCATGGACGAGTTTCCTTGTGAATATTAAAGAGCCAAGCCTCCGTGCAGCTGCACATGTTGTGGCCGAATGTAAACACACACAAATTGCGCAAACGCAATTGTTCACAGCCCTGTACCAAACTGAACATCTTGTACTGAAAAGGTTCGGCATGAATACATGAACCATTGCACCCGTTATACACAATACAATGCAGTACAATACAACACAATACAATAAACAGAATACAGATTTACAGGTTCACATTATGAAACTGTTTGTTTACATACTAGTTTAAATAAATTGGTAATTTTTGACTTATTTGTAATATTATGACCAAAACAGAATAACTAATAATTAATTGGGATCAAAACTTTGACTAAATGTAAAGATACTGTCTTCAAATATTCATAAAATAACAGACAAGACAAGTGGAGACAAAACATTTAGGAACTACATTCTGCACTGATACAGGTCTAGAACAATACCAAACCAGGTCTATGATCAGGATTAAACTGGGTTAAACCATGACCAAACTAGGGCAACTGTGAACACACCTTAAACTGTAGGCCTAATAATAGAAACGGTTCAAAACTGGAGCTCAAACAAGTTTATTTTACCCACACTACCAATTAAGAGACACACCCTGTCATTCAGTGTTCCTTTTCTTAATGTTTACTTTATAATGATCTTTTCTTCATGTTTACTCATTTCTACATTCTGTATCCACACAGAAGACATCATATGTATGTAGCAAAGAAAAAAGTGAACTCAACTACATATATATATTTTTAAATATTCAATTCCACCCTGTGCTTTCTGTGGTCACCCTTCGTCTTCCAGGTTGGATCCATAGCAAAAGAAAAATTCTGTTCTGTAACTGCTCACAGCTCATCCAAACAGCTTCTTCAGTTCTGGTCAGACGCTGGTGGACACTTCCTTATATCTGTCTGCAGGGAGGAGCTAACTACACTGACACTACTCTGAAACTAACACATATTTCACTAGCTAGGACCACGCCAACGACAACATAGTGCGAAGTAGTTTATTGATAATGTACAAAGCGAGGCAAAGATGGCTGGGTTGAGACTATGGGTGGGGGCTCCGTCTCAATCTACAATTGGCCCAGCCGGAACGGGACCCCCCTTGTAGGGGTCTTATGACTGAAAGACAAAATAGGGGATGGGAGGGTGGGGTCGAGTTCACCAAGACAAACTGGGATGATGGGAAAGGCTGCTACATATAGGCTTCTGGGAAATTAGAGGCGTGGTCGAGGTGAGTTGTGGTTCGCCGGTGAGAGGAGAGGGCGGCTGAGGCGTGGTCCTGCTCCTGAATCTCAGTTAATCGTATTAACTACATTTGTTTACAGTTTCTGTTTGAGTCATATTAGAATAATCCTTCAGGCAGTGCTCCAAGCAAAGGGTGGATATATATAAAGAAAAAGTAATAATTACATTCATCAGGGTTATTTTGAGTTTATTTTTTTGTACCCTACATTCCAAACATGTCCATTCATACTTTTGATGCCTTCAGTTAGAATCTACAAACTGTAAACAATCCTGGAAATCAAGAAGAAAAACTAATTAAGAAGTGTGTCCAGACTTTTGACTTGTAGTGTAATATGTAATTAAATATTTTTACTTTTACTTTTCATTTTTTTAATTTTCTAATTTTATTTTATTTTTTTTATCATTTATTTTTTGCAGGCATTGTGGTGGCAGAAACTTTTGCCAGAGCTTTGTAACCGAACCAGAGCGGCCATGGACAACAGCATCCTACTGGCTGCTCTACAAGGTACTGTCACATTTAAATGAATGAAGTATAATATGTTCAAGAAATGCAAATCAAAACATTAACAACAGTTTATATTGACCTATGACATTTGTTCTAATCCAACTGTACCGATTCAAGATGGTGATGATAACTGTAGTCCCCCCCCCCCCATTTTTGTAATGAAAACTGAATGAAAATCTGTTTCCGTGACAATAGAGACACTAGTGGTGGTTTCCATGGAGACAAGTCCGACGGAGTTCCTGGAGCTGATCCCAGACGATGGCACGGCGGCGTACTTTGTCCCTCACCTGCTCACCTGCAGCCAGAGGCACCTCACCGCCTGAACTCACCTGCACCCAAAGGACCCTCACCCGAAATACACTTGCACCCAGAGGCCCCTAAACACAACTGCACCCAAAGGCACCTGTACACACCTGTCACTAGAGGCCTCTCACCTGAGCACATCTGCACAGAAAGGCCCCGTGAAATCACCTGCAGCAAGAGGAACCTCACTGCCTGAACTCACCTGCAGCTGGAAGCACATCACCTGAACACAGACAGACAGAGGCCCTTCAAATGCTGGAGCACACCTGCACCTATGGGCCACATGAACACACCTGCAGCTGGAGGAACCTCACCGCTTGAACTCACCTGCACCCAGAGACCTCAGACTCAGAATGCATTTGTCATTTCAGTAAATACACGGAAACGAAACTCTGTCCAAAATATTGTCAGTGTTAAATCAGTGCAGACTAACAACCCCCACCCAGCCCAACCCCAGTCTTGACTTCAACACCTGAACACACCTGCATCCAGAAGCCCCTGTACACATCTGCACTGAACTCACCTGCTCTATACACACATGAACTTTTATTTTGTGTTCATGAACCAAGTCAAATGCATGTGCTGTTGTATTTATTTGCGTTGAAGTCACCAGTGAATGACAGTGTTACATAAAACAATAAAATGCTAAAATTCAGAAACTATGATAGCTGTTGTTATTAGTAATTATACCTGCAAAGTTTTAGTACCAATGTTAAATTACTAGACGCCCCTGAATGTCCCGTAGCTCCCTGTTCGCACCAATTTGGTTCTATGACTTGCTGTAGACAAATCTCGATTTGAACTTTTTTTTTTTTTTTTTATTCAAACTTCTTTGTGTCTGTGTAAACATGTGGTGACACAGAAAGTGTTCAGGAAGTGAGTTTATAAACTTCATACACCTTCACTAGAATCATTTAGATAATTTCATCCCTGGAATTGCCAATCTCTATTGAACAAACGGTAAAAGGAGCTCTTAACTTGAAAACTACAACTTTATGACATCACAAAGTGGAACAAAGCCCTTAGAGCTTTGGCAGTGTTGACAGACTGATGATAAAGAATTACTCAAACATGTGTGAATCAAACAAAACACAACTCCAGCTCTGTTTATGAGGTAACAGCATTAGAACATAAAAGCTCACAGGAGTCCATTTCCTGTTAACAGAACTTCCTTCTATAACTCGGTGTATGGTTTTCATCTTCATTTCATTTCAAAGTAAAAACTTCCCTCCAGTAATTGTGATTACTTTATGATTACATACTTCTACTACTACTGTCTCACAAAACCCCCAGTCTACGTCACAGTCCAGGTAATACGTTATATAAATTTAGCTGCACCTTCCAGTAATATCAATTTAGAATGTGCTTTGTTTGACTGATTCCCTTTTATACTTTCAATTAGGTCAGTTTGAATCTGTATAATTAAAGCTTTTGGGACACTCCTCTTTGTAAGTCCAAACAATGCACCCAGCAGCACAACTTCAGCTTATTATCTTTATATTGGCCTATTAAATACATATTGTCAAAAGCTGTACTTAAAAAAATGATTGTAATTGTTGTGATTTGCCGATAAAACAAATTGAAATGTCTTATATTACTTGAAATTGACTCTTGTGAGATTTTAGCCATGATGGAATCTTGTTATCTCCTCAAAAACAGAGCTGGAGTTGTGTTTTGTTTCATTCACAAGTTTGAGTAACTCTTTATTATGAGTCTGTCTACATCTCCAAAGCTCCAGATGCTCTGTTCCACCTTGTGATGTCATGAACAGAGGAGGAAAAAGTATTGAAAAATTGTAATTAAGTACAAGTATCTTTACTTTGCTTAATTCCTACTCAAGTAAAAATGAAAGTGAAAAATCTACTTGAGTAAAAGTAAAAAGGTACTTCATTTAAAATGTAATTTGAGTAAAAGTGACTTAGTTACTTTCAATTATTTGATGTAAAAAAAAAAGGATGAGTCACAGATCTAATGTAGCACATGTTGTTTTAAAGACACAGTGCAAATTCTGTACATGTTAAAGACAACTGAGCTCACAAACACTAACACTGAGCTCTTCCTTCTTTTTATAGAACTATACAGAACAGAACAGAATAAATTAAACAAATTAACAGTTTAACTAATTCTGAATTATATGGTCCAAGTCACTAGCCTAATTTATCAGTGGGTTTCACTTTGTAGAAACCGTCTGACCTCGCAGTGTCGCTGATATTTGGTCGTGACGTATGTAATGTGCCGCTAACGGGGCTAACTAGTATATTAAGCTTTTTCCAAATCCTGTAGGAAGAAGAGCAATAACGTCTTTCCCCTTGATAAAATTCACCAAACATTCTCTTTGTTCCAGCTTTAAATCCTCGATCTTGGGAATCGTTGACAACACTGAATATATGGCTCTTCACTGATTGGTTGGTGCCTGAACTTGCACTTCCGGGGTTTTTGTGAACTGTCAAGTGTATTCTGATTCCTGATCTAGTCGCTGGAGAGAAATAAAACTGAGCAGAGGCACTAGGTGGCACCAGCCTGACTACCAACTCACAACACTACAATAAAAAAGAAAGAAAATTAAACCAAAATCAAAGTTTGCAAAATTAAAATGTTGCACACATTGGACACTGACGCTGATAGAAGAAATGAAAAAGTGCCCTCCAGAATATTCTGCCCACTGGATCCTATGGCATTAGACTGTAAACCTCTAGTTCAGTTTGACTGATGTTTGTAGCTGTAATCCATGCTCCCTGTGAACAACAAACTTCTTTTTTTTCTCTCTCTCTCTTTCAATCTGATTTTACTCAGTAACGAGGGCGGGTTCCAATGTAATGAAGTAAAATACTTGGGTCAAAAAGCACTCGAGTAAAAGTAAAATTATCTATTTCAAAAATGACATATTACTCATAAAAACTACTCGATCACAGTAATGTGAGTAAATGTAATTAGTTACTTTCCACCCTTGGTCATGAACAGCTCCTTTTACCTGTAGTTCAGGAGAGGTTGGGAATTCCAGAACAGAAATGACCCAAATGATTCTAGTGAAGGTGTTTGGAGTTTTAAAACACAATGGAGCACTTCCTGTATTGCCACATGAAATCACACATAGAGCCTAAATATGCAGGATTTGTGAGTTAAAACATGTGTGAATGAAACAAACACAACTCCAGGTCTGTTTGTGATGAGAAAACAACACTATAACATAGATTAGAAAATAGTGTAGTATTTAAATGAACCTTTAAACTAACTTAAACCAAACAAATCAAAACCACTGTGGGACTGTCCAGGTGAGAAGACCTTGGAAACGGTGAATGATTACTAAATTGCCAGGACAAGTTGGAGGGACCGTGTCTCTGGGCTGGTCTGGGAACACCTCAGGATCCCCCTGAAAGAGCTGGAGGAAGTGTCTGAGGAGAGGACTGGACATCCCTGCTCAAACCTGGAAATGATTAGAAATTGTCTAAAAATAATGTCACAAACTGTATACTTAAAATACAGTATGCATATATTTTTTAACAAATACAAATAATATGCAAAATATTAACTTTAGCAAGAAAGAAATAATGAACTTAAAAAAACAAATAGCTCCAACTATATTTAAACCTCCACTGACACCATAGCTGCTCCATAAGATAAATGTTTGCTATTGTTTGCACGATAATTGCTGCTTTGTCCTCTGAAAGGTACGTGCACATTGTAATTAGAATAATATATTGTTACTGGAACTGTTGACCTGTTTGCCTGTTTACCAAGAAAGTGAATGAAAATCTGTTTCTGTGACAATAGAGACACTGGTGGTGGTTTCCATGGAGACAAGTCCGACGGAGTTCCTGGAGCTGATCCCAGACGATGGCACGGCGGCGTACTTTGTCCCTCACCTGCTCACCTGCAGCCAGAGGCACCTCACCGCCTGAACTCACCTGCACCCAAAGAACCCTCACCCGAAATACACTTGCACCCAGAGGCCCCTAAACACAACTGCACCCAAAGGACCCTCACCTGCAAGACGCCTGCACCCAGAGGCCCCTACTGCATCTAAAGGCACCTGTCTACGCCTGTCACTAGAGGCGTCTCACCTGAGCACACCTGCACTGAGAGGCCCCATAAAATCACCTGCAGCAAGAGGGACCTCACTGCCTGAAATCACCTGCAGCTAGAAGCACATCACCTGCACCCGTGGGCCTCATGAACACACCTGCACCTGGAGGAACCTCACCACCTGAACTCACCTGCACCCAGAGACCTCAGACTCAGAATGCATTTGTCATTTCAGTAAATACACGGAAACGAAACTCTGTCCAAAGTATTGTCAGTGTTAAATCAGTGCAGACTAACAACCCCCACCCAGCCCAACCCCAGTCTTGACTTCAACACCTGAACACACCTGCATCCAGAAGCCCCTGTACACATCTGCACTGAACTCACCTGCTCTATACACACATGAACTTTTTATTTTGTGTTAAAAATGAGAGATTTGTTGTGAGATTGTATTTATTTGTGTTGGCAGTAAATGACAGTGTTACATAAAACAATAAGATGAATACCAAAGTCAGCAATTAGCCACGTACACATTGTAATTAGAATAATATATTGTTACTGGAACTGTTTAACTCTTTACCAAGAAAGTATGCTTCAAACAGCAACCTGCCATCTGCTCGTCTCCATGGAGATGTTATTATTTTGTCATTTTCCATAGTATGGCTTTAAACTAAAATGTTTTATTTATTCAGTGTTTTTGATGCTTAAAAAAATATTTAAAAATCATGCATTCTTGAGTGAGTGGGGTTGCCTCTCCACAGATCTGGCTGTAACTTGGCCTGATGACACTACCAGAAACATATTCATACTTTGCGGTCGCTGTATTGAACCATTGTGGTTGAAGATTTACCGTCAATTTCCGTTCCTCTTCTCACCTCTGGTCATGAGCTCTGGGTAATAACTGAAAGGACAAAATCACAAATACAAGCGGCCAAAATGAGTTTCCTCCATAGGGTGGCTGGGTGCTCCCTTAGAAATAGGGTGAGGAGCTCAGTCATGCGGGAGAAGCTCTGAGTAGAGCCACTGCTCCACAACGTCGAGAGGAGCAGCTGAGGTGGCATCCTGCGCGCTTCCCTCTGGAGATGTTCCAGGCATGTCCCACCGGGAGAAGACCCTGAGGAAGCTCCAGGACACACTGGAGGGACTATGTCTCTGGGCTGGCCTGGGAACACCTTGGGAGCCCCTGGCCTCTGGAGGAGCTGGAGGAAATGTCTGGGGTGAAGGAAGTCTGGGAGTCCCTGCTTAGACTGCTGCCCCTGTGACCTGGCCCTAGGCAGAAGAAAATGGATGGATGGACGTTGTGGTGACATCATGCTGGTGGTGTTCTACAGGTGTGCATTTGCCAGAATGTTGAGCAGTTACCATGGAGATACAATGCACACATTAACAAACACTGTCCAAAAAGTTTTTAAATAGTCTTAAAACTCAAGAAAAAGTAACAACATTGATTTAAAGAGCACATTTTCAAGAGCGTTCACGGTCCTATGTAGGGGTTTGATTTTCAACACAAAGGTCAGAGTAACTCACTGAAAAACTGTTGACTCAATCTTTTGTAAGAGACTTCTTTAACAGCACAAATCATCTCACCTGTTGTAGTTCAACTAAGTCATCTCTTTTTGATCAAATTATTTTAAAACAAAACTCTGATTAAAGTCTAACTAAACTCAGACAGAGCAGTGCCTCAGTTAGCGTCACACCTCCAGGGAATGTTGATGCAAAGTACCAATAAAACATAGTGCACCTCTCAGAAAGTTCTTGATTTTGTAATTTCACTCATGAATCAATTGACAAAATGTGATGTGAAATAAAAACATGTTTTGTGTGCTTCTTTGGGCAGTTGTTGAGGTAAAGGTGCATTGTGTAACTTTTCTGGTGGAGGCACATCAAATGCTTTTCTGCATGGATATTATTGCTTTGTCTAGAATGTTTCACAGTATGATTTTAAACCTTTAAACCTCTGTCTTCAAGGAGATCTGTGGAGAGGTCAGAATGTCTGTTTTTCTAGGTATTTTTGAGCTATAAAACCACCTGTAATTGAATCAATGGGTCTGGTCAAGTGGTAACGGAGGGAAACAGGGCAGATTTTTGACATTCAAATGTCTCTTATTCAGAAACTAGAGGGACTATTGAAATAAGTAAAGTATCAGAATGTAGGAAAGAGTTACACTCCAACAGGGTCAAGTTAAACCTGTGATATTCTTTCAAGTTGTTGACAAAAAAATTTTAAAAACTCATGTCGGTAACGGAGGGAATGAAATATGCAGCACTTTTTGGTCAATAAATCCAAACAGTGATAACTCTTGGTTCTCACTTCCATATCCTTAACAAACTGGTTTGGATATTTGCTTCATATAGTTTTCTACCATATGGTACAAGATTAGGTTGAAAAACCTCTTACTTTTTGACTCATGAGATTTTTTATTAAGAAAGGTCATGGTAACGGAGGGAAAATTGTTCAAACAAGTAGAAGGTGCAGGATTTTACATCATTTGTCGCTTTTTTCTTCTGAATACTTTAATATTACTTCAAAATGAAAGGAAACTATTTCTATAAAATATGTCAGTCCTTCCAAGAACATTTTTATCATTTTAAATACATTTTTTTGAAAAAAATCCTGTCCCTTCATCAACAGTTCAAAGATGGAATAACACAAGATATGATGAAATACATCCATTTATTGACATGATTTGCAGGTCTTTGAAATTTGGGAAATAATTTTTGTTCCATGTTTCATACATGGTCTGTTTAAAACATATGGAACTTTAGAACCAAAAATGGTACAGAAAAAAGGTCAACAGTTTCATAAACTAGAGTACATATGTATCTGTTCAATACAGTTTTATATCAGATGCATTAATTGGAGTTTTTGCCTTGCTGTTTACTTCTGCTTGACCGGGCCCAAATGTAAAGTAGAGCTGTTTAATGTCATACTAGAGCAATGACGTATCCATAAAACCAAGCAGTGATGGAAAAGTTGCATAATGCACCTTTAAATCCTGTGTTGTTTGGAGAGTAAACTGCCCCAGAATGTATCAGTGATCACATTATTGGTCAGTAAAACATGATCTAATCAGCAGTGAACCTTTGGCACTTCAAATCACAGGTCAGCACTTTTACTTTGAAAGACTGTCGAACCCCTTCAACCAATCACAAACCACTACTGTCCTTCCAACCAATCAGAGCTCTGGACCTTTACTCTAACCCAATCAGATTTCAGGTAGTAATGGAGCCCAGCTTGTGGCTTTGTGGGTGCGGGGGTTTGAAGGGAAGGTGGAAGAAACAGAAATGTTGGGAGTCATTTTTTTGTGAAAGTTGAATTTTAAACCAGTTTTGAGAGTTTGCAAACAGGATGAAGTCCGATTTGGAGGTGTCTGTCAAAGAGAGCATTGAGATGGAGCTGTTTTCTTCTGAGGAGTCGTGCGTGCTGATCCAAACGCAGGGACTACACCAGGTTTGTGTTCAGGACAGTTCAGTAAACATGAAATAAAATATGGTATCATTTCTTACCATAGTTTTGAAAAGAATTAAAATGTGTTTGCTTAAAAGAGCGTTTTCAGTTCCAATGGTGTCCACAGTCTTTTATAACTTGTATAACTTTTTGGTTGGGGTTCATCACCTGCTTGTTCGTATGAAGATGTCATTTGTCTTTATGGAATGTTCCACAGTGTGACATTAAACAGCTGTACTTTACATTTATTTAATTGCAGCTGGATTTATAGCTCAAAAATACCTTGAAAAACAGGTATACTGACTGTGAGCAGGGTCACCTCTCCACAGATCTGACCTCTAATTTAACTTGGTCAGGTTTGGTCTCCATGAAGATAGAACGGTTTAATGCCATACTGTGAAACATTCCAGACAAAGTGATAATATCTCCATGGAGAAAAGCATTTTACAGACCCTCCATCAGAAAAGTTACACAATGACATGTCACTACAGGAGATTCAGTTTCATCTATTCTCTTCTATGTTGCACTCAGAGACTCGTGGAGCACCCGCTGGTCCAGGGAGAAAAAGAGCCCAGACGGAGGAGCCTCTCACTGGACAGGAGGCTGAGCAGAGAGGCCCTCACTGGAGCAGAGAACCAGGAGAACCAGGAGAGGACAGGAGTGGAGAACGACATGCTCATAGAGATGGAGGTGAGCAGCGGGCACTTTTGTTATGTCACTGCGGTTTCAAATGCATTAGAAGTTGTTTCATTACATTTAAACATCTGAATTTAGTTTTAAAGTTGGTCAAACCTTGCTTTAGAATCATGTTAGTACTACTGTTTATTTAGTCCATATTTAAGTTAATCCCTCTTAATACCTTAATTAATAAGCATCAGCCTTCAAATCATGATTTTATTTTGTTATTTTGCAGGTTCTCCATTCTCTTAAGGTGTCCAAATATAAGGTACATTTTACATTTCGACGCTTGTGTTAATAATAATAAAGTTTGTGATTTTATACAATACAATTTCTTTTTCAAAATGAGGGGGAAAAAAGGTTTATATTCTTTTTTTTCCCCTTTGTTCCTCAGTCTTCTTGTGAGCACAGAGCGGGGCGTCTGAAGTGGAAGAAGCTGCCTCTGCAGAATAGTCGTTTTGTGGTCAAAGATCTGGTGTTTCTGCCCAGAGACCAGTACCTGGCCCAGATCGAGAGGTGAGTCACACACATTTAAAGTGCATTTAATCTTTATACACTTTATACTAAATACACTACTAGTAACCAGGAAGAGCTTCTGTGTGTATCATGACCAAGTTTTGTATTCCTTGCCTGTTCTCGTCTTAGTCTCTTAAGTTAATCAGGTCTGGGGCATCTTAGAATGTTGATGGGAAACCACTGGGAATAGCAGATGAAACACCGACTCTCGTGGAAACTACTGAGGTGTCCTTAGTTACACACTTAGTCCCAAACCTTGCCTAGTGTAAATGTGTTTGTGTGAGTGAGTGGTGGTTGGAGGGGCCGATTGCACAGATTGGCAGTCTTTCTTTGATCACTCTACCCCAGGGCAGCTGTAGCTACCACCGAGTATGAACTGAGTGAATACTGTGCAAAATTGTGCAGAAGAGTGCCTCGAAAAGCACGATATGTGACTAATGCTGTTTCTTTTTATTAGAAGTAAATGAAATGAACTGAACTGAACTGAACTGAGTATCTATGTTATTATGTTCTTTTTTCAGACCAAGAGTTTGTTTTCATACCTGACAGTTTGGACTGCTTCCTGCGCTCTTCCTCATAGTCGTCACGTGATGTTACTGTAGCGTGTCCGGTCAGGTTTTCAGGTAGGAAGACGGCGCCAAAACTTGTTTAAATCAGCTGACCGGACACATCACAACAACATCACGTGACGACTCTGAAAAAGAGCACAGGGAGTAGTCCAAACTGACAGGTCTGAAAAAAAGAATCTGATTACATAACTTATCAGAAGACCAAATGAACCTCATTGGACTATGAATGAGTATCTGATATATTTCATTTTGATCTTGCAATATAATTATTTCAATAAAATGTGTGTCACTGCAGAAGCTACCACAAACACCTGGAGAAGTAAGAGGCTCTGCAGGGTCAGAACTAATAACTAAAAGCATCTAAAGCATGTAATGTAACCCTCGTCTGTTTTCAGCCATGTTTTCTCCCAGAGACGAGAGGTGTCTCCGGTCACTGCTCGTATGACGGTGGACCAGGGCTGGTCGGCTGCAGAGATGGACGCCAGACTAAGACTCGTGCTGCAGAGACAGTTTGGGAAAGCAGCGGCGAAAAGCATGGACTTCACATATCTACAGGTGAGATGTGAGGTGCACTCAGGATTGCTACATGTTAGAAGTGTGAGTTTTAGAAGGACATTTGTTAAAATCAGAACAAATGTTGCAGGGATGGTTTGATAGATACAACAGTGATCTGATGACTCGGCTTCAGAGTAACTGCTGGACTCCTTTTTATTTTCAGTCTCTGCATCAGTTATCAGTAAAAACTTAGCAGTGTCTGAACTGAAACCGCTGGATCAGGTTTATGCAACAAGTTGTAAATTCCTTGCTTACAGAATCCATGTAGCATTCATTTATTTGTTTTTCAAAATAAAACCAAAAATAAGAAAAGGAAAGAACAACTATTTTTGTCATTATTTGTCTCTAAAACGAAAAGGAAAAAATGGATAGGACTGAATCAGGAGTAAAACGGGACTAAGCCAAGTCTAAACCAGGACTAAACCAGGACTAAACCAGGACTAAACCAGGACTAAACCAGGACTAAACCAGGACTAAACTGGTCTCAGTCCTAGTCTCAGTCCTGGGGCTCCAGGAGCACAAGCACAGATAAAAGGCCTCATAGGACTATAGGCAATAATCAATTTCTTTATTTAATGTTTTTATTATTATTATTATTATTATTATTAGTATAGTAGTTAGTAGTAGTAGTAGTAGTAGTAGTAGTAGTAGTAGTAGTAGTAGTAGTAGGGATGTGTCGATATTTATTTGTACTGCTACAGATGTGCTCTATCAAAGTTTCATTATATTTTGTACAGTGACAATAAATCTAATCTAAGGTTTGAAGTAAATAAAAACCCATGTCATTGAGTAAATGCAAGATGGATACGTTTAATGCCACACTGGGACATTCCAGACAAATCAACAACATCTCCATGGAGACAAGCAGATGACGGATCCTCTACCAGAAAAGTTACACAGAGCACTTTTTAACCGCATATTAACGGTGTGTTTGTGTTGTTTTTAGTGTGTGCAGAGCTCCAGATGTCTGTTCGTCCCCGTGGCCCCCGATGAGGGCTGGAGCGGGGCCCGTGTGCTCCAGGTCTCTACTCTGGGGCCTCTGTATCTGCTCATTCACCAAAACACCTCCCCCTCACAGGTATTTAAAGTTTAATATTACGCAAAATTACCTCTGAACTTGAAGTCATGTTATAATGTTTTTACTTCCTCAAAAACAGAGCTGGAGTTGTGTTTTGTTTCATTCACATGTTTGACTAACTCTTTATTATTAGTCTGTCTACATCTTCAAAGATCCAAATGTTCTGATCCACCTTGTGATTTTATTTAGCTACATTTTTACATTTACTTCAGCAGAGATTGGCATTTCTAGAGCTAAAATTATCCAAATACTTCTAGTGAGTTTAAAACCCAGTGGAGCACTTCCTGTACTACCACATGACATCACAAGGTGGAACAGAGCGTTTTCTGTTTGAGCTAATAACTCAGCCTAAATTTTCAGGATTTGTGTGTTAAACATGTGTGAATGAAACAAAACACAACTACAGATCTGTTTGTGATAAGGAAACTACATTTAAACAGGGATTAGAAAATAATAAATTCTCTTTCAAGTTTTTGGCGGGATAGGACAGTATTTTTCGGACTATAAGGCGCACTTAAAATCCTTTAAATTTTCAAAAAAATTGACAGTGTGCCTTATAATCCAGTGCATTTTATGTATTAATTCTGGTTGTGTTTACTGACCTCGAACTGATTTTATGTGGTACACAGCGCTCAAAAATCTGTCAAAATGTTTTAGAGCGACTTTGCTAAACTATGAAGTCGCAGCGCTTGATGGATTGTCGGAGCATTACAGCTACTGTAGTCAGGAGCCTCGCAGAGTCCGACAGAAGCTGAGGACACCAGCACACAAGGAGAGAGCGTTTTTTTTTCAGCACTCGTAGTTTACGCAAATGAGTCATGTGGTTTTAAGTTTTCTGTAAAACGTAAACAAATGTGCACAAAGCTGCATTAAACACATTATTACTTAATGTATATTTGAGTCGTCCTTATAGGAAAAAAAACAAACAAACAAACAAAAAAAAAAACTTAGACTACGTTCACACTGCAGCCTGAAGTGACACAGATCAGATTTTTTCAAATGTGACCCAGGACACTTGGATATGTGCTCCTAAAACCGATACATACCCGATCTTTTGACATGTGACTTCAGTCTGAACGGCCAAAGTGCATTCATCCACCTACAGGTTATCACACGGTGGACTTGGCTATGCCAAACAGGTTGACTATTGTGCAGTAACAAGCACCTGTTGCAAGCCAATACAGCCCGACACCGATGCGTTTGCTCATGGAAATAGGCCACCGAATATGTTTCCTGCCGCGAGAGTGGCACAAGTAGGTGCTCACAAATGTACACAAACGTTCTTCTCGCCATACGAAAATTGTTAATGAACTCCATGTCACTGAAGCGAAGCACATCACTATCCCACCACTCTTGGATGTGGAGACGTAGCCAAAAGTTCCTTTCAACGGATTGCCCCAAGAAACACCATGACCAAAAACCTCGTCCTTCTCCTTTTCAATCTCCTCCTTAAAACAAGTAAGTTGTTCATGTTTTGGCTCTGGTACAAGAGGAACTTTAAAATCTCCAGGTGCTCGATGCTGCGTCCATGTTTGGACAACTTCTGTAAACACAGAGACGCTCACTGCGGTTGACGTTGTCGTGTCTCCAATGCTCATGTGGGACACACTGGAGATCACATACAAGTCACGTTTAATTGGAAATGTGAATGACCTAGCAAAAACATCTGATTTCACAAAAAAAAATCCAAATTGAGCATTAAGGCCTGCAGTCTGAATGTAACCTTAAAAGATCCACCCACATTCACATTCATAATCCACATTCACCAAGACAGGGAGGTAACAGCGGGCGAGTTACACCACAATCGTGGACATCTGGGCTAAGGATCAGTCTCAAGTGTCGTCTGTTTGTTTCACTTAATTCGCCTTATAATTTAGTACACCTTATGTATGAAAATATGCGAGAGAATTCAACATTATTGATATTGCGCCTTATAATCCGGTGCACCTTTATAGTCCGAAAAATATGGTACACTGCTACATAATTCATATATCTTACACCATATTTTCAATATCTTCTGTATGTATCTAAAATCTAGAAAGTAATATTTATGTTTATTTTAGGCAAGTAGAGATTTACATTCTTATACAATGGAACATATAACATAAGTGAAATAATAGAAATGAAAATAACCACAAAAAAAAAAAAAAAAAAAAAAAAAAAAGGAGTGGGAAGAAGAAAACTTAGAGTTAAAGTAGTTAAAAACAAAAACAAAACAAAACAAATTAAAATACATTAAATGAGAGGGTGTGTCTAAACTTGTCACTTGTAGCCAACATCCTTCTCTGTGCCCATAATGTCCTGCCAAACTATTTCGTAATGCTGTCTGCTCTCTGCTGAATTATTGTTGAATCGAGGCCAGAGTTTAGCTGATAGACCTGTCTGTGATGCTGTTTTAAATTCTTCATTCACTGAAACTTCCCCAGCAATTATTAGGTAATTCTGTCTGATAATTTTGCTCCCCGAAGGTTAAGAGTGAGACGCCTTTGTATCGATCAGAGAACAACAGGTGAGAGAAGAGTTACAGTACGCTTTGACCAAAAAGGAAATATGTTGTGAATTTTATTTTATTTATTTTTTCCAGAAAGGATGCTGGCCCAGAAGTCAACAAAGATAATGATACTAGCAACAAGAGGTCAGAGGAGGTAAGCTTCTGAACCAACCAGGAAAAACGTGTCAACTATTTCTTTTTAAAACAAGATAGTGTCAGAATACCACCTGGTGATTTGTTCAGAGCCCCAGTGACTGAGATGTGACAGAGATTTAAAAAAAAAAAAAAAAAAATCACACCTGGGGAAGTTGTGTAAATTGCAGAAAGTACAGACGTGGACATCTTAATGACAGACTGACAGCTGGAGTTTCTCAGTTACGTGATTTTACTGTAAGGAAGAAACGGAGCACTTCAGTGAACCGTGAGAACGTGACGTAACGTAGACTTAGACAAACTTTATTGATCCACAAGGGACATTTTTTTGGGCACATTCACTCACACATCACAATATAATCTAATAACAAAGAGAAAAATATAAATGGTAATAATACATTCTAAATAAGTAGCAAAAAAGAGCAAGAGGCAAGAGTCAAATAAGACATAATGATATAAATACAAGTCAAAATAGAAAAATAAGTAATAAAATATAAAAATCACAGCTTCATACAAGAAGTGCAACAATGAAATGATGATTGACAGGACATAGGCTATCCATTACATCAGGGTGAGTAGTTGTACAGTTGTAGGGAGTATTATCTGTTACATAAGGGTGAGTTGTAGTACAGTTGTAGGGAGTATTATCTGTTACATAAGGGTGACTTGTTGTAGGGAGTATCATCTATTATATAAGGGTGAGTTATGTACAGTTGTAGGGAGTATTATCTGGAAGGTTTTTCTTTTTTTCCTCCAGTTTATGGTTGTACAAACTAAGAGTCTGACTTTCTGTTCTATACAAACACATGCACTCTGGGTCCTAATCTATTTTAGATCTTCTGATAAGAATGATTGACAGGTGGATTGGCCAATCAGAGAAATGCATGGTCCATTACTGAAAACAAAATGACATGGAGGAATTGAAAACATTGCAGACTTGTGAAGTGAAGCACTAAACACTGGCACGATCTGTGGGAGGAGTTTGATTTAGTTTTAAAAGATGGATGAGTGAGGGAAATAAATTAACCTGATTGGACGGCTCTGTTTGAGTTTGGAAGAGGAGGTGAGGGACTCTGTCCATCCGCTGTCCATCATCTGTCCATCTGTTTTCCATCTGCTGTCCATCCTCTGTCCATCCTCTGTCCATCCTCAGGCTACCTTTGATATTTTGCGGTGACATCACACTGGGGGTGGTCTATGTGCATCTTAAGGGTGAAATGTTCAGCAGTTTCCATGGTAACATAATGCACACTTTTGCAAGCATTGTCAAAAAAAAAGTTTTAAGTTTGTCTAAATACTCAAAGAATAAAACAAACAAAATTGATCAAACAACACATTTTCTCTCGCACATAAAACTACGGTCACAAGTTAGAGAGCAAAAGGTGAGAGTGACTAGTTTTTCAGTGAGTGAGGCTACTGAAAATGTGTTCTTTAAATCAATTTAGTATTTTTATGAGTTTAGACTATTTTTAATACATTTTTGTGTTTGCTAATATGTGCTTTGTGTAACCATGACAACTGCTGGACATTACGCCATAGAGATACACATAGAAATGGTACTGGCATCATGGTGTTCTATCTGTCAGCTCAGGGAGGAGTTGCAGAGCGTCCTTACTTCTTTCACACGTGATGCCGCCGGGGTGGAGCTCCCCCTGCAGGTGAGGAGAGGCGAGGTGCTGCCCTGGGCCCTGAAGGCTGTGAGGAGGTCTGGCTTCTGCTTCAGAGACGTCCCCATCGTGTCCTTCAGTGGAGAGGAGACAGAGGGCCACCACGGGGTGCAGCGGGAGTTCTTCAGGTGAACTATAACCGCACGGCATTTTGGCTGCACTGGCTCCAACCTAAAGCATGTTACTGAAAATAGAAGCCTTTATTTTTAAGTTTATGAACAACAATACTCTTCTGAGGCAAAAGTGAAGTGGACCATACTGCGATCTGCTGCGAAGTATCAGTAGTGTTCCAGCTTTCTGTTTTGTTTGGATCCAGGCTGATGCTGCAGGAGCTCCAGAAAACGTCGTTGTTTGAAGGCCAACCTGGTCGCCGCCTCTTCACCTCCGACCTCTCGGCGCTGGAGGAGTGGGGCTACTATGAGGCGGGCGTTCTGATTGGCTGGTCCCTGGCTCACGGTGGGGCGGGGCCACGTTGTCTGCACCCTGATCTGTTCAAGGTAGTGTCACAATCATAGACTGTATAAAAATGTGGAAGAGTGTGATGCAGAGTCATGCACCAGGTCGGGTACCGGCAAATAATTGCTGAAACAGGCAGGTTTTAACTTTCTGGTATTTTACAGGCGGGTAGTTATTACACAGTGGTTGGTCAGCACTACACCAGGACTACACCAGGACTACACCAGGACTACACCAGGACTACACCAGGACTACACCAGGACTACACCAGGACTAAACTAGGACTAAACTAGGACTAAACTAGGACTAAACTAGGACTAAACTAGGACTAATCTTGAGAGAGAGAGAACCCTGAGTCCGCGGTGTCTCAAAGTGCAGTAGTTAGGGTTAGTCCTGGTTCGGTCTGTGGCATGTGTGGCTCAAAAGTCCCGCATCTCGATCAGTGTTTGTTCTGCTCAGTAAATAATCCCTGTGAAGTGATGACAGCCGAGTCGCGTCTGTGAATTTGTTTTCGTACTGAAGAAAGTGTAACTGTATCATTTCATTTTGTGATTGTAATTCCTGAAGATGTAACTTTTCAGTTCATATTCTAATGGTGCTTCATTTAGAATGCTTTCAAATTGTGTGTGATTTATTACAGGCACGGATGGGTAACGGGTGAAATGTTAACGAGTCCGGGTGGGTGCGGGTTTAACTTTAGTAAAATCACGGGTTATCGGCGGGTGCGGTGCTGAACTGGGCAGGTGCGGGTCTCCAAAAATGTAAAAAAAAAAACTCAAAAAAACCCCCCAAAAAAACAGGACTCTGGCGTGACGTCATCCATAGAGCTCAGCACCGCTCAAATGATGCTCACGATGCTCACAGTTACAGGGGTAAATTTGAAGCCAGGCTCTATGTTATGAATAGGATTACTTTGACAGACGAAATAAAAAAATAAATAAATCCTGGAACGAGTGGGTTAATACGAACATTTTAAGACCAAATGACGAGACTCACAGCAGCAGTTGCACAGAGGGGACACGATATTCTAATGTAAGTCAACGGGAGCCAGAGTCAGAAAGAGCTGGAAGTGCTGCATGTGACCCTCCGATTTGGAATGCAGCATCTACAGTAGTGCGTTGGCTATATCCATTTCATATCCATATCGCCCGATCTAAAACAACTCCACATACAAAGTCGTCCTCAACCCTTAACCAGGTCCCTTCATACCCCACTGACCTCCTCCAGCCCCACTCTCCACTTGTTTCACAGCACAGACAATCTCCAATAATCTTATTTTTACTTTATTTTGCAGTAATCTAGTCTCTTGTGCCTGTAAAAAACTTGCTTATTATTATTCTGGATACACACTGAAGTTCTTCTTGTTTAATTTCTGGACACAGGGGCTACTGTACAAAAACAACAAAAGGTGTCAAATCAAAGGTGTCACGCCATAATATCCTCCAACTGAAGAAAAAAAAAGTGTATTGCAATATATACTTTTTTGTGATTTTCTTTCTATTTGGAAGTACCGGTAAATAAACACCTTTAGGATTTAGGATTTAGGATTTACATTTTATTCATTTTATTTTTATTTCAAATTTTGTAACATGTCCTCTGTAATGGACGCCAGGGACATGTTGGTGAATGTGAAGTTAACGACCTAACAAAAACTAACGAGCTTCCTCAGTCATCTCAAAAAGTTGCACTTTTAATTTCTTCTTTTTTTTTTTTTTTTTTTTTAATCATAGTGCAGCCACAAACTAACTACTCTCCCCATTAAGAGTATACTTCAAAACACTTAAATAGACAAAAATAGATAGACTCAATGTCCACTATAAAGGACACAAATGAATAGGCCGTGCCTCAGGAGGTTCAGTCAGATCATTACATCATTATTAGTTATTTTTCTGGTAAAAATCAAAAATCTTCAGGTCCAGTTTTGTTCTATTTATTTAATTATTAATTTTGGAGTTGATAAATGTCTGCCTAGTTTTGATAGTAGTGTTAGTGTTGTTTTGTATCTGGCAAACCCTACTTCCAGGTGGTAGACTTCTACTTTAGCCACAGCTGCCCTGGGACATGTTGACAGTGTGAAGTGTGGCTGCCAGTCTACAGTTAAAGGTGCCGTGTGTAACTGTAGGAGTGCATGTTTCTCATAGTATTTTTGAGCAGCAAATCATCATCAAAGTTACACAGTTCACCTTTAACCAGTCACAGAACTACCACGGCACTATCACAAAGTCTTTTCCAGAACTATATTTTCAAGTTTGTGCCATTCCTTTCCCTTTTTTAAACTGAATACATAAGGTCAAACTAAGGTAGTATGAACTGAATGACACTTAGAAGAAAAAACGCCTACACTTCTCGTATTTGTGTTTCTGCTGATTGATGTGATAGACTGTTACACAAACTGTGAGCTCACTGTTCTCACGTCATGTGGGTCAGGTCCATTGTTACTTAACCTCATAACCAGTGTTAAAGGATTCATTTAAAGATGAATAACATGTACAATTTACTTGATTAGCTTTTAACCATAATGGCATTCCCTCAAAATCAAAGGTGCAACGTGGAACTTTTTGGCTGCGGGTCCATCACCTGCTTCTTTCTATGGAGATGTCACGGTTCTGTCTGGAATGTTCCACAGTGTGACATTAAACACCTCTTCTTTACATTTATTCACTTACAGGTGGTTTTATAGCTCAAAAACACCTAAAGAAACACTGTGACTGTGACTGCAGTGAGGTCGCCTCCCCACAGATCTGACCTGTAACTTCTGTCGTTTCATCTCCATGAAGCTAGAAAGGTTCAATACCAGACTGCCAAACATTCCAGTCAAGTTATACAGTGGTCTAAAACCCCTTTATTTAGAAATTAGAAATTTAGAAATTTATATTTTTAACAAATACAGTAGAAAACACCTTTATTTTGTGTAAACTGTGCTTAACATTTAGTTTGACATCATACTAGGGAGAATTCATCAATCTGTTTCAAAAATATGTAAAAAATTACAGGAAGTTCTAGGAGTTCAAATTCTCTCCCCAAATTGTTTGTTGATTGGTGTAAAACTATAATTTAGATTTACAATAGTTATAATCTCATCAGGTCAAAATTAGAGAATCATAAAAATCATTCGTACTTTAAGAACTGTGACACTGATACGATAATTATTACATCATCTTATCATTTAATGTATGAAAGCTGGAATAATACTTTTTGGGGATCCGTATTTATTGTGTGTATACAGTTTTTTTGCAACAGTGAGAAATTTGTGGTTATTTTTTAGCTATCCGATAAGAGTTAAGCCATAAGGTTGAATAAATAAATAAATAAATACCATCCATGACTCTTTACAGATACAAACTAAGTAAAGTGTTTCATTCTGTTTATTTATTGCAGATCATATTTTAGTGACGATATTGAACATTTGGGTCTGGTCAAGTGGTAACGGAGGGAAACAGGGGCAGATTTTTGACATTCAAATGTCTCTTATTCAGAAACTAGAGGGACTATTGAAATAAGTAAAGTATCAGAATGTAGGAAAGAGTTACACTCCAACAGGGTCAAGTTAAACCTGTGATATTCTTTCAAGTTGTTGACAAAAAATGTAAAAACTCATGTTGGTAACGGAGGGAATGAAATATGCAGCACTTTTTGGTCAATAAATCCAAACAGTGATAACTCTTGGTTCTCACTTCCATATCCTTAACAAACTGGTTTGAATATTTGCTTCATATAGTTTTCTACCATATGGTACAAGATTAGGTTGAAAAACCTCTTACTTTTTGACTCATGAGATTTTTTATTAAGAAAGGTCATGGTAACGGAGGGAAAAGTAACGGAGGGAAAACTGTACAAACAAGTAGAAGGTGCAGGATTTTACATCATTTGTCAACTTTATTTTTCCGAATACTTTAATATTACTTCAAAATGAAAGGAAAATATTTCTATTTACAACTCCATCCTCAAACCTAATTCAAAACAAACAAGAGAACAACAGGTGTAGTCAGGTCAGGTCCAGAGGTGTGGAAGCTCCATTATGGTCATGAATTGTTCTGCTAATTAGACCCAACACCCTGTACAGGTCAATAGGTCGAACTAACAAACACAAACTGTAAACAAGTGTGTGTGTTAGTTTCAGAGTAGTTAGCTCCTCCCTGCAGATATAAGGAAGTGTCCACCAGCGTCTGACCAGAACTGAAGAAGCAGCTTGGATGAGCTGAGAAACATCTTCAACCAAACTAACTTTTGTCCAGTCGACAAACTGAATTTTCTCCTCATATTTCTATAAAATATGTCAGTCCTTCCAAGCAAATTTTTATCATTTTAAATTTTTTTTTTTTTGAAAAATCCTGTACCTTCATCAACAGTTCAAAGATGGAATAACACAAGATATGATGAAATACATCCATTTATTGACATGATTTGCAGGTCTTTGAAATTTGGGAAATAATTTTTGTTCCATGTTTCATACATGGTCTGTTTAAAACATATGGAACTTTAGAACCAAAAATGGTACAGAAAAAAGGTCAACAGTTTCATAAACTAGAGTACATATGTATCTGTTCAATACATTTTTATATCAGATGAATTAACTTGATTTTTTGGCCTTGCTGTTTACTTCTGCTTGACCGGGCCCATTTAGAATAGTTTTTGTGGTTTAAATCTGTTCTTGGGTTATTACGTCAGTGGCATAAATTACTTTCAGTATTATTGTTTATTTATATTTACTTCAGAAATACATTGTACTTCAAAACATTATCGTGACAGGCCTAGTCAAAACCACATGTAGATAAGAAGGTGCATGACGTGACGTAACTGTATCAAAATAGTGATCAACATATGAATAAAACAGAATCTAATAAAAACTGAATCTAATAAAATCTCAACATTTCATACTGTGTCAAAGGCCAAAGTGAACAAGTGCGTTTTATGACGAGAGTTACAAACAGGTACAGAAGAGGCTTGTCTAATGTGATGTAAAAGCTCTGTCCCCTCTGAGCTTCTGTCCGCTCTTTGACACGCTCAGGAATAAGAATGTGTATTTGCTCTGGTGAAATGCCACTATAAAATGCTGGGAAATGTTTGTTACTGATAATAAATGTATATAATTGAAATAGTGATCTACAAAAGTTATAGTTTAATTGTAAATACCAGAAAAAGCATAATATGTCTGGTCTAATATTGAATGAAAATCCCAAAGAGATTCACTTTCATTTGCGTTGTGTAACTTCCCGTCAAATGTTTTTCTCCATGGAGATGTTATTGCTTTGTCTGGAATGTTTCACAGTGTGGCATTAAACCTTTCTATCTTCATGGAGACCAAACCAGACCAAGTTACAGGTCAGATCTGTGGAGGGGCGACCCCGCTCACAGTCAGAATGTCTGTTTTTCAAGGTGTTTCTGAGCAATAAAACCACCTGTAATTGAATAACTGTAAAGTAGAGGTCTTTAATGTCATACTGTGGAACATTTCGGGCAGAGCAATGACATCTCCACAGAAACAAGCAGGTGACGGATCCCCCAACCAAAAAGTTACATAATACACCTTTTAATGTCAGTCCATTCTTTTCAGTTGATGTGTGGCCACCGCTCCTCTTTGGACGACTTCAGCTGGAGAGATGTGGCAGACTTTGAAATACAGAGTCATCTCCAGCAGGTTAGTCCCAGGAATCATTCTGACTGTATGGGTGTGTGTGGGTGTGTGTGTGTGTACTATTTTGAATAATTCAGAATAAATGTGACTAATCTTCTTTGAACTGGGGCTGGTCCTGTTCTAGTCCAGGCACTTCTGATCTGGTCCAGTTTATCTTGACACTAAAGGAGAGGCCAAAATCAAACATTTTTTTAGACAGTTTTAAGACATGAGCATTTGCACCAAAATGACAAAAATGAATTAACACTTAATGCTTTTTTTTTTTTTTAATATAACACTTTATAAACAGTCCATAATCAGAAGATAATGTAGATCAGGGGTCTCCAACCTTTTTCCTGCGGTGAGCTCCTTTACAAAACTAAAATACCAAAGAGTTACTCATTTTTGCAGCCACAAGAAATTGAGACGATTTAAGAGAAATAGGATGAGCCTTTGGGTACAGTTAGATGCCTATAAAACATAAACCACTGTCCATTTATTAGTGCACCAACTTGGACTTCAAAATGACATTTACAACACAAGGCAACTAATTAACCATTTTTTATTTTATTTTTTATTTTTTTGTTATTCAGCACAATGGTGAAATTCTGAAATCTTTTGGTGAGCTACTTTTAAGGCGGTGGAGATCTACTGGTAGTTCCGGAGCTACAGGTTGATGTAGGTGATGTAGATGCTACGATAAGTTCTTAAAGTGCCTATGACAGATTAGATGACTCATTTTAATAAAAACACACCCAGAATTTACACCAGGAGCGTCAGTGGCATGTAACATAGGCAGAGCTGCAGATGAGCCTACTTTTAAAAGGTTAAATTTACACCAGAGACAACAGAGCTGCTCCTGTGACGCCGACTTCTGTGGATTCTCACATTTAAACACTAAACTTTTTACATTGCTTATGTATTCACTGTTTTTTGGATGAATTATGTTTTAAATCTCAAAACAAAAGTTAACAGCGATAATGAGCCGTATCTGCGGTGCTGCATTAATGAAGCTACTCACCATTTCACTTTGGTCGTTGCTCCTCGCGCCTTTTCCTTCAGAAGTTGTTCTTATAACGTTTCTGTCTGATGTCATAAAGTGTTTAATTTATCCTCCACGGCTGTAAACGTTCCATAGTCCATCACGAGTCATTCCTTGAGCTCCTGGATGCGTCGCACGGTGTTTATACGACTGTAGTGGTTTTAGAGAGTGTGCTGTTACCACTTTGGTGTAAACTGGGGGTTAAGGTCATTATATTTAAGATTTGGCTAAAAAAGGAATCATTCTTTTCACACTCTGACCATTTTTTAGGTTTAAAATTGTACTTCCTGGTTGGAAATCATGACATCAGGCTAAAGGGAGTTCCATAATTGTTACCTAAAAAACATATTATACAGTGGTGTAAAATCTCTTTATTTCTGGAGAAATGATTTTTAACAAATATAGAAGAAAACACCTTTATTTTGTGTAAACTGTGCTTAACTTTTTGATAGAATTCTCTCTAGTATGATGTCATCAATCTGTTTTAAAAAATATGTTCAAAAGAGGAAGTTCTAAGAGCTCAAATTCTCTCCCAAAATAGTTTGTTGATTGGTGTAAAACTATAATTTATATTTACAATGTTATAATCCCATTAAATTAAGTCAAAATTAGAGAATCATAAAAATCTGTCATTCGTACTTTAAGAACTGTGACACTGATACGATAATTATTACATCATCTTATCATTTAATATATGAAAGCTGGAATAATACTTTTTGGGGATCCGTATTTATCGTGTGTACTTTTTCTTTGCAACAGTGAGAAATTTGTGGTTATTTTTTAGCTATCCGATAAGAGTTAAACCCTAAGAGGTTGAATAAATAAATAAATGCCTTCTATGGCTCTTTACAGATGCAAACTAAAGTATTTTGTTCTGTTTATTTATTACAGCTCATCGTTTTTTGACAATATTGAACATTTAGAATAGTTTTTGTGGTTTAAATCTGTTCTTGGGTTATTACGTCAGTGGCATAAATTAGTTTCAGTATTATTAGTTATTTATATTTACTTCAGAAATGCATTGCACTTCAAAACATTATCGTGACAGGCCTAGTCAAAGCCACATGTAAATAAGAAGGTGCGTGACGTGGCATGACGGTATCAATAGTGATCTCTGCTGTGACAAAATGGTGCTTTTAATTCTGTCAAATCACTCACAGCCATGCTCCTGTCCAACCCAACTCCAACTTTTATTCTTGTTTTTTGTTTGTTTTTAGTTTTTATTAAAGGCACACTAGGCAACTTTTCAGGTAGAGGGTCCGATGCTACCTTATTGCCTCCATGGAGATGTTACTGGTTTGCCTTGAATGTTCCATAGTATGCCATAAAACTGTTATTATCTATTTTATGTTAAGTGAATTTCAGATATTTTTATTGCTTAAATTACGTTAAAAACATGCCGTCTCATTGTCAGTGTAGTCGCCTCTCCAAAGATCTGACTAGTAACTTGGCCTTGCAGCATTGCTTCTTTTGAAATTGATGGTGTAGAAAATTCCAGGTAAACCAAGGACATCTCCATGGAAACAAGAAGTTGGTGCACCCTCCACCAGGAAAGTTATAGGCGAGTTTCAGCTGACGTCATTGTTATTAAAAGCCTGCGTTGCATGCTGGGAAATATTTTGGTCGGAGGCAAGAAACACAGTGCATAACCTCGTGTATTTCTCCCCGATAATGGTAAATTCCTGCTGCATTATCGGATGCACAAATAGAAGCACGGAAAAAGGAAAATGTCTTTTTCGTATTCTGAGTGAAAAGAACCACTAACGGTGAATTAAACGGCTTTCAAAGTTTCACAGAGCAAACGTAGAAGATCCTAACAAACCGTGGACTCCAACAAGTTCAACAACACATCCAGACTCTTGGAGGTTTTCATCTTTTCTGCTGTGAATGACCCAGGAGTTTCCACCAAGTCATTGTGGATATCACCCAAGTGAATATTTGTCCAGGTAGTTGGCGATTCCGACCAGAAATTTGGTTTGGTCCACCTTTTGTCGGGGTTGAAAAGGGTGATTTGTCGTCCATCGATGCTTATGACCAATTTCTGGTCAAATGGTCTTGGGTCCTCTGCCGTTAGAGTGGATAAATAACCGGGATCAATACCCTGTACGTGCTTTCTCACTCCGTCCGTCATGTTGAATTAGTGTTTATTGCCGCCGACCAAAATAATTCCCAGCATGCAACGCGCGCTTTTGTCAACAATGAAACTCACCTATACAATGCACCTTTATAAGTAGCTATATTTTTATTTATTTATTTTTTTCTTATAGAGAGTCCACCACTTGCATTGCCTTTGCTTAGAACGTTCCACTTAAGGAGTTAAACTTGAAAATATCTCCATCAGGGGTGTAGTGGGTGTGGTTATGCAGGGGTACGCCGTCTACCCATTTTGAATATTTCATAGCAAAGTACAATCAATTGTCAATTATCAGTTATCAATAGAGAAATCTGGCTTTCATCACATTCTAGAATCTGAAAACTATCAAATGTTTTCCAACTGTCCGTCTTGTTTGGCTCCAGGTTGATGTCTGAGGAGCTGCAGAAAACGGCATGAGTCCTGAGAAATTTGTGCTTTGTTTATTTTATTTATTTATTTATTTCAGTCGCAGGTATATTTTGACATTAATTCACAGACAGTCATATTTAAAATACACAGACTGAAAAGGTGCAGGCTGAAGCTTAAGCTTATTATGCCCTTTACCCTTTGTTCCTTTATCAGAGCTTCATCTTGACACCAGTTCATCTTCATAAATACAGCAAGAAGAAACAAACAAATCAGAAACAGAACAACAAAGTTCTACGGCACAAACTCAGTATCATAATTCATGTGTCTGTCCAGAGTTAAACATTTAAACTTCTTTATAAAGTGAAAGAGACTGGTGCACAGTTTTAGGTTTTCTGTACATTTGTTCCAGAGCTCCAGCCCTTTAACAGATTTACAAAATTTCATCATGTTTTCTTTTTGATAAACATGCCCGTGCCTCTGAGCTCAGATTGGCTCTTTCGGATTTTGAACATGTTCTGTAAAGATTTTGACAGGAGATTGTTGTTTACTTTGAACATGATTTTCAGAGTGTAAAGGTCGACTAAATCATAAAATTTCAGAGTTTGAAGGTTTATTAATAACGCATTGGTTGATTAAAAGTTGATAATGTGATTGCTCTTATTGTCTTTTTTTTGCAAGATAAAGACTGGATTTGTATGAGTCTTATATGTATTTCCACAGTTTCTTTTGTTATTATTACCTCGTTGTACTTTTATTTCCACAGCTACAAACCTGTTCAGATGTGAGGCTGTTCAGTCCCAGTCTGCGTGAGTGGCTGTCTCATTGTGGTGTGCCTGAGATCTCCTCTGCAACCACTGAGGACATTTCAAACATCTACAAAAGAGCTGTTAAGCACTACATCCATGACAGGTAAGAGAGTATCAAAACACCACCAATTTTTAAAGGGTCCATACTGCCTTATTTTCTGATCTATGTTATTATAATGTAGATTCCTCATCACAAACAGACCTGGAGTTGGGTTTTGTTTCATGATTTCTTCTCTCAAACAGAAAACACTTTGTAACGCCTTGTGATGTCATACAGGAAGTGCTCCACTGTGTTTTTAAACTCCATACACCTTCACCAGAATCATTTGGATAATTTCAGCCCTGTAATTGCCAATCTGTACTGAACAAAAATCAAAAGGTAGATGTTAACTTGAAAACAACCACTTGTTTTGGCTAGTTCCGGTTCTTCCAAAGAGTGCAGAGTCATGGGAAAATAAATCTGTATATAAATATTATACAGAGGACAGCAGGTTACACTTGGATAATCAGACAGTGTGTTCAGACCTTTACGACGATGTAAATTCTTCACTGGAGGAAGCTTCTGTGTGTATAAAAGTAGGTGTCTAAAAGCTAATGCGTCAACTTAATCTAAATCTCAAGATAGAATGCAAAACAACTTCATAAAATTACATCTAATGACAAGTCAGTTGTTTTTCTGTGCAAAATCCTTCAGATAGATATTTTAACATCAGTTCATTTTAATTTCAGTTAGTAGTGTTAATTTTGAGACTCAAGGACCTACTTTTCTAAGCACAGAAGCTTCCTCCAGCGGAGTATATACATCGTAACAAAGGTGACTGAAAAACACACTGACTGTAAATCTGTATCTGTAACCTGCATCGCACGACTCGGGTAAATCCCAATTAGAGTGTGGATCGGGCTGAATTTTTCTGTCTGAGCCCAGCCTGCATCTGACAGAGTAGTGATCAAATCCAACCCGAGCCCTGACCTGAGGCATTAACATATTTGTGTCCTAACCCGACCGAACCTGGCACAATTAAAATCACACAATTTTCACCAGCTGACTCATGACACATGTAGGATATTGTTTGTGATCCTCTAACGGACACAGAGATGTAAAATACAAACTTGGGATATACTGAAAATAATGATTAGATTTTATTCCTCACCTCTCATAGAAATTGTCCTTTGCAAATAATTACACCAGTCCACAAAACTGCAATGTTAATTCAATTTGAGTCATTCTTTAAAAGTAAAAAGGTGGGAGTAGTTCCTCACGTGTGTTTGTTTACATCCACACAGCGCACAGATCGAGATGAAGCTGCAGATTCACGATAGTAACTCTACTTCCTGTGGACTTTATCTCCAATCTTTTATGCTTTATAAATCATGTATCTGAAGATTTGCACCACATTTCCCAAAAAATAATAACACAGTTTTGAAGTTTTTAGGTTCTTTTTTTCAGACCTAGAGTATTATTTTATACCTGACAGTTTCGACTGCTCACTCACGTCTTCCTCAGAGTGGTCACGTGATGTTGCTGTGACGTGTCTGGTCAGCTGATTCCAGTCTGAGGAAGACGCTAGTGAGCAGTCGAAACTGTCAGGTATGAAATAACACTCTAGGTCTGAAAAAAGAACCTAATAACATAGAATATCGGAAGACCAAATGAATCTCATTGGACTAACACAGTTTTGATTTGTATCTAAACCAGAAGTGCAGAGTCTGATCTTTGAACACTTTTCTCAGAGCGACTGGTTTTACAGTAGACAGGAAACAGCTGACACACTGATGTGTCTGAGTCTGATCCGAGCCCCAACATAAGTTTTAAATATTTGTCCGAACCCGTCCGAACTTCAGTCGGTTTTCCATGCTCTATTCCCAATACACAATGAATGGTGCAGCTCCACAGTCTTTGAGAGAAGCCGAAGTAGCCAGGCAGCTCCATGAATAGGGCCGATGCTTTTCTCTTCAGGGTGTCCAGGATGATTGACCAGTTTACCCAGGGCCTGAACAGCTGTGACGGGCTGTGGGATGTGATGAGGTCCCACTGGGAGGCCTTCGCTCCAGTGATGACTTCCGTAGGCTCTAGACCTCTGACGCTGTCAAACTTCAGAGCACTTTTTAGCATCTGCTTCAGCTCAGACTGTGAGGAGCTGAAAGAGGAAGAGGAGGAGACGGCGGCGCACTGGGAGACAGCTCTGGGTCTGATCAGTGGTGAGTGCACAGAAAATCTTCCTGCCAATTAGGGAGGGGACTAGATCTCATGATGCAAGATTAAGGCTACGTTTATATGAAGAGGGTCTGAACAGAAGACGCAAAAGTGGTGTCGCGTCTTTACTTTTTATTTCGCGTGTAGAAGAACGTTTTCGGGAGGAAATCTGCGTGCATACCACCGTATGCAAAAGTGGAATTTGATTGGGTATGCATGTCAGGCAGCTCGATGGTGACACTAGGTGGTGATGTATGTGACGTCAACACATATGTGACATGAGCAGCTCTGACCAGAGTTTGACGGAGTGTAGAAGGAAACGCTACAGCGGAGCATATTCAACTTTTATTCCACTCTGGAGGATGATATCAGGTTTTTGTGTTTTTAAGCCCCAAAAGGCTGTCACCGTCTAAAGGAAAGGCACTTCTAATAAGATATTTTGTCATTTTTACCACAAGCGGGGCCTAACTCTGGACCTAACCAATATGAGAAATGGGTGGAGAAAGTGTCTGTGTTTGATCATAAAATAGTGTTGCATTAAATAGAGAAATATTGATTCACGTTAGGAGCATATGAGCAAAAAGGTCATTCCTTGAGTTAAGATAAGTCCTATACTTTTAAATTCAAGTTCTTATATCAAATCACCGAATACAGCTTTCATTATTGTAACTTTAAATTTTCATTTTTGGGCTCCAAATCCTAATCGAGTCCCAAGTCTTCCTCCTTTTTATCAGATCAATTTATGAACTCCTCTACATAATGACAATGTCATGACGTGCAAGTTCACACCTTCCTTATAACATATATAATATTCGCTACTTGTTTGTCAGATGGTGGAGCTGCTCTGTCCTTTGAAGACCTCCTGACATTTGTCTCAGGAGTGGACCAGGTACCTCCTCTGGGCTTCTCCAGCTCCATCACCCTGCGCTTCTACTCACAGGTCTGTCAAACTGAAATTATGTTTTAGCCTTGTATTTATACTCTGTGGTACTCACACATTGCCTTTGTTCATCTGAGGTGATATGTTTGATTTAGTTAAAAAATGATGTGTGACCAATGAGCTTCTTCGTTTCAAATACATCACTGAAAAAAAAAACACATCTGATCATATGGTTCTGTGAATCTGGCTTGAGGCAGGATAGAGGGAGAAGTGACGAGACTTATACTGTATAAAAAATAGAGATATATCATTCTGGACCTCGTGTGCTGTTTTGAACTTTGCGTTACAACACTGGAACCTCCCCACTATGGGACAAATAAAGATTATCTTTTTAGAGGCTGTTTCACTGACCAAAATATTAGTACTGTTGTCTATATTACCAACTATTCTATGATCTGATACTATTACTGTGATATCAGCAAGTTGAACACTCTGAATTAGAGCAAGAGGCTGGGGTTATATTTATCCTTGTGATTTTCAAGTAACTTGTCTTCTGGATTTTTTGTCAGGATTCTGTTTCATCAGTTGTGCGTCTGCCATTTGCCTCCCTTTGTACTCTGGAGCTGTTTCTACCAAGACGGACAGGTGGCGCTGTGGAGCTGTTGGGGTTGCTGAACAGAGCTGTACATGAGTCTGAGGGCTTCACATATTTGAGTCCAGAGGAACACTGCTTTAAGGCCAGTGGGCGGATCAGGAGGACCTCACAGGATGTGGGATGTGGATGACAACTCAATTTTCGTTGTTGTTCCTTGGGCCTAGACACTTCACCTACCTTGATACCACTGCTTGTGTTTTACTGCTACTTTAATATTTTATTCATCTTTAGACACACTTGAATCACAGATTTATTTATTATAGAATTTTAAAACTGAAAAAGTGCACTAATACTATTTTTGTTTTAATTCCATGACAATAAAGTTTTACTGTGATTTTAAACTTTGTATTGCTATATGATTTACTGTGTATTTAAAAAAAAAACATACATAGAACTATATATTGCATTAGCTTTCAGTTCGTCTATACTTGAACCATTGAATCCATTGGTCATTGTAAATATTTAGCTTAAACCAGTTCATCAACAAACCCAGAACATGCCACTGCCTGACATTCCACTTGCAGTCACCTGTGCTGGACTAATGCAGTGTCAGGCTTACATCATCTACTGTGTGTGAGACCTAACATTGATCTCACTGTGTAACTGTCAAAGGTAATTTTATTTGGTTAAATTTAGTTTTTTGTCTCATTTATTTTCCAGGCCTTCTGAGCCCTGATAGATTTATTTACATGTAGTTAGATCAATATGGTGCTCTGGTTTGCTCCTCAATGTAAATATCACTTTTGATTGGCTAAATGGGTTTTTACAATACCTCACACTGTCGTGCCTTGACTTGTACTTCACTGTCTGATATGGGTATTACATATAATCAGTCTTATTATTAACATGGCAGCTTTTTTGTATTTTCATGAAAATCTTTAAAATGACTGGTAAATCAAGCTACAAGGCTAGTATAAACTTAAATGAATTCCAAATGAATTGAATTGAATGACTGACTATTAAAACTTATGACTAAAACTTTGACAGAAAAGAAAACTGGAATATGGCTTTTTTTTTTTTTTTTTTTTTTTTTTTAACCACCCATCTTACCTGCAGTATATCTTGAGGGCACTGTAGGTTCCTTCCTAAGAATATTAGGACTTTAACTTGGTCCAGATGTTGAGCATTTGCATTCTTATGATTTTTGGCCTGCAAGATTTTAAATTATTCACAACTTGTTATGAATAGTACTTTTGCTCTGTATATTAAATGAGTATGTCAATAATATAGTCCTTAGCAAATAACTTATTATTTTTATTAATTCAAGTATTATAATAATTATCAATGCGTTAATTTTAATAAATCACCATTACTGTATATAGACCTGTACAAAGTGATAAGTGTAACAAACTAGTACATTATTTTACATATACTATGAATTGAACATGCATTCACATATAGACACTGTAAAGTTAAAAGTAAACATCCTATGTAGAAAATGTATGGGTAAATGTCAATATTTTTTATCAATGTCAAAAATTAGACATTTTCTCAATATTTATAACCCTGACAGCAAGATCCAAGCCAATCAAATTATCTTTCAAGAACTGGAAGAGAGAGAGAAAAAAAAAGTTTAATTCCTACAATGTTCATTAAAATACATGACATTAAAATCACAAAAAAAAAAAAAAAAAATTTACCTTTGTGATGAGTTCCTTGATTGTTACTTCACTGATGTTTTCAGAAGATCTAATCCGCATTCGTACATGTGCCAGTAAATTATCGTCTGATAAAAGAACATCATAAGATTAACAATCAGATTAAAGATAGAATTAACGATTTTTTTGAAGTAACAAAATGTGTTTTCCTCAGGACAGTTATTATATGGGTGTCAATAAAAATGGGATAAACATAATACACAAACATAAATATGTGATTTACGTTTGTGTAATTTTGAGTGGTTTAAATACAAATATTTAGAATTGTGAGAAAGACTGTTTGTATTTTACAGAATTTAATAGGTTAATTATATAAATTACTTGTGGGAGTGGTTGGCGGAGTCGTGATTCTTGTTGGAAGTGATGTTGAGGTTGTTGGAAGTGTGGTTGGTAAGGTGGTAACTACAATAGCAGTTGTAGTTGTTGGAGCGGTTGTTGTGGTTGTTGGAGCTGTTGTTGTGGTTGTTGGAGGCAATGTTGTGGTTGTTGGAGGTAATGTTGTGGTTGTTGCAACAGCAGTTGTAGTTGTTGAAGTGGTTGTTGTGGTTGTTGGAGCGGTTGTTGTAGTTGTTGGAGTCATTGTTGTAGTTGTTGGAGCTGTTGTTGTGGTTGTAGGAGGCAATGTTGTGGTAGTTGCAACAGCAGTTGTAGTTGTTGGAGTGGTTGTTGTGGTTGTTGGAGCTGTTGTGGTTGTTGAAACAGCAGTTGTAGTTGTTGGAGCAGTTGTTGTGGTTGTTGGAGCTGTTGTTGTGGTTGTTGCAACTGCAGCTGTAGTTGTTGGAGTGGTTGTGGTTGTTGGAGCTGTTGTTGTGGTTGTTGGAGCTGTTGTGGTTGTTGGAACAGCAGTTGTAGTTGTTGGAGGTAATGTTGTGGTTGTTGCAACAGCAGTTGTAGTTTTTAGAGCGGTTGTTGTGGTTGTTGGAGCGGTTGTTGTGGTTGTTGGAGAGGTTGTTGTGGTTGTAGGAGGCAATGTTGTGGTAGTTGCAACAGCAGTTGTAGTTGTTGGAGAGGTTGTTGTAGTTGTTGAAGTCGTTGTTGTAGTTGTTGGAGCAGTTGTTGTAGTTGTTGGAACGGCAGTTGTTGTAGTTGTTGGGACAGCAGTTGTAGTTGTTGGAGGCAATGTTGTGGTTGTTGCAACAGCAGTTGTAGTTGTTGGAGTGGTTGTTGTAGTTGTTGGAGCAGTTGTTGTAGTTGTTGGAGTGGTTGGTGTGGTTGTTGGAGCTGTTGTTGTGGTTGTTGGAGCTGTTGTTGTGGTTGTTGGAGCTGCTGTTGTGGTTGTAGGAGGCACTGTTGTGGTTGTTTGAACAGCCGTTGTAGTTGTTGGAGCTGTTGTTGTGGTTGTTGGAACAGCAGTTGTAGTTGTTGGAGCTGTTGTTGTGATCGTAGGAGGCAATGATGTGGTTGTTGCAACAGCAGTTGTAGTTGTTGGAGTGGTTGTTGTAGTTGTTGGAGTGGTTGCTGTGGTTGTTGGAGCTGTTGTTGTGGTTGTTGGAGCTGTTGTTGTGGTTGTAGGAGGCACTGTTGTGGTTGTTTGAACAGCAGTTGTAGTTGTTGGAGCTGTTGTTGTGGTTGTTGCAACAGCAGTTGTAGTTGTTGGAGTGGTTGTTGTGGTTGTTGGAGCTGTTGTTGTGGTTGTTGGAGCTGTTGTTGTGGTTGTAGGAGGCAATGTTGTGGTAGTAGCAACAGCAGTTGTAGTTGTTGGAGTGGTTGTTGTGGTTGTTGGAACAGCAGTTGTAGTTGTTGGAGCTGTTGTTGTGATTGTAGGAGGCAATGTTGTGGTTGTTGCAACAGCAGTTGTAGTTGTTGGAGCTTTTGTTGTGGTTGTTGCAACAGCAGTTGTAGTTGTTGGAGTCATTGTTGTGGTTGTTGGAGCTGTTGTTGTGGTTGTTGGAACAGCAGTTGTAGTTGTTGGAGGCAATGTTGTGGTTGTTGCAACAGCAGTTGTAGTTGTTGGAGTGATTGTTGTAGTTGTTGGAGCAGTTGTTGTAGTTGTTGGAGTGGTTGTTGTGGTTGTTGGAGCTGTTGTTGTGGTTGTTGGAGCTGTTGTTGTGGTTGTTGGAGGCACTGTTGTGGTTGTTTGAACAGCAGTTGTAGTTGTTGGAGTGGTTGTTGGAGCTGTTGTTGTGGTTGTTGGAGTCATTGTTGTGGTTGTAGGAGGCAATGTTGTGGTAGTAGCAACAGCAGTTGTAGTTGTTGGAGTGGTTGTTGTGGTTGTTGGAACAGCAGTTGTAGTTGTTGGAGCTGTTGTGATTGTAGGAGGCAATTTTGTGGTTGTTGCAACAGCAGTTGTAGTTGTTGGAGTGGTTGTGGTTGTTGGAGCTGTTGTTGTGGTTGTTGGGGGCAATGTTGTGGTTGTTGCAACAGCAGTTGTAGTTGTTGGAGCTTTTGTTGTGGTTGTTGCAACAGCAGTTGTAGTTGTTGGAGTCATTGTTGTGGTTGTTGGAGCTGTTGTTGTGGTTGTTGAAACAGCAGTTGTAGTTGTTGGAGGCAATGTTGTGGTTGTTGCAACAGCAGTTGTAGTTGTTGGAGTGGTTGTTGTAGTTGTTGGAGTGGTTGTTGTAGTTGTTGGAGTGGTTGTTGTGGTTGTTGGAGCAGTTGTTGTGGTTGTTGGAGCTGTTGTTGTGGTTGTTGGAGCAGTTGTTGTGGTTGTTGGAGCTGTTGTTGTGGTTGTTGGAGCTGTTGTTGTGGTTGTAGGAGGCACTGTTGTGGTTGTTTGAACAGCAGTTGTAGTTGTTGGAGCTGTTGTTGTGGTTGTTGCAACAGCAGTTGTAGTTGTTGGAGTGGTTGTTGTGGTTGTTGGAGCTGTTGTTGTGGTTGTTGGAGCTGTTGTTGTGGTTGTAGGAGGCAATGTTGTGGTAGTAGCAACAGCAGTTGTAGTTGTTGGAGTGGTTGTTGGAGCTGTTGTTGTGATTGTAGGAGGCAATGTTGTGGTTGTTGCAACAGCAGTTGTAGTTGTTGGAGTGGTTGTGGTTGTTGGAGCTGTTGTTGTAGTTGTTGGAGCTGTTGTTGTGGTTGTTGCAACAGCAGTTGTAGTTGTTGGAGCTTTTGTTGTGGTTGTTGCAACAGCAGTTGTAGTTGTTGGAGTCATTGTTGTGGTTGTTGGAGCTGTTGTTGTGGTTGTTGGAACAGCAGTTGTAGTTGTTGGAGGCAATGTTGTGGTTGTTGCAACAGCAGTTGTAGTTGTTGGAGTGATTGTTGTAGTTGTTGGAGCAGTTGTTGGAGTGGTTGTTGTGGTTGTTGGAGCTGTTGTTGTGGTTGTTGGAGCTGTTGTTGTGGTTGTAGGAGGCACTGTTGTGGTTGTTTGAACAGCAGTTGTAGTTGTTGGAGTGGTTGTTGGAGCTGTTGTTGTGGTTGTTGGAGTCATTGTTGTGGTTGTAGGAGGCAATGTTGTGGTAGTAGCAACAGCAGTTGGAGTGGTTGTTGTAGTTGTTGGAGTCGTCGTTGTAGTTGTTGGAGCAGTTGTTGTAGTTGTTGGAGTGGTTGTTGTGGTTGTTGGAACAGCAGTTGTAGTTGTTGGAGCTGTTGTTGTGATTGTAGGAGGCAGTGTTGTGGTTGTTGCAACAGCAGTTGTAGTTGTTGGAGTCATTGTTGTGGTTGTTGGAGCTGTTGTTGTGGTTGTTGAAACAGCAGTTGTAGTTGTTGGAGGCAATGTTGTGGTTGTTGCAACAGCAGTTGTCGTTGTTGGAGTGATTGTTGTAGTTGTTGGAGCTGTTGTTGTGGTTGTTGGAACAGCAGTTGTAGTTGTTGGAGGCAATGTTGTGGTTGTTGCAACAGCAGTTGTAGTTGTTGGAGTGGTTGTTGTAGTTGTTGGAGCAGTTGTTGTAGTTGTTGGAGGCACTGTTGTGGTTGTTTGAACAGCAGTTGTAGTTGTTGGAGCTGTTGTTGTGGTTGTAGGAGGCAATGTTGTGGTAGTAGCAACAGCAGTTGTAGGTTTTGGAGTGGTTGTTGTAGTTGTTGGAGTCGTTGTTGTAGTTGTTGGAGTCGTCGTTGTAGTTGTTGGAGCAGTTGTTGGAGTGGTTGTTGTGGTTGTTGGAACAGCAGTTGTAGTTGTTGGAGCTGTTGTTGTGATTGTAGGAGGCAATGTTGTGGTTGTTGCAACAGCAGTTGTAGTTGTTGGAGTGGTTGTGGTTGTTGGGGGCAATGTTGTGGTTGTTGCAACAGCAGTTGTAGTTGTTGGAGGTAATGTTGTGGTTGTTGCAACTGCAGTTGTTGGAGTCATTGTTGTGGTTGTTGGAGCAGTTGTTGTGGTTGTTGGAGCTGTTGTTGTGGTTGTGGCAACAGCAGTTGTAGTTGTTGGAGTGATTGTGGTTGTTGGAGCTGTTATGGTTGTTGGAGCTGCTGTTGGGGATGTTGATTGTGCTGCAGGTAAAAAAAAATAAAAAATCATCATTTAGTTAACTTCTATGTGCAGTCTTTTTATAGTGTGTTTCTTAAAGATTTACTATAAATTAACATGAATTAACAGGCCTGAATCATACATATTTTATTTATATAATAGAATCTATACAAATTCACTGATATCAACCATTAATATTGCTTCAGTATAACTTTGCTAGGGTGTAATAACAAACAAGCATTGAAATAATGGAAGTATTTACCTTTCCCAGGAGTCACCAGTGATAATCCAAATAATATTATCAAACACAAATCCGTTTTGTCCATTGCAGCAGATTTTCTGTATGGCTATGTTGCCAGTCCAAGTACAATCATCTATTTTTCAAAGACAGCCGGCTGCACTGACCTAAAAGGCACATGCTCCACATTCCACTGTGATGAAACTATCCCTGTCAAACTGGTTTTATTTATGCCTGCTTAAATGATCAGCTCTTTGATAGTAAAAACATAAATAGCATGCTTACAATTCCAGCCACTCAAAAGTGTAAATAGTTAAATGCAGAGAAAAAAAATACATTTAGGTGACATCTAGTGGAGAATATAGTGGAGAATCAATAAAACATGTAATTTCATATATGTTCCTCCATCACCAACTGCCCAGATCAACATTAAAATATGGAAGTTATGGTTTTGTGAAGCTCAAACCTTTCACATATAAATGTATTGGGTTAATTGGGGTTAAACAAAATGGCACATAATAGTAATTTTGAAATTTGCATTTTGTTTGGTTATAAATAATTTTATATTAACACTTATCCAAAAATGTACGTGATTCCCATTTCAAAAATTGCCAGTAATTCCAATTGATTTTGAGAGCACTGAATATGGAGTAAGAAAGCTTTCAGAAATATTCATGAGCATAGGATAGAAATCCACGAATGTTTGGGAAATCTGTGCATATTTGGCTGTAGTTGAGCATAAGACAAATATTTGTAAATTCTTAAATGAGTCCAGTTGTACATTAAATGTACTGTGTGTATTTTATCCATCAGAATACAAATTGAAAAGTTACAACAGCAAGATTTACAATCGCCAAATAAAAATGTACAATTACGCTTTCTTCAGTGCAAATACAAATTCACAGACATGACTCAGCTGTCAAAAATACGTCGTCACTTCACAGACATTATTTATTGAGCAGAAGAAACATTGATTGAGATGCCAGAATTTTGCACTGCATATGGACTAAGCCAGGACTGAACCAGGAGGACTAAACCAGGACTAAACCAGGACTAAACTAGGTCTAAACCAGGACCAAACCAGGACTAATATTGGACTTGAGAGAGGGAGCGGGAGAGCCCCCAGCCAGTGGAGCAGGGTGTCCGCAAAGCAAGATCAGGCGACTGCTGTGCTAAGGCCCATTGTGTGCGAAGCTCTGCACTGGTCCTTTCTCCTGCATTCACCCTATGGCATATGCAGGCGCACCTCCGGACCTGTCCCAACACTCGGTCCTGGTTCAGTTCCGGTTTAGTCCGTATGCAGTGCAAAATTCTGGCACCTCGATCGATGTTTCTTCTACTCAATAAATAAAGCCTGTGAAGTGATGATGTGTTTTTGATAGTAAAGTCGCATCTGTAAATTGGTATTCGTACTGAAGAAAGTGTAATTGTAAACTTTCATTCCGATATTGTAATTCTTGATGTCATAATTTTTCAGTTCGTATTCTGATGGATAAAATACACACAATATATTTTCTGTATGACTGGACTCATTTGAGAGTTTATGGATATTTATATTATGGTCAACTACAACCAAATATGCACAGATTTCCCAAATATGCACAGATTTCTATCCTATGCACATGAATATTTCTGAAAGGTTTCTTACTCCATAATTGAAACCTGGATTGGGTAAACTGTTTAGTATCTGCATAATTAGTTGTAAATAGTCTTTCAGGTCTATGAATTAAATGAGCATGTCAAGTTACATTTGAAAGGCTGTATTATTCCATTATTAAACTATTTCACTGAAATGATAATCCATTGATTAACTGTCAGTAATTAATAAAAGACAATGTAAACAGATTAGTGTATTATAATAATTAACCATATTTACTTAAATAAGTCACCTGTATATAGGCATACATAAAGTGGCAAAAGTATGTGTATTATTTTACATGTACATGTATTACTTTAAATGTACATTTACATGTACTATACACACTGAACATGCATTGACAGATACTATACAGATTTCTTAGAGAAAGTTCATGGGTTTTTACGAGACTATTTGATCCACAACAAAATGCAGACGAAGTACATAATGTCTAAAATTAGACATTGTTTTTTTTAAATTTTTATAACAAAGACCTCAGGATCCAGGGGCCTCATTTACAAAAAAAAACTGCGCAGGAGTTGTTGTAAGTTAGTGCGTACGCCTGTAGCCACTCCATATTTAGAAAACCCACCGCACACACTAAACCACGCTACCTTTGCTTTATAAATCCCACCTGCAACTAGAATTTGTGCACATAAATCCATATCATGTCATGCCCTCTCACACCTCCACCTCACCATAAAAGGAGCATGTAAAGTGACTGGTGAATGAGATTTCCCTAAACATGAGCCGATAATCAGTGGGTTTGACCGAGACACGCGGGACAGAGGGAGGAGGACGCTCCACGCAGCACCACGTGATCACGACAAAGACTTAAACAAGGTTTTACAAATAAATACAAAACTAAAAGTGACAACAACAAGTCATCTGTTCATTTAATAATATTTCATAATATTTAGGCAGCACATCTTTGCAGTAAAGCCCATGTGTTTTTTCGCTGTTTCAAGAGTTTTATCGCTATATTTTTAAGTCTATCTATGATGTATGTGTGGACTGGCCCTGTATATTTATGTATATACACGTAGATACGTGCACGCGCTGATCTGAATGGCGAAATTATGAACGCGTGTGAGAGGTTCAGATGCCCTCCCCTGGAGAGGGAAAGGAGCAAGGGAGGGACATGAGGATACGTGGACACAGATTTAGCATGAAACACATTAGATACAGATCAGGCGCTGTTATTCTGCCAATTAAAGTCCACACGAAACATCCAAACTGCTGAACCTGTGAGTGTGGGTCTAACCTCTGTGAGTGTGGGTCTGGGTCGGGACGGGCACGGGCATTATTCTGTTCATCATATTGTCAGAGAGTAGTTCTCATTTGCAAGAGTTCCCCATTACACAAAAATGTAGGGAAGATTTAGGGTTCGGACAGTAGGCTTCATGTCGAGTGCAGACTCAGGTCACTCTGGCGCTCGGTGCGTGAAGACTAAAGTAAAAGTGATAAAGTTGCATTAATTAAATCAAAGCCTGGCTTCTACTGCGTCTGAGGGAAGAGTTTTTCTCTCAGGTTGGGTCATTATTTTGTCCTCTGTGTTGGTCACAGTCTGTGTTCTATAGGAGTCTGTGGTCATGGTGTGGACTGTGGGAGACCCTACGCTACACCGGGAATGTGGCCACGCTCGTGCACAAGTTTTAAATGTATAATATTGTGGAGAACAATGAGTGGAATAAACAGCCCTCCTCCCTGTTTTGGTGAACCAAACACTTCAATGCTCAAATCTGAAGGTAATTCTTCTGTATATGTGGATTTTTTGATCAAACACTTCCTCAAACTCTGTTCACTTCTGCTTTTCTCCACAAGTGTCACTTTTTCCCCGTGTCTCCAGACTTTGCATAGAGCTTACAGAAGGTCCCGAGTTGGCGTAGAGTTACGCTTTAGTCGAGGTTCATAAATACCGCGGTTGGCGTAGAGAGCACGTACGCAAGGATTTTTGCGTAAGCAAGCTTTATAAATGAGGCCCCTGGTCATACAGTTGATCTTTTAGTTAAGCTTTCAAGACCTTGAAGAGAGAATGATGTTTAATGCTTGCAATATTGGTTTAAATGATATATTAAATCTTATTTTACCTGCTTGATATGTCCAATGATTGTAACTTCATTGATGTTTCCAGCAGATCTAATCCGCATTTGTGCTTGTGCCAGTAAATTTGGTGTTGAAGACGGCAGTGATGTTGGAGGCAGTGTAGTGGTGGGTGAAGGTGTGGTGGTGGTGGTTGTTATACCGGTGATTGTTGGAGGCGGGGTAGTGGCAGGTGGAGGTAGTTGTTCCACCAGAGTTTGTGGTTGCTGGAGATGGTGTTGTGATGGGTAGAAGTGTGGTGGTTGTTGTTGGGAGCATGGTGGTTGTTAGAGATGTGGTGGTGCTGGTTGTTGGGAGCTGTGGTTGTTAGAGGTGCGTGGAGGTGTGGTGGTGATTGTTACATCGGTGATAGTTGGAGGTTGGGTAGTGGCAGGTAGTGGTGTGGTTGTTACACTGGTGATTCTTGGAGGTGGGCTAGTGATGGGTGGAGCTGTGGTGGTTGTTGTTGGGGGCATGTTGGTGGTTGTTGTTACAGGTGTGGGGATGATTTCTGCTGAAGCTCTGATGTTTGTTTTTGGAGGAGTGATAGTGGTTGTTTGAGGTGTGGTTGTTTGAGGTGGGGTGGTGGTTATGATTGTTCTGCTGGGATTTGTGGTTGTTGGAGGCGGGGTAGTAGTGGGTGGAGGCAGTGTGTTTGTGATAGTTACACCGATAATTGTTGGAGGTGGAGTAGTGGTGGGTGGAGGTGTGGTGGTTGTTGTTGAGGGCATAGTGGTGGTGGTGGTTGTTGTTGGACGAGTGACAGTGGGTGGAGGTGTAGTTTTTGGAGGTGTGGTTGTGGTTGTTGTTGGAGGCACGGTTGTTGATGTTGGACTGACTTTTGTGGTTGTTGGAGGAGCATTTGTGGATGTTGAATTGGCAGTTGTGGTTGTTGTTACAAGTGGAAGTTGAGGTTGTTGGAAGAGCGGCTGTTGTCGTTGTTGTTGGAGGTGTGGTCGTGGATGTTGGAGTTGCTGTCATGGTTGTTGTTGGAGCTGCTGTTGTGATTAATGTTGGAGCATAGTTGTGGTTGTGGATGTTGGAACAGTTGTTGGAGCAGTTATAGTTGTTGCTGGAGGAGCAGTTGTGGAAAATCATATAGGTAACTTCTATATGCGGTCATTTTATAGTATGTTTCTTAAAGGTTTACTATGAATTAACATAAGCATACCTAAATAATACTTGTATAATATGTCTTATACAATTGTAACAAATTCACATGAATAAGTCAGTTAAATTGCTGGGTTTCAGATGACATCACAGCACTTTATAGGCCTATATTATTTAAAACAGATGCTGGACAGCTAAAATGTGTCTTGTCTAAATGCAGTTTTGGTTGTAAACTAGTGAGATCTCAAGTCTAGTCAAAAATAAAAATTATCAATTTAAAAATGTATGCATTTACCTTTTGTTTATTCATGGAAAAGTACAATGTAACCAAAAGGGAAAACTGGCTCTCTCCCCCCCATCTGGAAGTATGACATCACATTTTAAAATCTGAAAACCGTCAATGTAAATCAACTGTTAATATTGCTTCAAAATGACTTTGATAGGGTCTAAAAACAAACAAGTAATTGAATAAAGGAAATGTTTACCTTTCCCAGGAGTCACCAAGGATAATCCAAATAATATTATCAAAGAGACATATTGTTAACTGCTGCAGATTTTGTAACAATCAGTTTTCATAGACAGCAGGCTGCGTTGACATAAATGTGATATGCTCCTGCATTCACTGTGGTGAAACTATGCCTGCTTAAATGATCAGCTTTTGGATTGTAAAAACATAAAAATAATATATTTCAGCCACTTAACAATCTAAACAACAATCACATCAGTAATCACATGAACAAAAATGTCAGAAATACAGTTTATTTTGTATTATTTGGTTAATAGTAATTTTGCATTATAACACATCAAAACACGATTCCTATTTCAAATATTGCCACTGGTGCCAATTTATTTTGAGAGCATTGAAAGTTTCTCTGTAAACTTGGACTGGTCCAACCGTTGAGCATCTGCAAAATTTCTTGTAAATAGTCACTTAGTTGTGTGAATTAAATGCGCATATCAAGCTACTTTTCAAAGGCTGTATTATTGCATTATTAAACTATTAAACTGAAATGATAATGACTTTATTAATGGATGATAATTCATAAAAAAGTAATTAATTAATTAAAAAAGTCACATGTATACGGGCATATATAAAGTTGCAAAAGTATTATGTGCATCATTTTACATGTACTGTACACACTGAACATGTATTAACATATAAATACTAGACATACTTCCTATAGAGAGTTTATGGGTAGATTTGATCCACAACAAAATGCAGACCAAGCACATGGTGTCTAAACTTAAACATTTACTTTCTCAGTTTTTATAATAAAGACCTCAGGATCCTGGCCACTCAGTTGATCTTTTAGTTGATCTCTCAAGAACTGGAAAAGAGAATGATGTTTGATTCTTGCAATGTTGGTATAAACTACATATTAAAAAAAATTTTACCTGCTTGATGTGTTCAATTATTGTAACATCATTGATGTTTCCAGAAGATCTAATCCGTATCTGTGCATGTGCCAGTACATTTGGTTTCACAGACAGCGGTGATGTTGGAGGGGATGTGGTGTCTGTGATTGGTCCACCAGGGTTTGTAGTGGTGGGTGGAGGGGTGGTTGTTGTTGGAGGCGGTGTGGTGGTGGTGGAGGTTGGAGGTGTGGTTGTTGTTGGAGGCGGTGAGGTGATGGTGGGTGTAGGGGTAGTTGTTGTTGGAGGCGGTGTGGTGGTGGTGGAGGTTGGAGGTGTGGTTGTTGTTGGAGGCGGTGTGGTGGTGGTGGAGGTTGGAGGTGTGGTTGTTGTTGGAGGCGGTGTGGTGGTGGTGGAGGTTGGAGGCGTGGTTGTTGTTGGAGGCGGTGTGGTGGTGGTGGAGGTTGGAGGGGTAGTTGTTGTTGGAGGCGGTGTGGTGGTGGGTGGGTGGAGGTGTGGGTTGTGTGTTGGAGGCGGTGTGGTGGTGGTGGAGGTTGGAGGTGTGGTTGTTGTTGGAGGCGGTGTGGTGGTGGTGGAGGTGGAGGTGTGTTGTTGTTGGAGGCGGTGTGGTGGTGGTGGGTGGAGGGGTAGTTGTTGTGTTGGAGGCGGTGTGGTGGTGGTGGGTTGGAGGCGGTAGTTGTTGTTGGAGGCGGTGTGGTGGTGGTGGGTGGAGGGGTAGTTGTTGGAGGTGGTGTGGTGGTGGTGGTGGAGGGAGGGCTAGTTGTTGCAGGCAGTGTGATGGTGGTGGGTGAAGGGGTGGTTGTTGTTGGAGGCGGTGTGGTGGTGGTGGTGGAGGTTGGAGGGGTGGTTGTTGTTGGAGGAGGTGTGGTGGTGGTGGAGGTTGGAGGTGTGGTTGTTGTTGGAGGCGGTGTGGTGGTGGTGGGTGGAGGTGTGGTTGTTGTTGGAGGGTGTGGTTGGTTGGTGGAGGTTGGAGGTGTGGTTGTTGTTGGAGGCGGTGTGGTGGTGGTGGAGGTTGGAGGTGTGGTTGTTGTTGGAGGCGGTGTGGTGGTGGTGGGTGGAGGGGTAGTTGTTGTTGGAGGCGGTGTGGTGGTGGTGGGTGGAGGGGTAGTTGTTGTTGGAGGCGTGTGGTGGTGGTGGTGGAGGTGGTGGTTGTTGTTGGAGGAGGTGTGGTGGTGGTGGAGGTTGGAGGTGTGGTGGTGGTGGGTGGAGGGGTAGTTGTTGTTGGAGGCGGTGTGGTGGTGGTGGGTGGAGGTGTGGTTGTTGGAGGTGGTGGTGTGGTGGTGGTGGGTGGAGGGGTAGTTGTTGTTGGAGGCGGTGTGGTGGTGGTGGAGGTTGGAGGTGTGGTTGTTGTTGGGAGGGTGTGGTGGTGGTGGAGGTTGGAGGTGTGGTGGTGGTGGGTGGGTGGAGGGTAATTGTTGTTAGAGGCGATGTGGTGGTGGTGGGTGGAGGGGTGGTTGTTGGAGGCGGTGTGGTGGTGGTGGTGGTTGGAGGGGTAGTTGTTGTTGGAGGCGGTGTGGTGGTGGTGGAGGTTGGAGGTGTGGTTGTTGTTGGAGGCGGTGTGGTGGTGGGTGGAGGTGTGGTTGTTGTTGGAGGCGGTGTGGTGTGGTGGTGGAGGTTGGAGGTGTGGTTGTTGTTGGAGGCGGTGTGGTGGTGGTGGAGGTTGGAGGTGTGGTTGTTGTTGGAGGCGGTGTGGTGGTGGTGGGAGGTTGGAGGTGTGGTTGTTGTTGGAGGCGGTGTGGTGGTGGTGGGTGGAGGGTAGTTGTTGTTGGAGGGGTGTGGTGGTGGTGGGTGGAGGGTAGTTGTTGTTGGAGGTGGTGTGGTGGTGGTGGTGGAGGGAGGGCTAGTTGTTGCAGGCAGTGTGATGGTGGTGGGTGAGGGGTGGTTGTTGTTGGAGGCGGTGTGGTGGTGGTGGTGGAGGGTGTTGTTGTTGGAGGCGGTGTGGTGGTGGTGGGTGGAGGGGTAGTTGTTGTTGGAGGTGGTGTGGTGGTGGTGGTGGAGGGAGGGCTAGTTGTTGCAGGCAGTGTGATGGTGGTGGGTGAAGGGGTGGTTGTTGTTGGAGGCGGTGTGGTGGTGGTGGTGGAGGTTGGAGGGGTGGTTGTTGTTGGAGGAGGTGTGGTGGTGGTGGAGGTTGGAGGTGTCGTTGTTGTTGGAGGCGGTGTGGTGGTGGTGGGTGGAGGTGTGGTTGTTGTTGGAGGAGGTGTGGTGGTGGTGGAGGTTGGAGGTGTGGTTGTTGTTGGAGGCGGTGTGGTGGTGGTGTGGAGGGGTAGTTGTTGTTGGGAGGCGGTGTGGTGGTGGTGGGTGGAGGGGTAGTTGTTGTTGGAGGCGGTGTGGTGGTGGTGGAGGTTGGAGGTGTGGTTGTTGTTGGAGGAGGTGTGGTGGTGGTGGAGGTTGGAGGTGTGGTGGTGGTGGGTGGAGGGGTAGTTGTTGTTGGAGGCGGTGTGGTGGTGGTGGGTGGAGGGGTGGTTGTTGGAGGCGGTGTGGTGGTGGTGGTGGTTGGAGGGGTAGTTGTTATTGGAGGCGGTGTGGTGGTGGTGGAGGTTGGAGGTGTGGTTGTTGTTGGAGGCGGTGTGGTGGTGGTGGGGTGGAGGTGTGGTTGTTGTTGGAGGTGGTGTGGTGGTGGTGGAGGTTGGAGGTGTGGTTGTTGTTGGAGGCGGTGTGGTGGTGGTGGAGGTTGGAGGTGTGGTTGTTGTTGGAGGCGGTGTGGTGGTGGTGGAGGTTGGAGGTGTGGTTGTTGTTGGAGGCGGTGTGGTGGTGGTGGGTGGAGGGGTAGTTGTTGTTGGAGGCGGTGTGGTGGTGGAGGTTGGAGGTGTGGTTGTTGTTGGAGGCGGTGTGGTGGTGGTGGGTGGAGGGGTAGTTGTTGTTGGAGGCGGTGTGGTGGTGGTGGGTGGAGGGGTAGTTGTTGTTGGAGGCGGTGTGGTGGTGGTGGAGGTTGGAGGTGTGGTTGTTGTTGGAGGCGGTGTGGTGGTGGTGGAGGTTGGAGGTGTGGTTGTTGTTGGAGGCGGTGTGGTGGTGGTGGGTGGAGGGGTAGTTGTTGTTGGAGGCGGTGTGGTGGTGGTGGGTGGAGGGGTAGTTGTTGGAGGAGGCGGTGTGGTGGTGGTGGGTGGAGGGGTAGTTGTTGTTGGAGGCAGTGTGGTGGTGGTGGGTGGAGGGGTAGTTGTTGTTGGAGGCGGTGTGGTGGTGGTGGGTGGAGGGGTGGTTGTTGTTGGAGGCGGTGTGGTGGTGGTGGAGGTTGGAGGTGTGGTTGTTGTTGGAGGCGGTGTGGTGGTGGTGGAGGTTGGAGGTGTGGTTGTTGTTGGAGGCGGTGTGGTGGTGGAGGTTGGAGGGGTAGTTGTTGGAGGCGGTGTGGTGGTGGTGGGTGGAGGGGTAGTTGTTGGAGGCGGTGTGGTGGTGGTGGAGGTTGGAGAAGTGGTTGTTGTTGGAGGCGGTGTGGTGGTGGGTGGAGGGGTAGTTGTTGGAGGCGGTGTGGTGGTGGTGGTGGAGGTTGGAGGTGTGGTTGTTGTTGGAGGCAGTGTGGTGGTGGTGGGTGGAGGTGTGGTTGTTGTTGGAGGCGGTGTGGTGGTGGGTGGAGGGGTGGTTGTTGTAGGAGGTGTGGTGGTGGTGGGTGGAAGTGTGGTTGTTGGATCTACCGTCGTGGTTGTTGTTGGAGCGGCTGTCGTAGATGTTTGGGCAGATGTGGTTGTTGTTGGTGTGGTTGTCGTGGTTGTTGTTGGAGGTGCTGACGTGGTTGTTGTTGCAGTGGCTATCGTGGTTTTTGTCGCAGCGGCTGTCGTGGTTGTTGTTGGAGGGACTGTCGTGGTTGTTGTTGGAGGGGCTGTCGTGATTGTTGTTGCAGCGGCTGTCATGGTTGTTGTTGTAGCGGCTGTCGTGGTTGTTGTTGTAGCGGCTGTCGTGGTTGTTGTTGCAGCGGCTGTAGTGGTTGTTGTTGGAGGGGCTGTCGTGGTTGTTGTTGCAGCGGCTGTCGTGGTTGTTGTTGCAGCGGCTGTCGTGGTTGTTGTTGCAGCGGGTGTCGTGGTTGTTGTTGGAGGGGCTGTCGTGGTTGTTGTTGGAGTGGCTGTCGTGGTTGTTGTTGCAGCGGCTGTAGTGGTTGTTGTTGGAGGGGCTGTCGTGGTTGTTGTTGGAGGGGCTGTCGTGGTTGTTGTTGCAGCGGCTGTCGTGGTTGTTGTTGCAGCGGGTGTCGTGGTTGTTGTTGGAGTGGTTGTTGTGGTTTGTTGTTGGAGGGGCTGTGTCGTGGTTGTTGTTGGCAGCGGGCTGTCGTGGTTGTTGTTGTGTGTGAGGGGCTGTCGTGGTTGTTGTTGGAAGGGCTGTCGTGGTTGTTGTTGGAGGGGCTGTCGTGGTTGTTGTTGCAGCGGCTGTCGTGGTTGTTGTGTTGGAAGGGCTGTCGTGGTTGTTGTTGCAGCGCGTGGTTGTTCGTGGTTGTTGTTGGAGGGGCTGTCGTGGTTGTTGTTGCAGCGGCTGTCGTGGTTGTTGTTGCAGTGGCTGTTGTGGTTGTTGTTGCAGCGGCTTGTCTGTCGTGGTTGTTGTTGGAGGGGCTGTCAGTGGTTGTTGTTGGAGGGGCTGTCGTGGTTGTTGTTGCAGCGGCTGTCGTGGTTGTTGTTGCAGCGGGTTGTCGTGGTTGTTGTTGTTGGAGGGCTGTTGTGGTTGTTGTTGGAGGGGCTGTCGTGGTTGTTGTTGCAGCGGCTGTCGTGGTTGTTGTTGTTGTAGGGGCTGTCGTGGTGTTGTTGTTGTTGTTGCAGGGCTGTCGTGGTTGTTGTTGGAGGGGCTGTCGTGGTTGTTGTTGCAGCGGCTGTCGTGGTTGTTGTTGCAGCGGCTGTAGTGGTTGTTGTTGGCAGCGGCTGTCGTGGTTGTTTGTTGCAGCGGCTGTAGTGGTTGTTGTTGGAGGGGCTGTCGTGGTTGTTGTTGGAGCGGCTGTAGTGGTTGTTGTTGGGGGGTGTCGTGGTTGGTTGTTGCAGCGGCTGTCGTGGTTGTTGTTGGAGGGGTGTGTTGGTTGTTGTTGGAGGGGTGGTGTTGTTGGGGGTGTTGTGGTTGTTGTTGCAGCGGCTGTTGTGGTTGTTGTTGTAGGGGCTGTCGTGGTTGTTGTTGCAGCGGCTGTCGTGGGTTGTTGTTGGAAGGGCTGTCAGTGGTTGTTGTTGCGGGGGTGTCGTGGTTGTTGTTGGAGGGGCTGTCGTGGTTTTTGTTGCAGCGGCTGTCGTCGTGGTTGTTGTTGGAGGGGCTGTCGTGGTTGTTGTTGGTTTGGTGTGTGTTGTTGTTGGAGTGGTTGTCGTGGGTTGTTGTTGGAGGGGCTGTCGTGGTTGTTGTTGCAGCGGCTGTCGTGGTTGTTGTTGCAGCGGTGTCGTGTAGTGGTTGTTGTTGGAGGGGCTGTCGTGGTTGTTGTTGGAAGGGCTGTAGTGGTTGTTGTTGCAGCGGGTGTCGTGGTTGTTGTTGGAGGGGCTGTCGTGGTTGTTGTTGCAGCGGCTGTCGTGGTTGTTGTTGGAGTGGTTGTCGTGGTTGTTGTTGCAGCGGCTGTCGTGGTTGTTGTTGCAGCGGCTGTGTCGTGGTTGTTGTTGCAGGGGCTGTCGTGGTTGTTGTTGCAGCGGGTGTCGTGGTTGTTGTTGGAGGGGCTGTCGTGGTTGTTGTTGCAGCGGGTGTCGTGGTTGTTTGTTTGGAGGCTGTCGTGGTTGTTGTTGCAGCGGCTGTGTGGTTGTTGTTGGAGGGCTGTCGTGGTTGTTGTTGGAGTGGTTGTTGTGGTTGTTGTTGGAGGGGTGTCGTGGTTTGTTGTTGGAGTGGTGGTGTTGTTGGTGTTGTTGTTGCAGCGGCTGTGTCGTGGTTGTTGTTGCAGCGGCTGTCGTGGTTGTTGTTGCAGCGGCTGTCGTGGTTTGTTGTTGGAGGGTTGTCGTGGTTGTTGTTGGAGGGACTGTCGTGGTTGTTGTTGCAGCGGCTGTCGTGGTTGTTGTTGCAGCGGGTGTCGTGGTTGTTGTTGGAGTGGTTGTCGTGGTTGTTGTTGGAGGGACTGTCGTGGTTGTTGTTGCAGCGGCTGTCGTGGTTGTTGTTGGAGGGGCTGTCGTGGTTGTTGTTGGAGTGGTTGTTGTGGTTGTTGTTGCAGCGGGTGTCGTGGTTGTTGTTGGAGTGGTTGTTGTGGTTGGCGCAGCTGTTGTAGTTGTTGTTGGCGTGGTTGTTGTTGCATTTTGACCTAAAGATTGCAAAAGTTATATCTTTGTATCAAAATGGTAACTGAACATCTTTCTCCAATTATCACACTAAATTAGATTTCAGAACAAATCGTACATAAAAGACTTATTTTACAGCTTTTCCATACTGTTAATCATGCTCGTGTGTTGTTGCATCCAATTACAAAACCTAAAGGAGATATTGGAGGACATCTAACCTTACAGAGCATTATGCCAAAAACAAAATAGATTGCTCACTTGTTACATTTATTATTATTATTATTATTATTATTATTATTATTTATTTATTATATTTATTATTATTATTATGATTATATATATATATAATTAGGGGTGTCAAATTATCGCGTTAATTGCGATTAATTAATTACAGTCATATTTAGTGCGTTATGTTTTTTAATCGCGTTAATCTCATTTTTAATCTCTAACTTTACTGTTTCTGTATGTGAGTTTCGTTATTATAAAACCTGTTTTTATGTGTTGCTGGGACAACAACACACACACACACAAAAAACACATTTATACATTTTTTTATTTCGGTAATTCCAATCATTGCCGGAAACCCACACAAAACGCACGCAGTAAGAGCGATGTGAACGTCACGTTAACGTTGGCGGCGTCAGGCACAATGGACGAGGTCGTAGAGCCAGTAGAACAGAGTCAGCAGTGCACAGGTAAAAACGCATTCGTGTCTTGGAAATTCTTCTCCCAACGTGAAATATAAAAGAAAATAACAAATATAAAATCGCCTGAAAACAACCTGCATAGGCTCATGATGTCTGCACTACTGTCCTATAGTGACCTGCCACATGAGGGGACACGCACACAAACACACACAAACACACACAAACACAAACACACACAAACACACACAAACACACACAAACACAAATACACCCCTTCATCATTGTCATTAACCTGAAAACGCGCGGACCACGTTTCCGGATCGTGTTTTCTCGCGTACGCTGCGTAAACCACGCTTCCTCGTGTGCACCTCTAAACCAGAACTAATCCAGTCCAGGACTAAACCAGGACTAAACCAGGACTAAACCAGAACTAAAACCAGAACTAAAACCAGAATTAAAACCAGGTCTAAACCAGGACTAAACCAGGACTAAACCAGAACTAAAACCAGAACTAAAACCAGGTCTAAACCAGGTCTAAACCAGGACTAAACCAGGACTAAACCAGAACTAAAACCAGAACTAAAACCAGGTCTAAACCAGGTGTAAACCAGGTCTAAACCAGGACTAAACCAGGTCTAAACCAGGTCTAAACCAGGACTAGACCAGGACTAGACCAGGACTAAACCAGAACTAACACCAGGACTAAAACCAGGATTAATCCATTCCAGGACTAAACTAGGACTAAAGTAGGACTAAAGCAGGTCTAAACCAGGTCTAAACCAGGACTAAAACCAGTGATGTCATATATAAAGCATTTCTCTATCAATAATATTTTTAATATGGTTAAGGAAAGACTGGACTTTTTATCATCTTTAAGTAGACAAAAGTTATTATGTTCAGATTTCCTCATCTTTCCTACTTTACAGCAAACAGTTTCTTATTCATGGAGACTTCGGCTCAACAGCCAAATTTGGAGAGATTTGTTAAACAATAAATGACTTTATAAAGTCACTTTTTTAAATCTATATCAGTCTTTTGATCTGCCACAATAATGTAATAATGAATTTAAATGAAAATACCTAAAATTGAAGGCTTTTCTCAGCAATTTTTAGGTGAGATTAAAATTAGATTCATTAGATTAATTAATTACAGATCATAATTAATTAATCTCTCAATTTGTATATATATATTTATTTATTTATTTTTATTATATTTACTTTTGTCAAAATTTTTGTTTTCCTCAACATTTAACCTTGGCAAAATGCAGTTTTGCTTTCAAAACTCATTAATCATCTTCCAGAACCGAGTTTTACAATCAAAACTCTGGTCATACGTTCGTCTGTGCTCTTTCATTTATTTGCGAGGGCAGCTCAGAAGTTTTAGTTTTAGTCCTTCTCTTTAGTTTCTTGCAGTCCGATCACAACCTGCAATAGACTGATTTGCATGGTACCTGAGGGAGAGAGCAACATGTGAGTGCAAACCACATATTATCCTTTCTCCAAAGCTTCACATTAGGGGTACTGCAGGGCTTGATCTTCGGGTGTGGTGGTGGTGCCTTTGCTTTTTAGTTTATACATAAATGAACTCCTCTCAGTGTGTGATGTCAGGATAATTATGTATGCTGATGAGACTGGTGTATTCACCCCTGGAAAAAATGCAAGAGAGACTGCCAAGAGACTGATGACTAAAATGAGAAAGGCAGCAACCTGGCTTCAGAGTTCAGAGAGCCTTGTGTTTATTGTTGATAAAACTATTGCCATGTATTTTACCAAGAAGCACAACTTGAGAAACTGTGTACAAAACGGAGCTGTTTAAAAGACCTTTTTGGGAGCTGTTGTTTTGCCTTTGTATATAAACTATAAAGTGAAATGTGTAACACTCCATTTTAAATTATTGGCATGGACTGAACAATCTTTAAGTGAACAAAATGATTGACTATGCTAGGAAGAGAAGTATGGAATTAACTTAACTGAAGATGTGAACGTAAAACAGAACTCATTATTTAAAACCACATGCTACATGAATAAATATGAACTTATGTAAAACTAGAACTTCCTCTTTATTTTCAGTTTATTTAATTTGGCTGTGTTTTAGTTGGTCACCCCTTTTTAGAGTTTTCTCTATTTAATGTGTGAGGAAGTACCTTCACTACAAAACAACAACATTTAAGAATAGCGACAATGTCCAAACTACTAATGCGCTATCTATCTATCTATCTATCTATCTATCTATCTATCTATCTATCTATCTATCTATCTATCTATCTATCTATCTATCTATCTATCTATCTATCTATCTATCTATCTATCTATCTATCTATCTATCTATCTATCTATCTATCTATCTATCTATCTATCTATCTATCTATCTATCTATCTATATCTATATATATATATATATATATATATC